CTCTACTATTAATGATTTGTCGAGCTCCATTCTGTTTCAAAACAGGCCTTCGATGAGGCAGCCCTTCTCAGTTCGCCTGAAAAGTCTAGCTGAGGAAACTGGAGTCTCACTTGAACACAGTTTAATGGCTCCTGTAGCATATCTGCCACCGTGGCAATGGCAGACTATAGACTGTGATGTGTCCTTTCTTGAAGTTACAAAACATGCGCCTATTGCCCATATCCGAACATACTTCCTGGAACTTCAACACAAATACACACGTCCTGTGTTCTTTACAGATGCCTCCAAGTCCAACTCCTCTGTGTCCTACTCTGTTGTCGGCCCATCCTTTTCGGATGCTGGCCCTCTACATCCAGGCACAAGTATCTTCACAGTGGAAGCTTACGCGATACTTGTGGCAGCTAAACACATCAAACAATTACACATACAAAAAGCAGTAATTTACACAGACTCCCTCAGTGTGGTAACGGCTCTGCACACTCTTAAAAAACACAAAAACCCAGTCCTTGTCTTACTTTACTCCATTTTATGCACACTCTACACACTCAAACAACATGTTGTAGTGTGCTGGGTGCCAGGGCACTGTGAGATTCAAGGCAACGTGAGGGCGGATCAGCTCGCTGCATTCGTCCATGAGAGCACCGCCATTACATCCATATCAATCTCGGCCCTTGATCTTAAGCCGTCTCTCAAACGAAACCTCAGGGACTACTGGCAGAGCAAGTGGGATACACACACACAAAACAAACTACACGTTATTAAGCCACACCTTGGTCATTGGCTGCCCGTATCGAAATCGCGTCATACAGAGGTAATACTAACGAGACTCAGGATAGGACACACATACACGACACACACACACCTTTTGTCCGGTGGCGATCCACCATTGTGTGACAGATGTGGTGAAGCATTGACAGTCCTTCACATTTTAATTGAGTGCAAACAATTGGACACTGTAAGAAAACAACACTTTCCATTACCCTACCGACAACATATACCTTTACACCCTGCAATGGTCGGTAGGGAACCGCTTTTTAGCCACAAATCATTGTTAGCGTTTTTTAATGAAATTCATAGTTTTCATATCATATACCCGGGCATCCCGTAGCATGACCTCTCCAGAGAGGTTTTTGCTGCGGTGGTTACACAAGAAAGCACTTGCCTCACGGCCCTTGGACGCAAGGGTATGAACGAGTGAGGCACTTGTGCTAATGCCATACATATCCACCATCGTCTTATATTATCACCAACTTTTGTCATCTATTCACACCACACACACCTTTCACGGCATGGTCATGATTTTATTACTTGTATGTTTTTACCCGCCTTACCGCGAGGAATTTTATGGCCCTTATACAGCCGCTTATCACAATCATTGTCCATTTTTTTTAGTAAGATGAATTGGCGCTCTTTGGCCGTGAAATGGCCCTTGCGCCATAAAACATCAAACATCATCATCAATTAATCACTTATCAAAATTGTAATACCATTCCAACTGCTTTTGAAAATGGATTGTTCATTTTGCTGTAAAATAACCAATAAAGGCCTAAAAACAAAAAAAAACTCTTGCATACTATTGCCCTATAGTCATTAGTCTATGTTGGCATATCTTAAATGTCACTTTTAATTGAGCACTTTTTTTTCTATGGCGGCCTTAAACAATAAGGGGTGAACTTCAGTTATCTCAGGAACAAGATAATTTACTGGAAAACTAATTAAATATTTGAAATCAGTAGAAAAAACTGCATAACCCTGTGCAGTTTGACCAAGATCACTGAAGAAATAAAAAAATGTCTTAAGACCAGTCTGTGGCCCCCTTACAGACCTGACCGTGGTGCGTGACTTGCAACAGCGGACAGGTGGCGCTCAGCGGCTCGGGCGACGTGTGACGTCGCGACCACCGATAATCTAAAGTTCTTGCCGCCACAGAGCATTACGCACGTAGGGCTTTGAAGGCTCTAAGTGCTAGCATTAACTAGGAAACACGAACAAGTGCGTCATACAGGTAAATCGCAAAATGATCGCGACCACTGTCTAGTGGTGTTTTTTTTTGTTTTTTTTTTCCGCCGTTGGTGTTCGCGATTACCGGAGCTATCTCGGAGGCATTGGTATTGCGTTTCATTGTACACTGAAAAAGTGGACATGTATTTATCTTCGTTTGCAGTAGTATATACAAACGGAAGACAACCATCAACAGAGCAATTCGAGCATGCGTAATAAAACAGTTCATTGCACAGGAAGTGAGAAATCGATCAAGAATACAACTGCAAAGCGAGAATCACCAGGGCCATTCGTGCCGGATAAAGCAAGCTTCGTATCACTGATCGTAAGATTGATTGCTCATGTATGCACTTCATCGCTTTGGCATCATGTGTATGCCAAAGTTAAACGCGTTTAGGCATTACAGAACGCACGTCGGAGTGCTTGCCTCGAACTTGATGTCATGCAATGCTCGTTTGCATTTAAATTGCCAGTTGCAGCACGCTGAAATAAATCTAACATCTTTTGCATTGTGCCTGCATTTCGTTTTGATGAGCTTCCTAATTTTATGAAGCGAAGTTGAATTGAAGGAAGAAGCTTGCCAGGTGCTTGATTTTCAGAAAACCGCGCCTCAAGACCAACGAAAGAGGAGGGCCTATGCACATTCGTTTGCAGACGGCTTTCTGTGCACTACCCATTTATGGTCGGCGCGGCAATGGGTGCTGGTGGTGACGTTTTTCGCAGCGCCGCCTAGGTAGAGTCTGACGTCCATACTTTAAAATGTTTTTGTTCAGTCAGCCTCAGTTGGTGCTTTTGAAATAGTCATATTTCATTCATTTTGTGGGCCTTGCTTAATTAAATAAAACTTCTCATAAATAGAACAAATTTTCTTGCCCCTTCAAGTTCCGTTTAAGAGGAGTCCACTGTATCTTGCTCAATGGTTGTACAAATATCTTGTGTACATCTGTGGACTGTCCACCTTTTGGAAACATACCTCTTAAGATTCAAGATAATGTGACCATACTAGGTGTTCAAAAAGACAGCCCACATGTATCAATCCTGTTGCCCCTTTCTCTAGACTTGTGGTATTCTGACATAAGACTCTCTAGGAGGGGGACGTTTGCACACGCTACACTTTGCGTCCACAAACATGTCGTGGCATACGTGCCGGGCCAATGCTGGCGTTAGCACGCATTCTGTTTGCATTTGTCGGAGCTTCACTGCTTCCGCACATGACAGTTCACGATGCGGGGGCGGAAAGGCTCTCCTGGCCTCTCTGTATGCCGCCAGGATCCCTCCGTAGTCGGTGAGGGGATCGAGGTCTTCTTCTCGTTTTTCACCGCTTGTTTCGGGGAGACTGGCTGCCGCGGTCCGGCACGTGATGAGATCACGGGCCACAGCGTCCGCCTCCTCGCTGCGGTTCTCGATGTCGGGAGCCAGTTGTTGGACGCAAAGTGTAGCGTGTGCGAACGTGAACTAGCCACCCTCCGCCACATCATGTGGGGCGAGTGTAACAGTGGTGTGAACAATGGGAATGGGCAGTGCCAGGACGCCACGTATCCCGAAGAGGTGGGAAAATGGATACACTCCGAAGACTCAACCACGCAACGAAGGGCCATCCAGCGGCTTGAGGAGGCCCTGGCAAAGCAGAGGAGAAAGGGAGCCGACGCCCCGGACAACGGGAGCGGAGGAGCCCGAGTATCCAATGCCTAGCCGGAGCACAACGTCCTCAAGATCTAGGCACTGGGACTATAGGACTATTAGCCATAGTCTTCAGATAGGAAATACCCGCGCCCTGCGGGGCCGGTGACTTCCCACACGCCGAATGCGTGAATAAATGTTGTTTCTCTCTCTCTCTCTCTAGGAGGGGGAAGGCAGCCATGGACTTGCTATGTGATAGCTGCCTCAAACATATGTGGCAAACATAGGTGGGCTTCGAGCCAGAATTTGACCCAGCTTTTCTGTGTGGCTGTGAAATGTTCTACCAGTGATTAGATATTATTTTAAAAAAGAAGACCTATTGAGGTGTCATTTAGTATCGGGAGTCATGTTAACAAATGTAAAATTGTTGCATAAACGTAGAATTATACCAGGCATCACGCCTTGTGACTTTCGCTACGGGTGGTTGGTTAAAGGGGCCCTTCAACACTTTTTCAAGTAGCCATGGAATTAATTCACCGGGAAAGCTTATTGCCTCACAATTTCACCACTGCAACAATTTTTAGAATCCGTTCAGTACAAGAGGAGCTACAAAGATTTGTCGCATGCTGCAATTGCATGTTCTCCTCTCGTCCCGACAAAAGCGCTGGAAGTTAAGCAAAGAAGGATGGCACAGGCGAAGAAACCACGTCACGCGCGCCTTGTGACCTTGAACACCTTTCTTTTTTTTCTTCAAATATGTAGCTCTTTCATTGCGATTGCACGTGCACACGTGGACAAGTCGTGTCTTTCTGTGGTGATCTTTGTTATAACTGAGTGCGCCATATTCAAATCAGCCAGTGGCTGATAGAATGGTTGTGACGAGTGATTTTTGAGCTGCTTCCGCCATTCATTGAGAGAAGAGAAAGCAATCTTTAGCTGACTTTATTGTGAATTTCAGGCCACTTGCTGTGCTATAATATTTGGCTCGCGTGTTCTCAGGAGCCTCTACTGTAGATCGGCAGTATTTCCCGATCACGCTCAAACAGTGTTGTGGGGCTCCTCTAAGGACCTGCCCATTACAAGTTGCTCAAACATAATTGATAGTCACCATTAGCCTCAGCATCAAGAAAGTGCATGTGTTGCCTTATAAATGCATAGTGAGTACTTTGCTAATTTGTATAATGATATGTTATGGCACAGTCGCCACATTGCAACTGTACTTTTAGTAGGCATTCTGGAAGAGGTTCAATATAGCCACTGTTAAAAGCACCGTCCTTCTTTTCCTCTTGGTAGGTGCCCACTGAGAAGTGAAGCGTGGAAAAGTGGATGTGATGAACAAAGCCCGATTGCGCTATAATATTTCCTCTTACCCCTCCCAGGTGTGAAATCTGTACAGGATGACTGGAATCCAGTGGACTGCATCAACTTCCGAAACATTGTAAAGGACAGGATGTTTGTAGCACGCATTATGGCCAAGAAGCCAGACACCAAGACTGGCGTTGCGGGTGCCCAGCATCTTGTGGTGCGTCTTTTCGACACTTCAACCGAAGATGACGTCCACATCGATCAGCTTCTTGCTGAGCGCAATATCGTGCGACTCGTTTCACCCTGATGCGTTGACCATGCAGTTTACTGTCTGCGTCAAAACGCCCCCCCCCCCCCCCCCCCTCCTCTTTCATTATTGGTGTGCCTTACTTTTTCCTTCGGTATCATCGTTACTGTATGGTAGTGTTTTTTGTCTCCCTTTCTGAACCTGTGGAAAGCGACAATGAATGTGTGTGCCCGCTATTTTTCATGTGTGTTTCTACTACTGGCTAACTTATTGCTTGCAAGTTGAAGGGACGTCAGGAGAGATGAGATGGCCTTCCAATGTTCTTTCATAGCTCATCAGGGGTGGTTTAAAAGAACGTTTTACCTCAACTCCTCCACTCTAGCCCTTTGGTTTCATTCACCTGTAGTCATTGTGGCTGTCTGTCTGCGAATAGATGCCTAAGTTTACTCATTTTCACCTCATTTGTAAGAGCGGTTTAGGGTGGTAGACCTTGGATGCCCTGCTCAAAAATGTTTGCAAGGTTACATTCCTGCTGATTAATTTTGTTTCGTGGCATTGCAAGCAAATGCAGTGTCAATCGACACGCTTTGCCTATATAGACGTCATGCCAAATTTTGTGAACGGTAGATTTTGTATTGGTGCATATGGCAATTTCTAACTTGATGTTTTTTTGAATTAAATTGTCTTTTACAAGCACTGTTCTGGGTGATCTGTACTTCAACCAACATCTGCAGAAGTCATGTGCAGTGTAATAGAATGGTCTAGCGTAGACCATGCGTATTGTTAACTATGCACTAGATCCCCCGTTTGAGCGCAGTGCATGTGTGTATGCATATTATGCTAGTACGTCGTATTTTAATGCATACATATACTTGCATGGTGCCATTGGCACAGCTGTGCATTTTCGGGATTCGAGGCCTTGTAATGCTCAAGATCTCTCTGCCTTATGGTGACCTTTTGTAGGAGTTGTTTTGCTGTGACTTGGCCAAAACAGTCTTGCTGCACTTGTTTAACAATTTTAATGGTAGCAACGTTTTCTGTAATTATCAAATAACTATAAATAAATCTCAACACTGGACGATAGAGATAAACTGGCAGCTAAATAGCGATTTTCTGCATGTACATGTGTACATGTTCAATTTTCAGTGAGCCGACTTGTTCTATTTGTTTTACCATGTATTGTAGTGGGGAAAAGCTCAACTTTCTATCTCCTTGTGCAATAACAATAGTACTGTGATCTATTAAGGAACAAGGTTTGATTTGAAACCGCTGTGCAGCATCGTTTATCAAATTTGAAGCACATGGAGTATGATGGAAGCTGTTGTGTGCACTGAGTACCCTGTAACACAGCGTGATGTGCAGTGCGAGTTAAGTATGTATAACATTATATAACTCGTTAATCTCTATTTTGCATGCACGTTAATGTTGCTTGGAACTAAGAGTGCTAGCATATTTTTGTTTCTCCCGATGTGTGTGCAATACGTATTGAATAATGGAGAGCTTATATTGGTTGTCATGCCTTACCTACTCTCCTCTAAGGTGTCCCTAAGGTACCACATAGGTTTGCTATTATATTATCCCTGCTTGGGTGTTGTGATCTCTTAAGAATTTTTTTTTTCGTAGCAGTGAGGCTGCCTGTTTTTGTTTGTGTTCTTGCTTCGACAAATATTTGATGTAGTATAATACTTTATTTAAACCTGATTGTTTGCTTTTGTTTTGTTTAGAACAATTTTATAACCTCCTTCAGTACTCACACTATATCGTCTTTCATGTTGTGTCACTAGAATTTTAGTAATGGGACAATATAGGTAGTTGAGTGCTGTTGGCATAGCAATTAACAACTGTTGTTTTGCAGGTATCTTAGTTATATATGTTTCACTATTATATATGTTACTTTTGTTGTGGCCACAAATAAGGCTACATGTATAAGATGTGGTAAGCCCCACATTTTCCAACAACATTGAAGAATACTTGCTACAGTTCTGTATTTAACAGTGAAGTCTTAGTAACACTTTAACTTTTGTAGCACAAGTAATTGCAGTGCTTTGCAGCTTATGGGTGTTATTTGAAACTGAGCACAAGTTGTTTCTCAGTATACCACTTCTATAAACTAAAGCAGAAGGTCTTTTACAGTGATACTATACATTTTTTAAAATTTTGATTAGTTTAACAAGTGTGTTCCTAAGTCACTTATAAAAGAGCTTTGTGTGTTGTCAGAGGCAAATATTAACTCATCTTTTTTGCTACTCTTGAGTGCCTGGCATCAACATTTAGTTTGTACCCCATTGATGATTAGGTTGCAATATCAACATTCGGTCTTTTTTTTTTTTTTCAGTGCAGAATCTACTGCTTCTTTCATGTTTAATGTTGTAAGAAAGCTTATGTTGGTGCCAAGTATTCCTTTTTCATATTAGTTCCTAGAAGCTCCTTTGCACCCATGCACGAGTTCTACATGCTGAAGTTGTGTAGGTGCCGGGAGAATATGCCAAACAGCAGGAAAAGGAATGTTACTCTAAAATCTGTGCGTCCACCTTGCTTATGCGTTTTTTTTTCTACAATAAACCTGCATTCCAAATTTTGAGTGTGTGTTGGTTTTGTACCTCTTGGGAACAGCACGCTGAACTGTAATGTAGTATGCACAGGTCAGCGAAAATTGTGGAGTTCACTCAGACTTTCCCATAAAATATATTTTACACTTGGTGCTCCTCTGATTCAGGCTTGCAAAATTTTTCCTGTGCCAGACTCACTTGAACTCCACTCACGAAAATATTACTCACGTGGACTGACTCATATTCACTTGGGGCTCCATCGGAGTCTGAGCGAGCCAAATCAAAAGTCTGTTAGTCCAGAATTTACTATATTGGCTATACAGGATATAGATATAGGATATATGTATCAAGAAAATCCCTGGAAGAGTTGGAGGGGGCAAATGTAAAGGCACCCTTCTAATGTTACTCTCGCCTCAGATCAATAAATATTAAAATGATTTATGAACGATACTTAGGAATACGTGTGATTCGATGAGAGTATGTTAGGCGTTGAACTTGCAGCAATTGCAACACTGCGCTGCTTTGGGCGTAATTGCTTTCTTGTGTCGCGTGGTCACGCAGAAGTTATACAGGCCTTGAAAAAAAAAAAAGGCTATATATGATCGGTTTATGTGGTAAACTCTTCATACATATCGGGTCGATACCCGCGACGCGCAAGAGAAGGCGCCGCCACCTCGCCAAGCGCGCGATTGTAGAAACGATCGAGTTGCTGTAGACTTCCCAGGTTTTTGCGTGTCGCGCGGAAGTTAGAACATTATTGACAGCGGAATTTTAACCCCTGTGAGAAGACGTTAATCAAACTTCTTCCGTGCTCTGCGCCTCGACACGATGTGTGTACATTCGATTCCAAGCGTTACAAGCACTCGTATTTATACTACTACTAAACCTGAGCTCATTCCTACAGCGTATGTCGATAGCATTCCTTCAGTTTAAACCTGTTAAACATTGTAGGTGAGAGCTAGCGCGCAACGCTTCCGCGGTAGCTTCGGCCGCGGCTGAGCCAAACGTCAAGCCGGCGTGCGTGCGCTTGCCAACTTTTTCTTGTGTGTGTGTGTGCTTGCATTTGTTTCAGTTTAATGAGATCGCCTTGAGCAGCCGTGTAGCGTGTCTTAACAAGCCTAGAAAACTATATATAAATATATGATTGGATGTAGCAACTTTATGCTGAGCTGTAGTCGCGCTATTTGCATTTACACTGCGGAAGAACACAGCCGTGGCGGCGGAAGAGTTCGGCGTAAGGTCGTTGTGCGGTCCGGGGGAATGGCCATCCGAAACATATGTAGCAAAAACACTGCTACTTATTTTCTTGTTCTCCATGTGCTCTGGTGAAGCGCTTGCTTAACGATGCATTTTTCGATACCGGATACGCAAGAACTCAAAGACGAGAGCGGATCTACATACGTCGTAAGTAAAAGTATTGAGATCCAAGCAGCTTTGTGGGGAGAACCCCGCTGTGTCAAGCGAGACAGGATCGCGCAGATCGTAGCATGGTTCGAGTTCGCTCGCTAAATCTCGCTTAGTAGACAGTTTGCCAACTACATGCCGTCGCTCGATTTTGAGCGGCACGAAATCCGTGCATCTATCTGGTGGTGGCTTAGGGTTCAGTCAACTCTCGTGTGTATCGTAACGAGGCGGCTTTGAAAGGACAGTGAGTAAAAGTTCGCACAGTTCAACCGTACACATCACAGCATTTTAATCGCGTACGTATTATTGAGATGTCTATGTGGTTCTTCCCGATTTGTTCGGTGCCATCTGGAACTCGCAATATCGAAAGAAGTTTTTAAAGTAGGGCGCTGTTCCCGTTCCTCCGTTTAATGCACCACCAGGTTGTTGTGGTTTCACAATCGAAGGCACCGATTAATATGAGCAGCGCCTTCGAGTTTTGTAACTTGCTGCGAAGTCATCTGTGATCAAGCGTTGAAAAGGTGGCGAAACGATGTGCGTTAACGCCTCGAGCTATCTTGTATATAATTCGGCGATGTTATCTACTGCATGACGGGATGGGAAACGAAGTAATATCAAAGAGAGGAAAGACGCAACGGGTCTTTTTTTTTTTGTTTCGTGTAAAGCGGGGATATGGCTACCAATATGTATTGTACTTTAAAATGGAAGTAACGTGTAAACGTGCAATTAAACAGTGTCTAGCACTGCTGACTAGATGATGGCTGCGTGCATCATTGGCTCGTCAGAAGCAATGTAGCATAATTGCGATGATCAAACCATCTTCTATGTGCAGTACACCCAATGCTGTACACTGCATGGAAACAACCATCCATCACATCTTGCCTGATTGCCGTATAATTGTTTAAAAAAATTACATGTGCAGTCTTAGCACCACACTCGCTGAAAAATTTCTCCAAATTGATCAGTACATTTCATCGTTTTCGGAGTGCAGCAATTGCATATTGTAATATGACTGTCTGATGTGTGCGCGAATGTTTCAACTTAGTACAGTTTATTGCTAGTCGCTTTTGCTAGCTGGTGCACCCTACAAAGCATATCGGTAGACTAGGTTCTGCTTTAGTCTTGGCATTGTGAGCAATATGGTTGTGTTGCCTAAAACCGTAAATGTAAACCGAAGTAAGGTACCTGGAATGCATTCTGATGCTAAAGAGTTTCCTAATAATACACTAGAGGGAACTCTGGTGCTAGTGTCTACGGGAGCTGCAACGCATGTCGCTTCAGCAAGCATCGGAATGATGGGTAGTACACAGATTTGTCTAATCTTCATACTTCTTGCTTCGTGTGTGTTCGTGTGGCTTGAAGCTGTTTTCGCACGAAAGCAAAAATCAGCAAATGTTCGCAGTTGCGCTTCACTACCATAATCTCTTACGCTTGCCTATTCAAATCAGGTAACGAAGTTCAAAAGGCTTCATTCTTTTCTTTAAAACAAAACTGAAACAGCAATAAACAAAGACACAAGTCTCATTCACCATCCGCAAGTATGAAGACTAGGCAATTCTGTGTACTACCCATAATTCCCATGATCGCTGAACGATCGCCGCACCAGAGTACCTTCCTAGTTAATTTTAGGAAACTATGATGCATACGGTGTGATAATCATACAGATGTTAACCCCATTCATGCCCTTGTCATGCGTTTCTCGTAAAAATGGTTGAGGATGAGGTTAAACTCATCAAGTGTACTTTTTTCCAGCTGTCAGAAGACAAGCTGGCTTTGTCGTGGCACTTTGTCAGGCTTTCGTAGATCACAGCACACAACCCGTTGGACAGCGAAATAATCGGTGCAAGAATTGAAGGTGTTGACAAGATGGGTCCACGATGACAGAAATTTAGCTTTATTTTGTTGTGATTCAGGTTAACAGAGCGACATTGACGAGGTTAAGTGAACGTATGGTGCTGTTGACGGCTCAAATTTCAAGCCTGTTAGAGCTATCGTGACCAGGTTGTATTCTTTGCAGGCTAACCTTGGCTATTTGAAACTGTTTGTGACAGGGGTTCTCAATGTACTGTATTCTGAAAAAGTATGCGAGTGCCTCCATACACCGATTGATATTCACCTAAACACATACGTTAAATATATTGGTATGGCTCTTGCATAACTCCAGAAATCCTGATGACTAGTACGAGAATTCAAATTCCCAAGGGCAGTGTAGATTATAGCATGCAGAGGAAATTCATTTAAACAGACTCTAGTTGGCCCTGTGATTGCAGATAATACAGCCCATATATTGTTGACAAGTAGTGAGGCTGTGCTTAGCAATTGTTAGGGTAACTCTCGTGTTTGCTTTATTCTGCAGGCATACAATATACACGTGAATGGTTCTTTTCACTGTGCCGTTCGCTACAAGCAGCTTCACAGTTTGCACGATCAGGTGAGTTACTCTATTGCTACAGTCGCTCACTTCTTGTTCGTGTAGGAGCTGGCAGAGCAGTACTGAGCGACACACTAATAATGTGAAAGTAAAATATAGGTAGTCGACTGTTGAATGCTATAATATCTATGGAGGCTCAGTTACTGTGGTATCTTGAATATGAGTATGTAATCGTAGGTTTAATTCAGAGCCACAGTGCCTAGATTCTTATACTGAAGAACAGCTGAATTTTCTAATATTTCAATGCTATGCTTAAAAGTTGTACTAAAAAAATACAGAATTGACAATTCTATCTATCAGGTGCACACTATTCAGACTACTGATGTATTGTTCAAATCAAATGGCAATTATTATAAGCTATGCAATACCTTTTAGCAGTGCCCATAATTCAATGCTTTCTTGCAGTATAAAGCTGAATTTAAACAAAGGTTGTCTCTGCATATGTTTTCTATGCTGTTTTGGAAGTCTTTCAGTTGTCTTTTGGCTGCGGCAGCTGCATTTCCGATGGAGGCGGAAATGTTGTAGGCCCGTGTGCTCAGATTTGGGTGCACGTTAAAGAACCCCAGGTGGTCTAAATTTCTGGAGCCCTCCACTACGGCGTCTGTCAATCATATCGTGGTTTTGGGACGTTAAACCCCACAAATCATCATCATCACCATCCAATTGTCTTTTGTGATTTATTTCACCTTTGTTGTATAGCTCTCCTCTGTAGATGAAATAGAGGAGCTTGAATATCAGATTCAGCAGTCAGAATTGCTACCTCCTTTGAATATTTGCAGTGATCCATGCCATTTTCATTATTCCTCCTTTATTTGCACTGGTACTCCTGTATTGCCGATATCGCCATGATAGGTGTGAATGAAAAAATAAAATTAAAAATGTGTGGCTGTAAAGCATTAACTCACGATTCCACTCGCCTTGTCATATGTTGGTATATCAGCTTCAACATTTCAATCTTCTAACATTAAAAGGTTGTGAATATTCTAAAATTTCTGATAACGAATTGAATAGTGTTCTATTCAATTCGGTGCTCGAATCAAATAGTGCATATTCGAAATACTGTATATCTTTTCAATAATCATCACTGATGGGAAGACCCCGAAAGAACAATTCGTTGAAACAACGAAAGATCTTTTTTGTTATTTTAAATAATCAATTACTAAGGTACATTCAACCCAAGACTATCAGGGGTCATACTGTGCACCAGATGAAGGCCTTCTTGGTTAAAAGTGCATTGTTGTCGAAGCTAGTGTTTAATTTATTATTGTCACCATGATATTCATGATGTTGCTTCATGGAACAATGTAATACCTCGACTTTATTTAAAAGGTGACAAATCATGGCCTTGGAAACTTAGAAACTGCTGTACAATTACTAAACCTACAGGATAAAGGCTCTATTCACTACATATTCTAGCTTAATAGGCTCTACATAATTGTGGTATTTTTTGTTGGTTGAAAGCATTGCTATGTTTCCGTGTTAACCGTGAATACTTTTTTTGTTAACCGTGAATACTCGGGGAATTTAGGGCTGTTATGGAAATGGTATTTTTTATTATTTGAAAACTATTCGAATAATATTGAAATATCATTCATATTCTATTCGTTGTAGTCCCTATTCGATTCGGTATCGGAATTCACTATTTGCTCACCCCTACTGAACATTGCTGCACTTTGTTGTTTGTTTGTTTTTATTGAACATGTTGCGGAAAAGTGCTTTAAAAAATTTCATGTTTTTCAGCTGAAAAAAGTGTTTGGATCGGCGGCGCTTCCTCCATTTCCACCGAAGAAGCTGTTGCCATTGACACCAACGCAAACTGAAGAACGACGAGGATTCCTTGAAAAATACATCCAGCTAGGTGTGTCTGTCAATCAGACGTGGTCGGTGGATGTGATTTTGTGCTAGTAACATGTATCGGACAAGACACGGGCGTTGCAGGCGTCTTTTGCATGCATGTGTTGCATGTCTACATGAGCACACGGGCAGACGTCATGTGCCTTGTGTGGGTCATTTCACTTACCCCTAGGGTAGCAGATGTGTGTGCCACTAGTGAAATCTTTCTTTGTTCAGAGTGCCTATACCTTGCATGTGTAGTCATGAGTATTGTTAAGGACCAACCGCATGCATGCGATTTTCTAGCGACAAGCGGCAGTGACAAACTTGCTTCGTCCCGTCGCGATGGCTGCCACCGCATGTCGGCGACAAAGTGTCAGTGTTTCTAGATAGAAAACTATTGCGGGCATACCCATAAATTGCGAGAAAAAAAAAGTTTTAAAAAGCAGCTTGATTACCACATGCCAAATTTGTTGCTGTCTTGTGTGGCATAAGGAAGCCACAAAAGCATTTGACAAACTTCTATTTTTGCAATATTTGATTTGACCGCAACAGGGTGCCCAGAAGCGTATGCTATGACTTACTTTGCATGACGATTTTGCATTGCCGCATGTGACCAAACTGTCTCAAGCTAATGTCGACACATAAAAACAAACCTTTGATAACAAGATTTACTACAAAATTGGCTTTTTCACCTTCGAGTGAGATGTGAATGTAAAAAAGGCAGTCGATAGGTAGCATTCCTTGAAGTACGCGCGGATAACAAGCAATAGAGAGCAAATTGCAACCGAAGTGAGGACCAGGGGTGCAGCCATGTTGCTGGAAATCGCCACGCTGGCTTTCAGGCAAAAAGCGATTCTCTATATTTTGCCAGAAACAAGCAACGCGACAAGTGACAGTGACGGATGGGCCTCTGTAACATCAAATCTTGTCGCTCGTCGCTGTTGTTTGCTGCTGTCGCTAGGAAATCGCGTGCATGCGGTCGGGCTTTTAGGAAATGCTCACTTTGTGTGGAAGCAGGCATTAATGTACAACACATAGCCTTCATGTTGGGCATTGTATCAGTTCAACCCCTGCATGCGAAAGATGTTTGTAGAATTACAAATTAAAAATCTACCAATAAACTCTATTAGCATCACTTAGACAACTGGGAAAGAATATTCTGAATAGTTTGTTCAGCTTGTAGAGAGTCCTGATCAGTTATGTTTGCCAATCATTCATCTTGATCTGTATTCTGTGTATGTCTCATCAGTCTACTTTACTCTTTAATTGGCCATTTCTTAAAAACGTTTGCTTTCACTAATTCTAATTCTATATAGTGTATCGGAGGCTGCATTTCCACAACAAGTAGTGGCGCATCTGCCCTCACTGTTTTTGTCTGGCACTGTATTGAGAAAATTGTCTGTGGGTGGTGATGGATAGTTGTTAAGTAACTGCGGAAGAACCTGGTTACGACTGTTTTGTCTCTGCAGCTAGCCAAGATGCTCGTGTGTCATCTGACGAGGCCTTCACGGGTTTCCTGCTGTCTGCTCAGCAGGAGACCATGGGTGCCCCTCCCAAGGAGGTCGACTTTGACGTGTTTCTAATGAACTGGCAGAAGGTCACAGTGTCCGTACTCTCCACGGACCCCACTGATGTAGTCATGGATGTAAGTTTGTTTGTTTGTTTATATATTAATTCATTTCAGAGGGGGGGGGGCATACCAATCACTGTCAGAAAAAAATGTCAGTATATATCACTTACACAACATTATATAAATTGCACACTTCAAACTTTATTACAAGTGCAGTACGGATATTCAAGTAGAACATGAGTATAATTAGTATCTAGTTTTTCACACAATTCAGTGGCAATTTAAGCACTACTGTAGGTCATGCAGCACATCAACTATTAAGTAACACTACACAGGCACAAGAAAGCGAAAAATCAGTCTAGTGAACTGTGCTGGAAAAAAAAAGAGAGAAGACGAAGAAGAATACACGAAAAGAAAAAAAACCTTGAGTCCTTTCTTCAAATTTTCTGGTGAGCTACATCGGAGCAGTGATAATGCTAATGAATTCAAATGTTAAGTTCTTGGAAACAGTGAGATTTAATATACATGAACCCACTGTTTGAGGTGCTTCAAGCATGTATTAACTCCTTTCATAATTTTTCCTTGGTGCAGTGTTAGTTAATGTTACATTTATGTTTAGTTTATTTTTGACGAGAAGAATTTCAGCCTAGCCAGTCGTTGGTGTTTTGCTAGTGTGGGAACTTTTATTAGATGTAACATTGGCTTTTTTGAGGAGCATTTTGGAAGATCGGAGTGGTTTCACTGCAGTGGCTGCATACAGATTTATGCTCCTGTATGCCCATGTGCTCTGCGATACGAGTGTAGTTGGCCAAGAAAACTTACGGCCTAAATGATTGACAAAGGAAAGTTTACTTAGGTGCCTGTGTGGGAATTGTACAAATATTTCCTCAGCACTCGTGTTACAGTCATGCAATGTTAGCAGTTGTATTAAATATTAGAAATTTAATAAATTCATTGTTATTATGTTAGCGTAAGCGTGTTCAGTACTGGAGGCAGCATTTTGTGACAGTCGTGACAATTTCAAAGAGGCATCACTAATCTGGTGCGAGTGGTGTTCAAAATCGGTCTTAAAGGTACACTATACCTGAAAAATAACTCAAGTCACATTCAATTTGTAAGCAAGTGTACCAAAGAAAGGAAAGATTACCACATTCAGCCTGTTGGGCAATGCCGGCCTGAGAAATGAAAGCACCATTGATGGAATTACTGATGCCATGATTTCTTCATTGGGAGCAGGTCTTTGGCAAGTAGTGCAGTGTGTTAATGCGGTCTTAGATCTCTCTGCCTGGCTGTCTCCCAGAAGGGCTCATAATGAACATGGACATCCTGAACAAACAAACTAATGCTCCTGACACACGGGCACCCTGAAGTCCTTTAGACAAGGGGAAATCTTTCGGAAAGGCGTTCGGGCGCAGTGACACACGGCAAAGGAGTAACTCCTTTTCGGCAAAGATCCTTTTCGCAAAAGCAGATCCCGTATCTACTTTTCTGGCAGGAAGGGAGTACTCTCGCATACAGTGCGCATAATTTATCAATAGAAGAAAACGTGTCGCAACACTGCGGTGCCCTGTCAGTATTTTTTTGCGCTGAGAAAATGTTTTCATTTTCAGCAGCAGTGCGATTTGTTGAAAAGTGGAGGCCTATAGTCTGTCCATACTCTCAAACGCCTGCATTACGTCACTAGCGCGATCATGTTAGGGTTGGCAGCGGCAGTTGCTGTGTCGGTGACGTAGTATCTTGTAACAATGGAGTCGGCTCAGTCGGTGAAGAAAAAACCGCGCGTCTAGTGGGCTGAAAAGGAGACCTGGGCACTGATAAAGCTATGGGAGGACCATTTGGACGCCTTGCGAGGGCAAATGCACAACGGCGGAGTGTACCAGGCGATTGCCGAGAGCCTCACCGACGCCGGTATTCCCTGTACACGGGCGCAAATTCACAGCAAAATTGCCTTCACAGCGTTTAGCTCATCTTCGATGAAGCCGAGGGCGACAAGAGTCGGGCCCACCTCAACTGTTCCTTTATCTCTGTCTCTGCGCTGAGACATCGCAGGACCACGATGAAACGCGGCACGCTGTCACTGACCCAGCTGGACGCAGCCATATAAAAAGCACGACAAAAAACAAAAACAGCAAAACACAGACTGTTCATTGTTGCCAGACGAACTCAAGTTGCTGCTAAAAATGCAAAAAAGCGAAAGAAAATTACAGGTATGCGCATTATAAGCCACCAGACAAAAAAAAAAAAAAACGGATTTATGCTCCTGCGTCGCTCAGTGTGATGTACATGTGTAGATTTTTTTTAATATTTTCAATCTTGCTGTTTCCACAAACAGCGCCACTTCTTCTGCAGCGTTCTTCTGAGGCACCGCCTAAAGCAGTAGTCCGGTGCCGTGTGTCATCAGTGCCACTCCTTTCTGCAAATGGTCCCCTTAGGCGACAAAAGGGGTTTACTTCAAAGTACTTTACTTTTGCCCGTGTGTCACGGGTATAATACTATTTGATTCTACCAGGAGCACAACTCATTTAGACTGAGGAGTGATAACAGTGCCATTTGTAAAAAAAGAAAAACATAATGCATTCACGTGGATTCTGGCTAATCTCTCGGCATGCTAGCAAGGACAGTTATGTAACCAAAATGTAAATGGGGCCAAAATTTTGAAGTGCTCATGTTTTATTGCTTGGTTTTTAATCAGCCTCGACTGCAGTTTCGGGCAGTAACTGCAATTACTAGTAAGTCGTTAGCAGTTGGAGGAACTTCGTAACTAACACTGTTATTTTTGTACCTAGCAGTTGTAATGGAAAATACCATTACAGTTACTTTTGCTTTTAGAAATAAACATATCCATCATTAACACTCATTAAGGGACCGATGTTAAATGATTTTAACTTATTTCGAACTTTCTTCTTTACCATATCCTCTCCACCTTTCAGCTTTCCACAATAAGGCTCCCCTTGCAGTTTAGGGGAAAATGTCGCTAAGAAGAATATCTTCGTGCAGAAGACTGTATTTGGAGCTTACTTGTAAACTGCTTGTCTTAAATTAGTCGCATTGATTGATTGATATGTGTTGTTTAACGTCCCAAAAGCACCATATGATTATAAGAGACGCTGTAGTGGAGGGCTCCAGAAATTTTGACCACCGGGGGTTCTTAACGTGTACCCTAAATCTAAGCACACAAGCCTACAGCATTTTCACCTCCGTCGAAACTGTAGCTTCCGCAGCCTAAATCAGTCACGTTGGAAGTGAATAGCTGCCGAAATTCATGTCCTTTGCTTTGTAAGGGAGCTTTTTGCCCTTTTTGCCACCTGATTTCTAGATCTATTCTTAGTGTGCTGGTGGAGCCTTCTTTCACCCAAGGCTCCAAGTGAATTGCATTTAAAGGGGGCGAGAAAACAAAAGCATGAAATGGCTGAAAGTCAGAAGGCTGTGCAATAGCGAAGCAACTTTGAAGACTTCTTTTTAACCATATTTCATAAGTCTGCTTCGACTGAACATGACAATCATTAACAAAATTACAAAAGTTTTGTTTCTTATGCTGGTTGTATACTCAGTTATACACTGGAAAAAAAAAAAGAAAAAAATGATAGAGAACGGACGTCGATCAGTTCATTAGTAACACATGTTCTTGCAACTGTTTCCAGAAGTACCCCCGATCCCTCTTCTTTTTTGGCTTTCGTTCATCAGACAGCACCATCGCATTGTTTAGGTCAAAGCTATGTTCCGAGTAGTATTCAGCAAGCTTTGTCTAAGAACGTGTTGCATAGTTGACTTTACCAATCTTTTGTTTCCTGATTCTTCGCTGCCAGTTTTCGCCGATGTAATTATGTTTCTTCGCAATCCCTGCATCGCACTTGCACATGATTCCTTTTTGATAGTTCGCAGGTGTGCGGTCTTTGTGTTTCGCGAACACGTGTTGCAAACGGTTTGTATGCTCAGCAGACACAAAACTCTCCAAAGCAGGGTCTGATAATCTTGAAGAACATAAAGAATTAACGTCGATGGTGAATGGGCGTCGTCTTCACATGCTATGCAGTTCTCATACCCCATTGTGCATTTTTATTAAAGGAGCAGTGACATAAGCATGACTCATGTCATGCCCCGTCATGGTGGTCTTAGTGGCTAAGGTACTTGGCTGCTGACCCGCAGGTCATGGAATCGAATCCCGGCTGTGGTGGCTGCATTTCCGATGGAGGCGGAAATGCTGTAGGCCTGTGTGCTCTGATTTGGATGCACGTTAAGAAAGCCCAAGTGGTCGAAATTTCCGGAGCGCTCTACTACGGCGTCTCTCATAATTATATGGTGGTTTTGGGACGTTAAACCCCACATATCAATCAATCGATTGAACCATGTCATATCAAGCCCCTGGTAACGATTCGGTACTAATAATGCAACTGAGGGACGAAATTATGTATGTGAAATGATTGGTATGACCGGTATTGAACCCAATTCAAAACGGGAGCAAAGCCTGCCGATTTTCAACACCACCAAGCGGTCACCTCCCACGGTCCTGCCCCATCTGATTATGTGGCCACATGAAATAGTGATGCAAATTTCAGTTGACATTTTGTCTGCTTGGCACGCACGTGTATAGGCATGTCTTCGTGACACCCATTTTGGTCGCCACCGTCATTAGCGTCCACAAGTGACGATGAAAGCAGTGAGGAATATTGAATAGCGGCGATTCCGGGCATGGAGAATCTTTTTCGGTTCGATTCTCTTCTCAGAAGTGATTACGAAATTGATGCCGGACCGAGCAGCGACGAGGCAGCTGGATACGCAGGCTTGGGCAACACTGACTGGTCAGACATATAAACGCCACATGCGTGGTACTTGTTCCGGAATACTGTAGCTTAAAATAATCACATTTGTGCTCGCGATTCCACGACGAGTCACCCGAAGCGGCACAATGAAAATGCAGCATTGACACTGTGGGGTCTCGAAATGGTGAGCGCCACAAAGCTCTTGGAGGGAACAGACACAGTAGACACAGTCAGAACAAACCAAGCCAACACACACACATTTATTTAACTAATTTAGAACGACGATATCGTCTGCTGAATTATAACATCAATCGGGATCAACACGCTAGGACATCCTTACACAACATTAAACAACACTCCACAACGTGACAAAAAAGATGGTGTCGCTAACGCCTGACTCACCATGTTGGCCTACCGCAGACGGCCCGCGGTGCTGTCCACAGCAGACCCAATGCTGAGACAACCGTCCGCGCTACCGCCCCACGCCAAAAAAGACTCCCTCAACTCTCTCCCGCCACCAAGGCTTGCCTTCTGCCAGGGGTCACCGCTGGCGCTACCGCTTACCAACTATGATGATGATAGTGGTGATCGCCGCTCGCGAAACACATTGCCACCTATCACTCCATAGTTGTCACTCCTGAAATAGGGCTTCTGTGCGAGACACGTGCGCCACGCAGCGCAAACAACTTTATGAGGGTGTCAGCACCTCCAAACACGAGCGTGCTGTGCAATCCAAGCAAAACAAAGCAGGTAAAGCTGTCTGCCGGCAGCCAGGCGTCGCCGCCAGACGGTAGGACACTACAACACCGCGATGACAACACTAATATTGTCGACGTCATCGCTGCTCGCTCATCGTCACTGCGCCCAAGGCGGGCCGGGCGGCCTAGGACCTAGCTGAACATGTCAAAATACTGTTGATGTCTCATGGCTGGGAACGCACTGTTGAGCCTTGGATGCTCCTTGCGCTCGAAATAGAATAATTTTTATGTAAGGGACGCCATTCATACTTCGCCTAAAAAGCTTTTGCATATCAAGTAATCGCATGAATGCCACGTCTCGAGTTTGAAATTTGGTGTCACTGCTCCTTCAAATTAATTCTATCATTTGGTATGCAGTATATTACTTTTTTTTTAATGTGGTAACGAAAAAGTAACTATGTTGGTACTTTTTTATGGTAACTGTAGCTGTGACAAACTACCTTTGGAAACTTGGTTACTGTAATTGTAACAGAGTTACTTTTTTTCGCTCGGGTAACTAGAGCTGTAACGCCTAATTTTTAGTGGTAACGTGCCCTTGACTGCTCAGATGTAATGCTGTTTTCGTATAAGAAAACGTTAATTGTGTTACTGTGGCTTTTTTTTTTCTGTACGAGTGAGGCTTACAGAATTATAGTGATTGCTACTTATAAATATTTGCCCGGGTCATATTCACTAGTCTCCAAAATTTCTCTGTACAGGCAATTTTCATGTGTTTCTTGTGTCTGTATACTATGAACTACAACTGCGTCTTACTTAGAAAGCAAGAAGAGATCTTACAGAATTTGATCACGGCAGCTTCCTATTATCATTTGTCGGTGGTACCTCAATCACGAGGTCTCATTGCTTTTTGTGTTCTCACTGCAGGCTGTGGCAAGGGAGATTGGATTGCCTCAAGACCTCATATGCTACTTTGCTTTATTTTTAGTAAAAAGGGAGGATGCGGATATAATAAGTGAGTCTGAACTTAGTTCCCATTCAAAGCGTTCCTTTTCAACATTACGTAACTTCTCTTCAGAAGAGTATGTGCAGAAAGGCAGGCTGTTACGTTGAGGTTTCGTTGTCACTGAGTGATGATATTGCTGAAGCTGATGTTGCAATAAACAAAGCTAGATGAAACATGACGCAAAACTCTTGTTAGCCTAGAGTATGAGGAAGAGTCGTTCAGGGGCGCAAAGATATGCACGAACCATTGCTTGCATGCCAATGACTGAAACAACCGAAACCAGACTTACAATTTTTCAAAGCTTGTACATGGCCATAATGTGCTGCTGGCACACCAGAAGTTTCATGTGACGTTGCTTGTGAGAAATGGTGTAGTGATTGTGGAACATTTCATAGCTGTAGCAAACTTCTGAGTGTCAAACGATGCATGGAGCAACTTCAAAATATCGTTGCGAATGGATGCGGTGTATATTATTTTTGGTCCAAGTGGTTCAAGCATTATAAAAGAAAAAGCGTCAAGCGTTATAAGAAAAAACGTAAAAAAAAGCGTCAACTGAAATTTAACACCTATGCGTATTGTAATCTGTGCACAAAATCTTTTCTCAGCTGTTCCTCTGTATATTGTTTAAGACCCACAGAAAGTCAGTTGAGCATGAGGCAATATGTTGAACATTTATCTATGCTGCAATTATTTCCTAGTTCTCGCCATCATTTCGGATAAGAGGCCTATGCAAGGCTTGAGATTTCATTTCTATTTTCATCTGTACTTGTGCAGATAAGTACAACCTACTATGCTATAAATACTATATTTCCCAATTTACAAGTTGCACCGTTGCATAAGTTGCAGCTCCCATTTTCACCAGGTTTCAAATAAAAAACTGGCATATAAGTCGCACTATTACACAAGACGCAATTATTCCGGCTTGGTCAGCGTGCGAGTTGCCTCGAACTGCTGTACTTACCATTTCAGGGCACTGCATTCCCATGTTACGCCCCAAATTCTAGCAGAAACAAGTTCAACCAAGACTCTTTATAGGTTCAGAATGGCAACATATAATACTTTTTATTCAAACCTGTCGAATGCTACATATTCTGATGCACTATCGAAGAGTTGAGTCACTTCAGCCCGCAGCATCGCTTTGTCACGCTTGTAGATTTCTGAATTGCTGCTCGAATTTCTGCTCGATTCTGCTTCTGCGTCGCTCTCTGCTGCTGCTCTTAATTAGGCCAGCTTTCCTGAAGCCGGCAGTTATAGTAAACACAGAAACTGCAGCCTAGGCTTCCCGAATCTACTTGGCTACCTCGCCAAACGAAGCATGTCTCGTGTGCCCCGATGGGGTGTAGGTGGGCTCACCGTCCGTCATACAGGCCTCTTGGAGGTGCCGCAATACACACCTAAAGCTTCGGTTGATGGCTATGTCCAGTGGCTGTACCATCTTTGTCATTCTACCGGGTATTACTACCGGGGTGCTGTTTGTCGGCCTTGATTTTTTTTACACTTGAGTCAGTGATGTGTGCTCTCATGCTATTCATGACCGAAATGCACCTCTTGAAGCAGAAAAATCTATCTGGTCTCTTGTCAAAGCACTTCTGAAGCCATGCAGCCATCATCTCCTCATCCATCCAGCCTTTTTAATATGTTTCGATAACTGTGCCTGGATGAAAGCTCTCTGTAGGCATGGTCTCCCTCTTAGAAATGACCACCAGTGGCAACTTTGTTCTGTCCGTGCAACAGACTAGGACGACAGTCAAATGCGACCTCTCATGCCCTGTCTTTCGCAGCGTCATAGTCTTCACTCCCTTTTCTGTAACAGTCCTTCCAACTGGTATGTCGATCGTCAGGGGTACTTCGTCCATGTTTATTGTATGGCTGTGAAGGACATTATGACTCTCAACTTCGTTGTCGCAAAATTCCTTGAAGTTCCAAAGTTTCTCCTTAAAGTCTTCAAGCAGCTTTTGGCGCAAGGTTGTGCGAGCTGGAAATGCCAGCCTGTTGTGCCTCGTGAATCTTGAGCACCACAAGGGCCTGCCGACAAAGCCAACAACACCCATTCCGTTTGCAAGTGTGTGTGCCTTAAGATGCACCAGTACTGTAAAATGTCCCCTACCTTCCGCCCGTTGTGCCAAAACTCACGGCTGCAGACCAGCTTCCAGTGCCCGCCACCGTGCTTTCTTGCCTCGGTCAACCTTTTTCGTACTCTTTGTAGCCTGAATCTTTTACGATGCCATCCGCCAGTTGCGAACCAATTTCTTGCTGATGCCGATGAATCTCCCTTTTGCCCGGTTGCCGTTCTCAACCACATAGGCAACAGCAGTCAACTTGAACTTCGCAGGATAACATCTTCGCGAAGTTTTAGACGCCATCACAAAACATGTGGCTCGCGTTGTAGTATACATGCATCTCGAAGGAGTACGGCTACTTACCGAGGGTCTGGTCTTAGCGAGCCGCAGGGCACGCATTAATCCGTCGCTGTGGCGAGAACACGGCAGTGCTCAAGGTCACAACAGTTTATTGTGTGCAGCAACACCGAAACGCAGTACAGAGCCCATTGCAAAGCCGCGGCGGGAAAGCAAATGGGCTTATCCACGCCACGGGCAAAGAGTACTACACAGGGGTGCCGCGCGCACAGTCTCGTGGGCAAAAGTGATTCATGGTGACACTGGAACAAATGGCCTGGTCGCTCGAGCGAGGGCAAAGGAATGCGTGCTTACCCCTTGTCGTCCCGGAGAGGCCCTCTCTCACTCCCGAAATGTGCGCGCGAAACGCTCGAGAGACTGTGCACGCCGCCACAGTCGACATCCGCTACCAGGTGAGAGAGGTTAAACGTCACTCCCCGCTCTTCCAGCGCGGCAGACCACAGAGTAGGGGAGAGTCACGTTGGCACATGAGAACGCAGAATGAGGCGGCAAAGGCCTCGCAAAGGCAGTGGTATAGCCTAGATTCCCACAGCATTCCCCTCGAAGTGTAGCGCGATGCCAACGAGCATCCTATCACACGTTTGACAGCATGGACACAAAAGCAAATGGCGAGCGGCAGATTATTTTGTGAGCGGAAGCGCATTTTCTTATTGCGATGCTGATTCAGCTGTCATGTTCAGAATATCGGGTAAATCGCACTGCCTATGTAGTGTGCGGGCCTATAGTTCTTATTTTTATTTCAGAGGTAGATGCGGTGTCACATTGAAGCAATAAAAGAAAAGCAGATGTGCCTTTTTCATGTCAACTGCGTTGATGTCACAGGCTTAACAATATCTTAAAAAACCTAGTGGTACGTCTGGTTGTCCATTATGAAGGCTACGTATATTGGAGGTCAAATCTTGAAGGTCATGCCGATGCTGCTGCGATAATATAGCTGTGCTGCCTGTACCTGATATCTGTTACCACTGTTGCAGTGTTAAAACGGAATTCGATTTTTATTTAAATGTTACTGCACCCAATTTCTTACACTTGTGAAAGCAATAAAAGATATGTGACGCATAAGTTGCACCAGTACCCATAGTTTTTCTGTACATAAGTTGTACTGTTGTATAAGACACACCAGTGAAAGTTTTTGAAAAAACCCACAACTTTTATACACCGGAAAATAGGTAGAAGTCGAAGAAATGAGAGCACTTAAAAGATTGTGTTTAAACATAAATTGTAATGTTTAACTTTATTGTTTGGGAGCGTGCAGCTTCTCTCTTAAAAAAAAAAATTTCGACGAGTTTCAGTTTCGGAAGTATTCTCTGTAATTTTCTTTCCTGTTTACATTTTTCAGTTCAGAAGCGGCTAGAAAACTTTGAGGCCCCTTACCTCTCCCAAACGTCAGCTGGTCCAGGTCACTGTATTGTTATCAGGAAAAGGTAGGCAAACAAAGTATATTTGTTTATGTTCAAGCTTTAAAAATGGTGCTGGTCTGTGCTCTGTAAATTGAAATGCAATATGAGATGATGAATGTAAGTTATAAAAACAATTTTGATGTGTCATACAAAAAAAATATGAAAAGATGAATGCTGTGAAATAAGGCACTTGGGGCATACCTGTCCATAATGTCATGCTCTGCGTGCTGAGGAATATTTCCATTTTGTGCTTAATGATGAGCTCTGCCAGAAAGAACAGATGTATTTTAATTAAGGGTGTGCGAATATTTGAAATTTTAGATATTTTTAAAATAATGTTTACTGTTCGATTCGATTTGCACTGCGATTTTAGTATTCGAGCTTCCCACTGACAAAACAAGTCAACGTCTTATTAAAAGTAAGCACTTCAGATTTTTAATTTATTTGTTTCATCTCGTTGCATTCTCGCATTGCAGCAAAGCTGCCTTTCAGGCTCCGCTACAGTCGAATTACTCAAAGGCGCAGTCAATGTCCGATTGGAAGTGGCCCCTTGCAATTTTAGTGTGCTTCACTCCATTGCATTCTTGTAATGCAGCAAAGCTGTCTTTTAGGCTGCTACAGGTTGCTTGAAGCCTAAGAAAACAAGGGTTCCAACATAGAGATGATAGAGGTGGCAGAGGTAGGGGCTTAATGAATGCTGTTTTGGACATGAAACTTGGGAAGTAGTCCAAAAGGTCGAACGCCGAAGATTTTTAGCATCGAAATTTTCTGATGTTCTTAAACATTAATGTGTATGAGGCATATTCGGAACTCTAGACTTGAAAACATTAGTTGAGCTTTCACAGAAGTTGAAAAGGAGGAGAGGCTGAGAAAATAGCATCTTTGCCTTTCACGTATTAAGAGTTCGCAGCCATACTTTGGTTTCCTAGAGTATTGTCTGTTTAGCAATAATCTGCAGAGAAACGTTGAGGCAACCATATAAAATTTGCGTTGCAGTACATTGGCCTCCCACTACTTTATTAAGAAGCCTTGCACTTGCATTATAGTAATTGAATAAAAACGTCATACTTGTTGATGGGCATTGGGCATGTGTTTTTTTAATAAGTGCTAGTAGGGAATTAAACATCGGCAGCTTGATTTATGTTGTGTAACAGAAGTTTAGGCATTTGGTTTGCTTTATATTAGTTCACGTGACTCTCATAAAGTTTCCTCTTCTTCCTTGAAACCCACAGCTACTGGGACAGCGGCTGGGACGATGCGCTAATGGATGATCGCATTGCTCTGAACCTGGCCTATGTACAGACGTTGAGTGATGTAGAACGGGGCTGGGTAGTTGTGCCCAAGGATACACAGCGACAGCTAGCCACCCTTCAAGCCAAAGGCTCCAAAAAGGAGGTGGGCTTATCTTTTAATAATTTGGTTCACTGCAATTCTTTATGCTTTTTGCAAACTTAGAAGTCAATTATCTGCACTTCCATACTGAAAGGAATATCCTTACTGCGACATTATTTTTACTATGGCAGTGTACCTTGTCCTTGTTGTTCGCACATGGAATCCCAACATCGTCTGTAGCATGCATGTCGGTAGAGTATGTCACTGTTGTAAGCGTCAGGTTAGCTATGTGCTATAATGCCGCAGGCAAACTTTTGTAAAGAACGAAGCTGATTGCATTTGGAAAGGGAGAAGGTTATGAAGTTTTTACACAGTGCATACAAACTTTATGACCTTACCCTTGGGGTCTTTGGCTGATAGGAGTGCTTTACGCAGAACCACCGTGAGAAATTTGGTTACTGCTTGCGTTATGAGACACCATCACGTATTTCTCCAACATTCGTGATCTATAGGAGTATAGAAGTGTGCCACTTATGAACACACGGAGTTCTGACCCAAAAAGACAGGTCACTCTGCATGCAGTAAAATACTGTGGGCTCTGCCACAACGCCTGTCAGTTTCAATTTCAGATGCCGAGTGTGGAACACTCTTTATTTTTGATGGCGTCACATGGCATGTGATGCCGTGGCGCTGTGCTGTGACGAATCCCTGTTAGTCAACCCGTGCTTGACGGATTCTAAAACTTTTTGCGGTGTATGATTCATGAAGCGTCATGTGTGAATAGGGAGGCTATTTCATATAACTAAGGTAAACTGTTGCAGGACCCCTGTAACTGTGCTGTTTTCTAAACCTTGGAAGACCTTGCAAGTTGTTAAACTTTTGCTTGGAAGTTCATTGCGGTGATGAAGCACTGTCGCACACAACTTAAGCTTGTTAGCCAACTTTTTTTCATAGTGCTAAAAAATTTTTTATGTGGTGTGTAGTTACGAGAGCGTTACTGAAGTTCTTTTCGATTCTTGCAGTATCTACAACTGGCACGGACTCTCAAGTATTATGGCTATCTACAATTTGCTCCCTGCTTCTGCGACTATCCACAACCCGATACACGTGTTCTCATTAGTGCCGGTGGTAGGGAGCTCAATTTCAGACTTGCCTTAGCACAGGTAAGTAGGCAGTGGTTCAGGGGTCTGATCTCTCTTACTGGCCTTACATCACTAAGCTGTTTTTCATTGTGCTCTGCCATCAAGTCTGACAATTCTGAAGAAGTGTACGTAGCACTATTTTCAAATAGTTTCAGCAATCTTTTTTCATTGAGATGTGCATTTCACTGTAATTGCACAAATATGAGTAAGTGCACTACCTGGGTGATTCCACGAGAGATTGAACATGCATGTCTGGACGATATTCTTGTTCTGTCTGGTTTTTTATATGCTACGTTGGTATATTAGAGGTGCTTGGAACTGAAAGTTTTATTTATAAAAACTGATGCCAGCGCGCCGAAAAATGCTTGAAGGTGGTGGCGTGCGCGTTTCACTATTGCTTGCCGCAACATTTCTTGATTTCGCAGACAAATTAAATGCGTTCTGTAAACTTTGTGTCGAAATTTTTTCTTTTTGTTTTAATTTGTGTCATAGTGAATCACATGCTTTTCTTAATTAAGCTGTCTGCAGAACCAAAAACTTCTGAAAAAATGGCAAACTCGGTCAAAATAAAAGAAAGTTTGGTTATCTTTGATGCGCCTTGGTGCATTCTCTATTTCTCACAAAAATTTCAAGAAAAGTGGCAATATAGAGTAATGTCTATTCAAAATTCTTGCCAAAGATTGTTTTCTTGGATGCAGCGGGATAGAAAAAAAAAAAGAGCTAAGGAAGCAAGTTTTGTCAAAAAAGCTCATTTTGGAAAAAGAAAATAAAAAAACCCTGGTCCCAATTTTAACCAAAGTTTTTTGGTTAAAATTTTTTTTTGTTTTTGGTTGAAAAAGCAAGTTTATTTTTTCTGCTCATTTTCTTATTGTTCTAGGACCAGTACAAAGAAATCAGCTTTCGAGTCACAAGGATACGATGCTGGAGGATCACAACTGCTGTGAGTAAAAAAATCACTTTTTAGTGTTAATGGACTATCAGTATCAGCGTGCATGTGTGTAATGTTCTCAGTGCCTTGAAAAGACTAAAAAAATGTAAGTAGCTGGATTGCACCTTGTAAAATAACTATAGCTGTGTGAATAGCAAAATATTGGGTGTAACATGGATTCAAACACAGTCAAACACAGATATATAAGACTCGAAAGGGATTGCGAATTAGTTCTATATATGAAAAACTCAATATAAAAAAAATAGAGGCCCCAAGAGCTTACCTGTAGCAGATCATCACCTACACTAGGTGCATTCAAGAATGACAACTAATTACGCACACACGCCGCAACAGAATGATTTATTCGCGTGAAAAAAAAAAAAATTGCTAACCTCGGCCTGCTTTTTTGTTTTTGAAATTGTAATGAAGAAGGTTCCACAGAATTGGGCACAGGCGTCCCCCGGCCTGACACTCTGCTGCCTCTAGGGGTGAAACGGCTGGGCCGAGCGTCTCGTGCTTAGCACTGACGATGTGTTTGCCAAGATTTGCATGACCCGCTACTTCTTCATTACAAAATGTTAAAGACGCCAGTCTCAATCTTATCACAACTCGCGAAATGTGTCGTCTATACGCTCGTCGTCGTCTTTACTGGTTTCCGCAAGTTCCGCCGTCTCGAAGCATGCCTTGCGGAAGCATTCGACCACTGTGTCTGTCTTCACGCCTCGCCAGACATCGAAGTTTTTTGCGGGAGCAAACTTCGCGGAGACTTTTGGCCACTCCTTTGTCATTCACTGCTGGATGTCCTGGCTGCTGACAGCTTCGCTTTTGCCATAAATGTTTTGTCAACGATGTTGTAGCGCTGCTGTAATGTCACCTGTGATGCTACCTGCTGTTGTCGGCGTAGTTTCATCGAGTGCACTGACAAACCATTAGGCCTTGGCGATCAGGATCAGGCTGTACACTGGAATGTTATTCACGCACACATATAAAAACCTGGCATAGAGTGCCTTTTCTACATTCCCGTGAGCAGAAGCGCGCACCTGACAGGCTCCCAACGTTGGCTGCTCCGCTACCTTTGCCTTGATATATGCCTTGTTTTTCAACAATGTACTCAAAGTGGTCTCTGGTATCCCAAAGTTGTCCGTGACGATCGAACATTTCTCGCTGGCCTCAACACGCTGAATAGCCTTCGACTTCGTCGCAAAGTCAAGGGTTCTGCGCTTCTTGACGCTAGCAATAGCTACACGAGAAGTCAACAATTCAAGGAGTCCACAGCGGCTTTGCAGTGCCAGGGTTACCAGATGGCGTGAGCCTCAAACTGCCAAATTAGACTTAAAGATAGCCCTAAACGTAGCCCAACGCGTAAACTTAAAGTAGCCCAAAAATAGTTCAAGTCAGTTGTTTTTTCAACATTTTTTTGAACTTATAAAATTAATTTCCCGCAAAACTATATGACTATTAGGTTAACAATCATCAACCCGAATTTTATTCTCATAAAGATGATGTTAAAACAGCCCCATCACTCCCATAGGACTTGTGAAGGGGGCTAATAGAAACGCTACATTTTGGTATACAAACACAGAGCACGTAAGAAAAAAAAGAACAACTGAGAAGACTCCCAGCATCGTTTACAAAATCCCATGCGCCAAGGGCCCTTGTTCGTAAATTGGAGAGACAAAAAACCGATCGGAACGACTCTGACAACACGCCAAGGATGTCCTGAAGCTGAACAAAAAGTGCAGAGTGATCGCCAAATATTGTGAGACGTTCGACAAGATAAATATCAACCACACAACCAAACCATCCTGGAAAGTGAGACTAATTGGAGAAGACTACTACTATGTGAGTCGTGGCATGTACAGCGAACAGTCCAAAACATTTATTGTTCCCTCCGAACCCTTCCCCCAGTGTATGCATACTGACTCCGCTGCCCGGCAAAACATCGGGTCATTAACCACCGCGCAAGTGCTATCAAGACGCCGCTGCAACGTCGCCATGGTCTCCGTGATGAAGGACGAAGTCGGTTCGGATGCGTCTGGTTTTCACGTTTTCACATACTTTACATTGGTTGGAGTTGAAATAGTTTTTCTCAGTTCACCTACCTTCTGTCTAATGCCTACATTTAAAGGCTCCCTTTGCTCAATCCCAGAATAATCAAGGGGAGTGCTTGCTCGCTCTCAAAACACCTTTTCAATGTGATTACACGTTGAGCCCTTTCTTGGACTATGTCTCCAAGTGTAGGGATCGTTGAACACATTTCAATATTTTGGTGGCGGGAGCCCAAGCAGCGCGCGCAAGTTCTTGGGGCCTTGTGTATAGGGGAGCCTGAGATTACAAAGGAAGGCCTACATGCTTAAGTCATTTGGGGTCCCCAGTTCGAAAATTCTCCACCATTGTACCGTCTTGCCTAGTCGATAACATTGTAGCCCAATTCGGCTATTAATAGCCCAATCTGGTAATCCTGCTTTGCCCACCGCGCACGCATAAAAGAAATGCTGCACATGCGATGGTACGCAGGCATCGGGACAGGAAAAGCAACAAAACATTCGCGACTCGTGAGGCGAGGGTGCAGAACACCGATCACCACTGGCAAAGACAGCAGCAAAAGACGCGAGCTTCGGTTGTCTAATCAAACCTCGCAAAACAGCAACGAAAAATAAAAGGCGAAAGGAGAAGGACGTCAGCTCCTTAGTTCATGCTTTCCTAGCCGACGCGTACGCGCATAAAGCATGAGAGAGAGAAAGAGAAGTGGAAAAAAAAAAGCCGTTTCGCAATTTGGAGATAGCACAGTCCGAGCTTTCTCGCCCCTTTTTTTCGAGTGTTTTGGCTTTTGGCGCAGGCGTGATGCTGCGCAGAGGTCGCTGGGTGCTGCTGCGAGACTGGGCAAGCTTGTGCGGCGTTCGATGTACCCGAAGGCGGGTAAAAATACCGTTCGATATATGCGTGGGAATTTCTATACTTTTACAAAGAAATTTCAAGGTGATAAGTTGCGAGTTCGATATACCCGAAAATTTGATATATGTGGGTTCAATATCACCATATTGTACTGTAGTAAAGTTTTAGTAAGAATCGAATTGAATCATTTTCTAAATATTCTTGAATATTTTTTTTTATACTTCGTAGTGGAATTCTATAAGAAAAAAGTTGTTGCATTCTAAAAAAATTCTTGCGTTTCAACCGTGCAACAGAGTGCTGCCACGTTGGGTTCATTAGGATGAACATTTATTGGCTTTTCAATCTCCTGCTTCAACTAGGTCCTCCATTCAAAAGCAAGGATACAAAAAGCAAATGTTTAAAGCTTGTTTTCAGGCCCCCAATTCGTTTGCCTTATTGCAATAAGGCAATCGTTTGCCTTATTGGTCAAACACACTTGCCAATTGGAACTATCCTCACTCTAAAAGAGCGACATCTGCATGTACAGTATAGATTGCTTGTAACGTAAGTCGCGGGAGTCGCGATTATGCGCACTGTGGTGCCAAAACCAAGACAATCTTTTTCAAGGGCCGCACTTACGCAAAACGTGTTGAGCATGCGGCTTTCCGTGTCTGAGAATTGAAACTGTGCGATGCGTGCTTGCTAACATTTAATTTCTGAATATTTAAAGAATTTAACGTCCAATGACTCGCATTGCCAATAAAATGAACGCAAATGGGGGGGGTCTAACAAGTAAAAGCACCATCACAGAAATTCGCCAACTACCAGACCGCGATTATGTACATTACACAGAAACTATGTCAAATCACGTCCAGAATGTGACGCGTTGAAAGACGCCAACCATTCGATTTCACGAGCGTGCACCCAATTTAAGACATCGCAATCGAATCGCGATCCACTATTTGAGAACTACACGTGCTGCCCTCATTTTCATTAACGATATGTATCCCTTCCCGTCAAGTGCAGCCACAGCAAAGAGTTTCGTTGATTCAGTAGCAAATCGCAACTTAGATTCACGCGACCGCTATCGATTGAAGTGCAACCAACGCCGATTAGGCCTAGCTTGCTGTTTGGTTGTTGTGGTGGAAAAATTGTCCAAAACACGAAGATTCGGCGTCAAAAAGATCGCACTAACAGTGAACCAAGAACAGCGTGCGTGATACGAAGTTCACGTTGGCTGCCAGGAGATAACGACGACAACTCGCCAAGCTTACGTATGACAGCACACTGGCAGCAAAAGTGAAAGCTCGTGTCATAAAACCGTTAAAAGTTTTCAATTTACAGATGATGAAGCAAACAGGATATTTATTGCAAGCTCTATGACGACGACGTGTTTCCCGACTGTTAAGTGCATGCAGTTGATAAGGACGGGATCACATATGCCACATTGAGCAGTGCACGGCCGAAGCCACGCTAGCGACGTAGTACGCTGTTGCCGCGCCAGCGCTGGTGCGAAGGCATATCGGTCACCGAGGCAACCGTCCTCCTCCCTTACCTGGTGAGCCCGCGTCATAGAACACCTACCAGTTTGCCCACACAGTGTCTCGCGGTCTTTTTTTTTTTTTTCATTTTCTTTTTCTTCTCTCCGCCCTTTGTTCGTTCACTCCATGTCCCCTCTTCCTCCGTAATGACCTCATCGTTCGCTCCCCAGCGGCACTTGACTCGGCTTGCCTCCTTTCCAAAGTGCACTCGCTACTGCGTTTGTTACCAACAAATTCTGGCAACCACATTATAACCGCTCTTTCATCTTGGGGGTTGCACAATAAGCGGTATGTACACATGGGGCTCTATGGGAGAGTAAACTAGAGTAGAAAAGGACCGCATTTTAAACAGTTCTGCACTATAAATTGTTACATTATAAGTGGTCTACACTGTACATGGTGATCGAGGCCATGCTGTCGACAATACTTAGTGACACGTTCTCATTCGTTTAGTGTGCACAGGTCTATGATTACTTGGCGCTTTCTTACACTTTAGTTGGGTACCTGGAAATAAACCTCAATAATCAATTTACGATAGCATGCCGCTCTTGTTATGAATATCACGGATGCTTGTTTTGAACCGGACGTACAATATAGCATTGATTTGTGATGCCCACAGTTGGAGGCTCTGCTTATTAGCACTTCAAACCTCGAGACAAAGACCATAGTGGGATGGCTCTGCGTTGTCACAATTGAGCATGGCATACTTTGAAACATTGGTCACTGCAGCTACGCACACTATGACCGAGCTTTGTGCTCAGGGTCGTGGCTAAGCCTAACACTGCTCACCGCGTTGATGTGCAACATGAATCCAAACTTTGTGAACAAGGACATATTGCGCTAGTGCACGTGCGAAAGCAAAAAAATCGCAATGTGCTTTGTTATAAGCAACGAGTTGCATCGCCTGCTGACTCCCCACAATTGTGGACGGGCATTTTACGCTTTGGCAATAGTAGAGTTGGGCTGGTTAATACCTAGCCATACTTGTCGTGCAGTTACTGCTCAGAGCACCGGCGGAGGCGGCTTGCAGTTTGGCACATTGGTGCCCTTAAAACCTTGACCAAGTACGCCGATTTATTATTTTTACATACCAATATGTTTATTGCCCAGAAATCCGAGTCATTAAATTTCGGTGTGTATATTTATTTCCCAAAAATTTGAATAGTTCAAATAGTAAACTTACGGCACCAATTGAATAGGGAAAACCATTAGAAAAATATTCCTAAGTTCGATATTTGCACACTCTTAAAAATAACCAATATGTGATATTAGAAGGGACGCTAAAGGTAAATAGCAGCTTAAGTTACAGGAACAGGAAAGTTAATGTAAATGTAGGAAGTGACTGTAGCATACCCGAGAGGAATATTCTAGTACTATCGTGATTATGTAGCAAAAAAAAAAAAAAATCTGGCTCTGCATTTCAAGACGGAATAAACTACACTTTTCTCCACAATGTTACATCAATGTGCCATTGTTTATGCATGTGTGATGTGTTCTATGCAAGAAACTTTAGCTTTGGTGGGTCGGTGGTTGGGCAGTATGGGACCGTTACGGCATGAACAAATTTCTCTTTAACTAAGCATTTCCTTGGCATGACAACAAGTGCTGTGAGGTTTCTAAAATGGCCTTTAAAGGGGCCGACAACCAATTTTTTCTCAACCCAGGTTTTTATGGTGCATTAAAATGCTCACTCCTTGTAGTGTTTGTAGCTGCAGTGGTTGATCTCAAAGGCATGTGGTTATCTTACTAGAAGTATTTTTTGATCTGAAAAGCCTTTGAACTGTACCTAGATATCTTCCAGCAATGCTGTGAAGGGATCATGATGCCTATAAGCCTCTTCGCGTCATGCTCAAGGTTTTGCTTTCACAAGAGTGGGTGAAACTGTAGTTTAGCACTTTCATATTGACATTTTTGACCATTTTTTTAATTTATAAAATCACTTGAAAAAATTTTTCGAATGCTTGTCATCACATGAGATTTCTTTATTACCTCGCCAGCTAGGCGCTCGTGCCAGTTCTGGTGATGCATTGTCGTAGGTAACCTTAGAGGCCGCAAAGCTAACTTCGTACTTTGCTCTTACGGGGGCGAGTTTCGCCGCTCATGAGCATAGAACTATACGTCAAGCAAGCGCGACACGGCACCACTGTTGTGCTCAGTGCAAACGAATGCATATCCTGCACATTTTAGAATAAAAAGATTAAAATAAAAGGTTTGCGACATTAGAACGCTAATATAGAGACACTTAATAGTGAACACCAGTAAAAGGTTACACAATACTTACAAATGCACGTTCACTTTTTAGATGGGAAGCAGCTCTTTGACTAGCCTGTGTAACACTGTCCCTCCGTCTACATCACGCTCTCCTGGCTGCAGGTGTTGGGCAGTGCCAAGTAGGTCACGCCTTTCCTTGTAGTGTGCGTGTATTGACGCTACTCTCTCCCTAGCCTGTCGCCGCTCACTGCTTGTCATCTCTCTTGCTTCACCCTCTCCACCGCTCGCAATGCTCGAGCCCACTCGTCATGTGGGCATCATCTCACCCGCGTGGCACCACCTTTCTCCATCTGTCGGCGAGAAGGAGTCACAAGCCGGCGAATGCGCGCGCTAAGCGCGGCCAGATTCTGGACGCGCCGCAGAATTGCGGATAGCGCACTGCTGTTTGCCGCACGATCGCGCCTGCGGGCGGGATGCCATTGCGGCATGCTTCCCGCTAGTGTGCACGTACCTTTTTCCAGCTGTCGCCAGTGTTGCGAGGGTTGGCAAAGCCGATCACATTTGCGAATGGCGACGTCATCACCGATGAGGCGCAAACAAAGGAAGCCGAACTGAAGCGTTGCCAGTGGAAGACCAGCGTCACCGACAAGGTGCGAGTCAAGAACACAGATAGCGTTTGAGAATGCAGACGGCGTGGGCTTAACACTGATGAGACGCGAGCCAAGGAAGCCGAGCGCAAGTGTCTTCAATGCACCCTGCCTCCCATGTCTTTGCGTTTAAAACAAAGGTTTACTCGAGTAAACGCTACACCGAGTTTCGCTTTAAACTGTTCTTCCAGCCCCTTCCAGCCCCTTCCAGCCCGTTTCAACTTGGTTAATGCCGTGTGCACCGCTGCACCTTCGCATCCCATCATGGTCTCCTTCGGGGAGATGGTCCATAGTTTTTTGCCACCAGAGGCACCAAAAGTTGTTTTGAGTGAAGAATGAAAATGTAAGTACGCATTTAATGATAAAGAATGGGTGTGTTTTACACAATACAATAGGTAATCCTTATTAGTCTGGTTATCTCAATTCGTGCTATGAGCAGTTTTCGGTCCCTTTAAGGAATCATGATGAAACATGGAAAATAAATATGTGGTGCCATAAGCATCGTTCAAGAATATTTCTGCTGCAGTCGAAACTCTTATTCCTTGTGGAATGAATGGTGGTTATGACGACGCTTGGCTGCTGTCTGAAAGTTTCGAGTGCAATCCTGGCTGCGGTTTGATGTATGCGAAATGCTAGAGTCTCGTTTACTCTGCAATAGCAGTGCACGTTATAGAACACCAGACGGCAGAAGTTTCTGAAGCCCTTCATTGCAGAATGCCTCACCATCATATTGGTAGTTCTGGCACGTAACAACCTGAATATTATTACACAACTTCTATTTCTTCCCATGAATTAATTCCATTTGTACTCTTGCATATAGTGAGTGCAATGCATATCTGATTTCCTTCTTCGTTGTTTTTATGCATCATCAGCAGCAGCTCGCTATCATCTTTGTTGTCTTGACTCAATCTTGTTTAATATAGAGTGGTTATTTATTAATACTTTTTTATTGCATTGCAGTCTTTTGTATGGTGTGACCACCTATGACACCGTATCTCAGTATAATTAGAGCCACATGTGTATCTTTGCCTTTCAGGTGATAGACCATGCAAATGGAGAGTGTTCTGGGAACTCTCAAAGTTCAGATGGAAAGCACCAGAGACTAGAGCTTTCATTCGAGTACCTGATGAGTAAGAACAAGCTCCAATGGATCACAGTGGTCAGCAGTCAGGTATGCAAAAAATCGAGTTTATGCTCGTTTGCACGTTTGTTAATCTTTGTATGTTGTGTACAGCTGCACAAATGAAAGAGAATCTTGATTCGTTCAAGCTCTATGTATTTGTAGCAATTGGAGCTATTATCTTTTTTGGGATGCCTACTTGAGGAATGGTTTTGGTAATGCGACTAATAAGGGAGATAAACTAGAGGTGTGCGAATATTGAATATTTGAAATGCTGAATATGTCTTGGACATTTTCTAGTAAGCTTCTCTAATGGGTAAACCCCAAAGGAATGGCAAGATAGAACAGCGAGGGGTCGTTTTTTTTGTTTTAATAATTGAATGATTAAGGTGTATTGAGCCCTAGCTTTCACGAGTCTAGCAATGCTATATTCATCACTGGATGAATGCTTTCAAGTATGGTGCCTAGCTGTGAACTAACAATTTTTTTTAAGTCATTCTAAATGCTGTTATGCTGATTTTAACCAAAAATATTTAATTTTGAAGGATTAATTAGATCTCACAAACAATCATGCCAAAGAAAGTGTAGGGAAGTTATATGAGGTAATTGTAATGTAAATGTGAAAAAAGAAATGTGGATAAAAAGATAACCGTGCTGAAGAAGTGCTTGCAGGGCCCCTTTAAGGGCCGGAGCTTGGCGATTATGTTACGCTGCTATACAGTCTTGACTTAGGATGTGAACGATTTCGAATAAGTCGTCGTGTTTTATATCCCGACATTATAGACTTGTAACCAAACATTTGTGTGATCTAGCGAGAAGTGTATTAGTCGGAGCCTCGAGAATGTCTGCGATTGTGGTGGACGCTGCTTCCCTTGAAAACCATGTTGAGTACCACTGTAATTTGCGGGGCCATCTCAAGAAGCAAATGGAAGCATATAACTGCAGCTGAGCGCTTTTCACGTTTACCCTGGCATATAGAGATGCAGTGTAAGTGCAGCTGTAATGTGCGTTATCTGTGCAGGCGATCCTGCTTAGTGTGTGCCTGCAAGGCATGGTGGGTGAACTGTTGCTGAAGAAGCAAGGCGCCAACCGACCCCAGAATAACAACACTCGCCAGAGGCCAGGCAGTGGTCGCCGTGGCTCGTGGAGCTTCCTCAAGCGCGATGGTTCCAGCTACCAGATCTCTGTCAGCCGATCTGCATCCACCGACGGTATTGTCCACGAAACGGTAAGGGCACAGTTTTCTCCCTGCCAGGTTGATTGCATAGTCTTTGATTCGATTATGCAATGCTAAGTTATCAAGGTGTGTAAAGAGGCTCAATTAATGCAATCCTGACTCTTGCATTTCCCTAGTTCTGGTGTTAATTTTGCATATTTTAGCAGGAAGATTGTCGAAATCTTGGCTTCCTAATTATTGCATCTTCTGGGACCTTAAATTTTTGAAACATGTCCACTTTGGTGCATTCTTAATACTGCATGGCAGTGAGGGGTTAATTTTATATGCAGATAGGGCTAAAGACCAGCTGTGTAGCTAGTGGCATATTTTTGGTCCGCACATTGCGTCCCCAAACTGTAGTGCAGGTAATTCCAGTGACAGCACGCTCAGTCAAATTAGTCAACCAGTCAAGTCAGTTCCAAGAATTGTTTGTGGCTATAAGAACAATAAATGTTCACCAGGGATTCCACTTGAAATACAAGCAGTGTTGTTCATTTTGTTGAAACATAAAGTCATGTTGGTGTGGGTCAGCTGGTATTCATTTAGTATTGCAGCCGTGCAAGAGAAATTTTGCCTTTTTTGGGCCTTTACGTTTCTTTTGCTTCTGTGAGGCAGTTGTGTCCCTCATGCAGGGACATACCATGTGAATCGAGAGAGAGGAAAAGCACGTGGTGCATTACAGCTAGAGCGAAGAGAAAAGCTGTCCAGAGGAGCAAAGTGCTCCTCTCTCTGCTGTCCGTTTGCTTTCGATGCAGGTAGCCATGTGTTATTGTGCTGACTTTAATGGAAGGAAGTCAATGTGCATGCTTATCACAGCTACACAGCATGAAAATATGTGTACAATGGGGATAACGTAAAGGCGAGGTGAGCTCTGCGTTGCTTCGTAAATTGCGAGATAGTTTCTGGTAATTCCATGACAGATAGATGCAATAGCGATGCCTTATAATGCACAAAGCAAAAGCACGATTGTTATGATGATGATGATGATGATGAGACGTGTTGCTGGTGTCAAACGACTTCAAGAAGGGAGCCATGCGAGTTGTTTGAAGTGAAAAAAAATTGTGTTGTTTGTTGCTTCATCATGAAGGTAAGCTCCACCTTTAGTGGATTGACCACTTCTTTCTTTAATTGATCGGAGATATAGTATATGTCGTGGCTGACGTGTCGGTCGGCGTTTGGAATAACATTTGCAGGAACAATAACCAGTAGTCTCTTCTGAGTATTTTAAATTTCGGTAAGTTTTCTTGTAGTGCACGTAAAGGACAGGAAAAAGTGAAGGCACATATAGATAGACAGAGTGCTCGTTTCTAACAAAGTTTTTTTCAAAAACTAGGGAACATTTATGCATTTGTCTAGCGAGTCACAGTTGCGTGATAATGGTGAACAAAGAGATAATGTGTATGTACGTACATACACATGCATATATACGCATACTTTGAATATCTTAAGGCATGCGCAGATACGTTAATTCTTTTTCTGACAGTGCTCTCGACGGCTTGCTGACACATATCTCCAAGTGCAGCATTATGTTCGGCTTGTATTATAAGTCGTGTCGTTTCGCATTTGCTTCCAGCTGTTATTCTCGTGTTTTCCTGTCCTCTATCTGCGCTACGAAGAAAACTTGCTGAACATGTCGACCAACAAGCCTGCATCGCATCCCTCATGAACAGTATTTTAAAATTGACTGTTTAAAAATGTCAGACCAAGAAAACTGTCCTCATGCCTTTCTTTAAAGGGACACAAAAGAGAAATAATGACTTGGTTTAAATCGATAAACCGCAGTTGAACTCTAATTTCATAAGTTACACTGTTGTAAGTTCATTATTCACAAAAAAAACCAAGGTTGAAGTTTCATTTTTAAAGCTCACACTGAAATCACCGTGTGGGACGTGGCAAATTTTGAAATATTTTTCGAATTTTCGCGACATTGGCTCAACAAAATTTTCCAGAACTTTGTATGCTAGGTTTAGGGCACCCTCAAAAAAACAATGTAGTTCATTTTTTATCGTGTAGAAGCGATGTAGAATCCAGTAGAAGCCTTCAAAGCTTCAAAGAATGCACAGACGCTTATGTATTAGAATCCCCCTTTTACACATTTCTGCTGTGTTTTTTCCTGATACTTAGTGAGCTGTTGCTGTGCTGGACTTATTGAGGAGGTGCGTCAATCAGTTGGGTGGATGTGTGCTGTCACAAGTTCATTCAAATGTTAAAAGAAAAAAAAAAAAAACTCTTAGTGGTTGTTTTGCAGAATAAAGGCTGGGTTTTCAAAAAGAATGTATTTAAACCATGAACTAATGAATAAATTCACCTGAGGTAGACCTTAGTGCAATGCATATGTTATAATTTAGCAACACCTTTTTTATATTTTCTCTACAATGTTGTACATTTCTTTCTACTGCATTATTTTTTTTTGTCGTGTCGTGGAAAGTGTGTTAGAAAGCTTTCATCGTATTGTGCATTTAATAAAAGTGAAATATTAACAATATTAAATATTCAGTGCTATAATATGTAATATGCACATGTTAATATTGTAGCTTTTCTACGGGCAGTTTCGGCTTCATTTACAGAACCTGTGCAGGGCCTCTTGACGTGATGAATCATAAGCTGATCACGTCATGGTAGCCTCTTGTGGAAATTTCCAGCTGTCTTTTACTCTGCGATGAGTTCTGTTACTATTCATTTATCCTTTGCAGGTCAGCTTTTTTAAGAAGTTGTGACTTGCATACATGCTCAGAAATAATGCTTGTCTGGAAAAATTACTTTCGGAAACGGGACTTCCCGTGACATTCCTGCCTTCATGCTGTATCCTCCCACCTAATGACAGTTACGAAGAGCAAAAGAGAAAAGTGTTTGTGTGTTGCAAACAATGGATAACTCATGTCACTGTCACATTTCGTTCTCTCTTTTCTTTTTTTTTTTTTGTGTTCAAACATAAGATTACGCGCAGAGTTTCACGGCGGCAAACACTTACCTTCGATTGTGACTCTAATCTCTTTTTCCCGCACTCGTAGGCAGGATGTGTGTGTGTGTGGTGCAAGAGACGGCATTGTGCTTATCAAGGCTGTGTAAGAAGCGACAGTATCTTGCACCTGTTCGTGCAGCTGTACTCGGGTTGCCTTTGAAGTCTGTGGAAGTTGTGCATTTGGGCAATGCAAGTCAACTCCGACTACTAATTTCTCTCTTGGAGAGCAATAGTTCCTAGTTTAGCTAATAAGTTTGTGTTAATTATGGTGAAACATAGCAGATAAAGGGACTTGTGAGACAGGGGAGGCCGTGACATCATCTAGGAATCCCGGAGCGCAAAATTTGTTCTAATAATCCCAAAGGCCGAATGAAAAGCATTATGAACTGATATATTCTTATACCTTGAAGAGGTCGATAAAGTATTTATCGGTTCTTACTATTAAATATTATGTGGCAAATGCAGTACTGAAATTATTGGGAAGAAAAACTGAATTTAATTTGAAACAAAATGATTGGAACCTTTGTTCACCAAGAAATCCACTCATTCTGATCGGGCTGCTGATATTGCTTTTCAAGTGGGACTTGATTGATGTCAGGCGATAAGTAGTAACCCATTTAAATGGTGCCTCAGGGTGACCCAATGCAAAACAAGTGACACTTGGTGACTTCATGGGTGGAAAGAGTGCAGGCCATTAATATATCAATACTACTATAAAAATGACTTCACCCCATGTGGTTCTTAATACACATTTAATGCTTTTCTAACCACTGTGCACATGAAGGAGACAGCCGCGATAGTTGGTGGGGTTTGACTTTGTGGAAGAAGTGCGCTTGCATGTCCAAACTGAGAGATTTTCTTTTGACAGCAATATATAATCTTGTGCATGTCTTGTGGGGCTGATAAAAAAAACTATCGATCGGCAAAAAAGCCAGACCGAACGCCGTTTCTGGGTTCGAACTTCTCTCATACAGTGCTCGCCTGCACGCATTTATTCCTCCTTTTTCTATAGGGGCGTTTCACTAGGGGTGTGCAATAGTAAAATTTTATCTCGAAATCGTATCGAATTGTGGCCAAAAATGTTGAATATTGAATTGAATACCAAAGAATTTGTTGAAAATTTAAAGAACAAAAGAATGCAATCTGCTCATGTCCTGGAGCGCATATCGTGGCGAGTGACTGCCGCTGAACGACTACAAATTGTCATGCTGAAGCACAAGCTGTTCCAAATGACCTTGCTTCAAACTTTATTGCCGTGATGTAATACTGTGTTTTCTGCAGCTGAAAACGTGCACTCACTGTGGGCGTCTTAGTAGCAGGAATGGGAAGGTGTACCTGGATGAAGTGAAAGTCCCCTAGTCTGTTCTTCGGCCTTTTATGTTGGAGCCATGATGTGTGGAAGTGGCATATTCTCTTTCGAAAATAAACATACCCTCAGTTTTGGTCTAGTATTTAGGTGAAGCTTTTAACAGAATGCCTTTTTAACAATGTTAGCATTAATTTCAGCCAGCCCACCCTAACCAAGTTGCACGATTGACCCATGTCGCACATTGCACATTAGAAACTTTGAAGTTCTGATTGATTGATATGTGGGGTGTAACGTCCCAAAACCACCATATGATTATGAGAGACGCCGTAGTGGAAGGCTCTGGAAATTTCGACCACCTGGGGTTCTTTAACTTGCACCCTTATCTGAGCACATGGGCCTACAACATTTCTGCCTCCATTGGAAATGCAGCCCCCGCAGCCGGGATTCGAACCCGCGACTTGCGGGTCAGCAGCCGAGTACCTTAGACACTAGACCACCGCGGCGGGGCAACTTTGAATTCTAGTCTAACCCCCATATTCACAAACGCTCCTTCACTCAAGGGCTCTCCTCGACTTGAAAAAGTCGATCGGAGTGCCATCTCTTGGCAGACCAAGTCACTGCTTATCGGCAATATTCTGCAGCGATTCGTGAGAAGCGCAGTGTCAATTTCAGCCGAGCAGCGGCGCAGTGCTCAACTCAGTCAAGTGAAGGATGGAATTCGAGTCGAGGAGCGTTTATAAATACGGGGGTAAATCAATTATACCATTAGATATTCTGCTATTTGAATTTGATACTCAAATATTCTTTCACCCATACTTGTCAGTGCTTTCAAATTAAGGAAAGAGATGAGTAAAGTATAAAGTCTGCAGTTCAGTCTGATTGCACTGCCTCACAGTTGCACAATATGATTTGTCGTGCGTTTCTGCATCTTACTGTCACTTTAGAGAACTAGTGCAATGCACCTATTCTCACTGTGAGTGAAATTTAATGTATATTGTGTTTATTGTGGGTTTTGACTGTTATCTTTTCCATCGTGCTCGAGTATAAATATTGCTGTCTGTTGATCATTTTGTGTCCTGGTTTGTGCTTTTAGCGCGAGGATGGCAAGTCTAGGACGAGAGAGACAACGCGAAAGCACAGCGTAAGTTGCTTTTGACTAGTGGATCATTGTATATGTCACCTTTTTTTTTTTTTAGAAAAAAAGTGAAGCGAGAGAAGTTGCTGCGTACACTGAGAATTTCGGGAGAAAGGGCGGCATTCTCTTATGCAACTGTTCAAAGTGCAGCACTTTTGGAACAGATAAACAGCTGAAAGGTAACAGAGGAATACTTACTAGATAGCTGTTGCAACCTATTAGTGCCAACTTCAAAGAAGGAAGTATTAGTGCCAACTTCAAAGAAGGAAGTGTTAGAAAGGAGGAATTTGTGAGGCTGCAACAAGCTGTGACTGATGTGCAGAAGGGATAAAGTGTAATAAACAGTGTGTACACTGAGACTCAGGGCACGGAGATGTGTGCAGGCTGTACATCTGAAGGTAAACTTGTGAAAGATTTTTATTATCTGTGGCCACCACACTGCCAACGTGAGTCCTGAATGTAAGCATTACTTTTTCTAATGGGAACATTAGGAATGTCACAGTCTCGTAAAGCAAGTAGTAGACCTAGCTCGTTCGTGTCAAATCTTAGTGACGGTGATTAGCTTGCAACATTTTGTGCTTCGCACATGCTGTACATATTAGTAGTTGTTTCATTTTTCAAAGAGAATATAGAATATGAAAACCTTTGAAAATTAACTCTGTAAGAAAGAAAATGTGGGGAGAAAATGTATGTGGCATTTTAACCACATAGAGCCATACTCGCATTTTGTGCAGATTACTAAAACACATGTAAAGACATTAACAGGTTGCGGTTTAGCTGTTACATGCGTCTATATGAGCCTAATTGCACTTGTATGACCAACACAGTGTATTGAATCAATCTTTTGAAGTGGATAAAGTGCTACAAAGAACTTTCATTATTTTACAATGTCATGGTCCCCAAATGTTTGCTCTCGTGTCTGTGCATAATTATTTTTATGCATGTAGACAGCACATTTCATTTGTGCCCCTTACAGGACCCCAAACGTAACAGTGGGATCATGTCTCCAAAGGCTACCATGGAGAACGACGCGTTTGAAGGTATTGGTGACGACGACCTTTGAGCATCGTTTTATTCAATGGACTTTAAAGATGTGACTGGTGTGACATATGTACTCTTTTTTATGGATGGGTGCTGGCATGAAGTATTGAGTGATTGAAATGCTTCTATGGCCAAGTGTCGTAATACTTTGGCATTCCAGCAGCGAGTGCCCGAGATTTATTATCAAAAGCTTGATTGTGTATACCGTCCTTGTGTTTCTGCTTACTGACGTTTGTTGCAATGTGTGCCGATCAGAAATGGTGCTTTGTTCTGCTAGATGGATGAAGTATGGCTTTATTTTGCCTTTATTTTTTTTTTGCACCGTTATTATGGAAGCGTTTGCTGCGAAAGGCTTTATTCTTTTCCAAGTCTTATTCTTCTATGCAAAATCACTCTGTGGGAAAGGTTTGTAAAATGCTTAACCCTTGTCTAGAATGCTCAACTGATAAGTAAATCGTCAAATGGACAGGTGCTGTAGTCATCTGGCCAGTCTTCGAGAAGAAATATTTTTAGTGGCATGCAAATGTGACGCTTAGTACGAGTCTCTAATGAAATGTATTTCATTACACTATTCTGAATTGTTAGGAGACATTGCAGAAAAACAGCTTAGTGTTAAAAAACTAACTGATGTAAAGAGAAGGGAGCAGCATGCAAGGCACAAGCCAATTAGTAGAGAACGGTAAAGCCAAATACTTTTTTGAAAAATTTTTTCAAGTTTTTTGTACAATTGCCTAATTCTTCTAGTTACTGCTGTATTGAAGCACCTGTTATAAGTGACACCACATTCACAGCACATTGTTTTAATGACACAACTGATTTGCATGCCTTGGTTTAATCTGTTTACAGCAAGGAAATAAAAGAAAACTAGAAAGTAAATTTTATTTCCTCAGAAAATTTATCGTACTGATTGGTGGAAGTTGAACGATTACATGAATCGTTATAACTAAATTCAGTGTTTATCTACTGCCACCACCAATATTAACTGCATGCATATGTTCTGTCCGTGCACTAGCTGGAATCAAAGCTGGTTTTAGGCATGAAAATACAATGAATTAGAGGAGACTGCATTTTCATAATGCTGTGAACACTGCAATTTCTTCCTAAATTTCAACACCCTTACGTAGCATAAGCTATGAAACAATGACTGATATGAGAGCATCTTGCGTGCGCTTCGTCCTGTGGCGTGAACGACCCCGTAGGCAGCTTTCAACATTTCTTGCCTTTGCTGCTGTTGCTTGGACATCTGCTATAGGAACAGATTCTTAGTTCTCTCTTTTTGAAAGCCTGGAGTGTGTATTTGTGACTCATCTGTAACACTGTGTACATATCTGGCGCTGAAAGAGTGATGTGGATTTTTCCAGTGTGTGTGTGTAAGGCATGATTGTTGGGTACAGTTCTAGACATAATATTTGTGCAAGGCTTAGCTATTGTCATAGTGCGACAGCATGCCAGAAATGTGACCTGAAAATCGTTAGTGTTCTGGCTCAAGTGGGAACTCATGCACTCAACGTGTACGTATGACAACGAATCTAGAAACGTAAGTTAGAGCTGTTTGTTTTAAGCACTTTCTTATTGTTAAGTTTCTGTGCATACTAAATATCGTGCTTGCTATGGCCCATCCACAATTTATTTTGCTCGTTTTTTAAAGCTTCCCGCAAGCTTGTTTCTCATTTCACAGTGACACTTGTCACTATTGTCGGAATATAGCATGTTATGATTGTTGGTGAATGCCATTTTATTTTGTAGAGTACCTATTAAGTGCTTACCCTGCATATGCCGCCCGGTAATCCTAGCATGTTAACGTCAGTGCAGCTTCTCTGGAGAGAGGTTTTATTGCTTGCGTGAGGTTCCGTTGTAGTGAGATTTGTTGGCCCATCACATCAGCTTCGCGTGTTTGGAAAGTTGTGGCTTTCCGTCTTCTTTTTCGAGGGGGACACTTACAAGGCCACACTATGTTTAGTTGTGTTGAGATTAGTCCCGTTTGTTGGCATATTATTATGTTTGGAGCTAGGCTTATCAATTACAACATATGGGCTGTCATTTCTTTATATACACACACACATGCACGCATACACACACACACATCTATATATATATCTATAGGCATGTATACAATGCTTGTTTTATTGATTTTGTACACTGTTACTCTTATACGTAGAACAGCCAAGCTGTGTCTATTTACCCGGTTTATCTTTTGCTTGGCTGGCATGGGGAAATTATTGTTGCCGGTTCTAAACCGTCATTTCTTCTTCCTTTAGGCATGAGCTACCTTTTGCTGCTGTTGGCAACAAGTGTAATTTTTATGTTAGCATGTCCTCCTGCTTCCAGTGGCCGTAGAGAGCTTTGGAAAGTTGCCAGATTTGTTGCTTTTTTTTGTCGCAAGATTTGATATAGAAATTTCTGTTATGAAGATGGATTATTCAACTAGCAGAAAATAAGCTTGTTTTCTGCTGGATATATTTAAACCATTTCAAAACAGAGAAAGACAAAAAAAAAGCAGCGTCCTTTGGCTGTGTATCACATACAAAAAAGTGTTGTGGTTGAAATGGCCTATTTGGCTTTTATGATTGTTTTTGCAATGTCTGAATTCAGTGCCAAAGTCAGTGAGAGAAGTTTTGTTGCCATCATGCTAGATACATATGTGCAATCATTTCAGAGCAGTTTGGTAATGCGCCAATTTTCGCGGCAGCTGGTTACAGTCGGCAAGTTGCTCTTTCACTGTTGTTGAACAAGGAATGCTAACTTTGTTGTAGTTGTCTATGCTCTAACACGAAAAAAGTAATGCATGTGGCCATAGCTATGTAATAGACTTTTCCTTGCGGTTTCAAGGCCATATTGCTTACAGAATGCTAGCATGATAATCACACGTATTATGCATTCTTCACTATATGACTGGAAAATATTTGCAGGTTCTTGGTCATGAAGTAAATCTTTTCCTTAGAAGTCTCTACTTAACCTTGACATGCTGCATTATCTGGCTTTGGTGTGTTCGTAGAGTACTATCAACATTGAAGGCCCAAAATAAGGGCTACACACTGTCCTATTGTGCTGAAATGCAAAGAGGGGGTGAGGGAGGGTGGGGAGAAAGGAAAAATAAAAAAGCAAATAACATCAAGCTATTTCACTTTGTAAGAAACTTAGTGATGGAATCTGGGATTTGTACCCATGTAGGAGAAGGTTGTGGAACTTGCCCTTTGCGTAGGAGCTTCTTCATTGAGATACTCCCCAAATATTGTTGAAACCTTTTTGTTGTCGTTGTTATATGCCATAGCTCTCAAACTATTCACAGCTTTGTTTGGGACAATTCCCAGCCGAAGATTTCTCGTCATAAAGCAGCACAGCTCACGATGCTCTCTCTCTCTTTTAACTGCTTATCACCTGACTCAAGGTGTGCTGGTGGTCAGGCTCACATTTCGATGCTCTAAAATCCAGGTTGCTGAGTGGCCCAGAATGCAAGAGTGATCTGTATGTTGCAAGTGTAAGAAGTAGCAATTTTTGTGTGCAGTTTTCATAACTTTGCGAAGCCTACTATCACATAGCATGGCATACTTTATACTGCTTGTACATAGAACTGTATATCAAAGGGGATCAGAAAGAAAAGAGGGAAGTTACATCTATATGAATACATATATACATATATAAATACGATACATATTTTTTGTATGTGAGAGGAAGCATTGAAACTTCCGCTCAAATTTAACTGTCTGACTGAAGTTGTGGTGTTTGAGACCAAACAGCTCTAGCCCACTCTTTTCAGTCCACTCTGCTTAGCGGGAACACCAGGTGCATGCACACGGTGTTGACGCTGGCAGTTGATGGTTGGATGTAATTTTAACGTGGTGAGTGCGCCAAGTTAAGTGCAAGGTGACGTGCGTCCATTCTGCCGATTTCTCAGCTGAGTGCATGTTGTCCACAATTCTGTTATTGTTGCTTGCATGAAATGTGAAATTGGCCTCCCTGTCAAACAAACGAAGCATAAGCAGAGTGGCCCGTTAGGGATACTGAGCTAAATGTTTGATTTCAGTGCAAGTACAGATTTTGATGCCTGCCGCAAATGTGGGTGGATGGGTTCATGGATTGCTGTTGAATCTTGTTTCCCTACTAGTTGTTGAAATTTTGGTGCCAATTCACATCAAAGGATAGGTTTTGTGACTATTGGCACTTAGCGTGGTTCTTTATGCTGTCATTCAGTGTGGCTTGCATTGCTATCATTTGTGGAATGGAGTAGTGCTCTGATCATTCTGACAGAGGCAGTCTCTAAGGAGAATGGTCTAGTTGTTTGCTTCAGAATATGGATACACACTAAAAACACTTATAGCCTGTTGTGAGACGCACTGTGCAACTAACTACAATTTAACCTCAATATAACTGCCATGCTCTCATTATATCATTTATATAAACAAGACATGTGGAAAAGATGTCACATGCAAAGCGTGTGGCAACTCTCAATGGCGTATTGTGGACGCATACTTATTTTTGGTCAGTAGCAAGATTTTGAGCCAGCCAATTTTCTGTGTGATCGCAGCATTGATACCTTTGTAGATTAATCATGGGCCAAATAATGCTTGTTAATTTTGATTGATTTGCCATTGATCGGCACGGAAAACTCGGACATGCTATTAAAGTTTATAGGTGACCCTTTTCTGGCCTGTTGTAGGCATCATGTTTTTTTTTTAGCTCGTAGCCAATCACACTTTTTTTTTTTTCGTGGTGACGTCAGCATATACGCATGTGCCCTTGTAAGTATAGTATTCCTATGTCGGACGGAACATTGCCAAGGAACTGTTTGACCTTGTCATGCACTGAGGCCACGAATAGCTTTATAATTAACAAGATAACAGATAAATATAATGAGCTTAGAAAGTGACAGTGGCTCGAAAGTAAGCACTCATTAATGAATAATTTTGACAACACCTTGGCGAGCTGCATCATGTTGCTAGATTTTACTGTAGATGATGATGTGAAATAGTTCAAATCAGCCCTTAGAGATTGTCTCTGTAGGAGTGGAAATTGGTATCAAGTGCTTGAGGCAGGCTGTCAGTTTATAATGATTTTTTGACAACTTGGCAAGTCAGTAGGTATCGCTACCTTTTCCTCAAACGCCCATCTCTTCATAGCACGTTTGGTTAAGCGGTTGGTTGACAGTCTTGTCATCGCCCGAAACTTCAAGACATATAAAAGACCGGTATAGATTCATTTTGTATTCGTCTTATGTGCTTTTAACGACAAAAACAGTACCGTTATTAGACTGTTCGTTCTAAAAAAGCATGAAGTGTTGAGTAGTGTGTTTAAAAGCAGCCAATGAAATGCATGCAGATGTAACAAACATAATAGAAAAATTTTATGGGCTATTGTCATTCATGTTTATAACTGTCCGAGTTTCTAGTTGTTTTAGCTCATCTGTTTCTTCGTTTAGCTTTGGCAGCAGGTCACGTTGATTGAAAGAAAAAATTATTCCTGCAATTTACTGTAAGGTTTCTAAATTGTGCATTGTTGTTTTTCTCAGCCTGGCATTCTGGATTTAATGTTTTTTTTTAGGTGGACATTCTTTATTCTCTGATGAGATGTGGTGTGAAAATTCTTGGCTGTAGTGCTTAGTGCCATATGAAGGCAAGAAAAATATGTTTTGCGGTAAATTTTTCTTTCATCTGTTTTCAATTTACGATACAAATTTCATTATTGGTTTTCTGTGTGATGGCAAACTTTGTGTATATGGAACTTTGTATTTGGAACTTGCTCTGCAGTTTGATTGTGAATGTACGCTCTTTTTCCCTACTCCTGAGGTGCGGTCCTGTTGAATATACATTTTTATATGCTACGGTATGTGATAAATGACTTTCATCTTTGTATCTTCTCCACAGCTTTTTCAAGCATTTTGCTTGCAGTTTATATTCTCATCATGTGGGTATAATAAATTAACCCAGCTATAGCTGTCTCTCGCTGCTTGAAACCAATGTTCTTGTAACATTGTAGGCCCCCACAGATACGTTAACAAAACACGCACTTGAATGCCATGTCATCTTGAAAAGTATGCACTCCCTGTTCATTGTTCACACTTTGAAATGATGGCACTGGATGGCATTTGTACACATGCTCATGGAAGGGCGTCGTTTAATATTTTGTATACGTAGCGGGCAGTGCTGCAAACTCAATAGAAGTAAAATTTCACACCTAGCTGCTCACATTCGTGAACGAAAAATGGCACATCACATATGAAAAGGAAAGTGTAGGTATGCCTTAGTATAATCCAGTATCAACTTCATATCTTGTACCCAGGGACTATGAAATGGTGATGACATACGAAATGATTATTTCAAAAGTTGTCGCATATATGAATCCGAAGGAGTAGTGCAACACCTTTTTGTGGTTAGCAATGTGCGGTTGCATACTGGAAGAACAAAAGTGCACAAAGTAACATCGTTTGATGTAACATTGCATTTACAAATTGTTTATATTTCAGCATTTTATATACAAAAGATATACACTCTGAAAAGGCTGGAGTGAGGCAACTGTGATGTCACAGCTTGCATCAATTCGGCAATGCTGCTTGCAAACATCTAAATAAACCACAATTTAACGGTGCTCTGGCTTTCCTATAGCACATAAGTGCCTCAAAACTCCAAATTTAGCTAAGTGAAGACTAAGCAAGGAACAGGACTTCAGTTGCATTGCAAAGCTACAATTTTAATTATATTTAGAACAGAGGTACTGCATGCTCATAGTAAAACACTGCAGGCTGCAAGTGAAAGTTATTTTACTGCAATGGAAAACATGTTTTAATATTGACAAATTAAATTTGGCTGCAAACTCTAAGTTACCAAATGCTATAACATAACTTGAAGTTTGGCTTATTACTAAATATTTTTATGTATATGCTGTTGCTTGTTTAAAAGTGAGCGAAATGCTTCCAGCTTGCGCAGTAGTTAAAGAGAGCAATTTCCATATCACGGCTAATGCTTGGAGACACTCTTCAGTGGCTTGCATTGGTAACACACCTGTAGTTGGCGTAGGTGTACAACGTGCTGGCATCTAAAAAACCCTTGAAAAGGCATAGGAACTGCACTTCAGAAGCATACAGAACACACTTATCCAATGGCAAGTTTGCGCTGTAGTCTCAAATTTCAAGTTACATTTAGAGGCAGAAGATAAAAGGTCGTATCTTCTTTTCGGGTATAGGTGAGCATTAAAGTACCTTCAAAACAATTTTCAAATAAAAACGGTATAATCAGGCGACTGTTCACCAGTGAATGCGCATGTGATATACATCGTAACTTTGGAGAGGAGGCGGTGGCATGAAGGAAAATATTTGTTGTGAAATAAAAGCCTTTGTCCAATCGCACTGTGGTTGCTCTGCGATAATGCAAAGCAACTGCTTGTGGTTATTGAGGGGACACAGATTACTTGAGATATATGTGTAACATTCATAGTTAGTTCTAAAAACCAGTTTTTATAAGCACTTTGTTTTAGCTTTATTTCTCCACAATTACAGAGTGTATAAAGAAACGCATTAAAGGTGATCTTGCTATCAGCCTGGTGGCACAGAAACAGGTGCATTGTTCCCTGGCGAGAATGAAACAAGAGCACACAAACACTGAGCTGTGTCCATGCCCTCATCGGCACGTCAAGCAATCCTTGCGTGCTTGACATGCAGTGTTCCAAATTTTTCAAAGAACAGCATAAGCATACTAGTAATAGTTAAGTTAAAGAAGGGGACACGAGTATGTTAACTAGCTTACATTGCCGATTCCTTTCTTATCTGTAGGAGCTGATGTTGTTTTTTTCTATCATAAGTTCCTTTGAGGTTCATCAACTTGCATTAGGTGCTGGGGCAAATGCTTTTGCTGTGGCGTCACAGTGGATATGGTGTTTGGCTGCTCATCTGAAAGGTACTCGTTCAATCTCGGCTTGGAATGCTAGATTTTGACTCATTCTGCGATGTTGCTGCACATTGATGAGCCCAGGGTGATTGAAATTATGTGCAGCCTTCTGTTAGCGCGTCTCTGATGGCCAGAGTTCCTTTTGGACATAATATTAACAATAATAATATCTGGGGTCTTATGTCGTAAAACCACGATATGATTATAAAGGACGCTGTAGTGGAGGGCTTTGGAAATTTCGACTGTGCATCTGACATCGCGGGAGTATTCAGTGATTTACAGTAATGAAAGCAGATGGTTCTAAAGAGAAGCCACTTCATGTAAAAAAATATCAATATACATACCAATGTGCCATACTCGGACTATCAATATATAACATAACTATATATGTTGGAGGAGATGTACAAACTAGACTAGAGGTTGCCCACGCCTCTGACTCCGGGTAGTGGAACACCAGATTTTATCAAAAACGTACAGACATTCTTTTACCATCTCTGCAATACATGAGAGCGGTCATACTCCTGCCACTTGTATGCTTTCACAGCAACTACTGACAAGGAATAAGAATGGCAGTTATGCAAACGTCGAAGTAACTCTTACGGTGCGGCAGTTTTTGGAGGAGTTGCCAGCAACTCCATAAGCTTTTTATGAACTGGAAAAAAAAGGGACTGCCATAATTATTAGTTTATGCAAGCAAATGCATTAGGCGATTCTGAACACTGTGCAATAGATTAAAATGTAGCTACAATAAAAATTTGTGAATGTGCACTGTGTCAAAACAAGGTGTAGCTAAATAAGAGCTCTACAAGTTGTCAGAAACTTGCGTGCAACATTCCCTCAGCTTTGTCTTTCTTTAATATTTCATTATGGCTATGTCAGACACATTAAACATCACAAGGTAGTTATCTTGTAAAAACATATAAAATATTTGTGCTACCCACTAATGTTTCTCCTAAAATGTCGGCCTTTGAAAAAATGCACGAAACCTGTTTTCATTCAAGACTTCTCACACTGTATTGCAGCTAGTGTAAGATTTCTTAGCCAAGTTGGTAATGCACTGAAACCTCACTATAACAAAGTTGCATCTTACATGAAAATAATTTCGTTGTATTCAAAAATTCATTGTAATGTATATTTCTAATACTGTATCTATTGCAAGACTAATTTTCACTCAGCAAAATTATAACAGATATTTTGTTATATACAGGTTATATTGAGCTTTGAGTGTACACATTTAGCACCCGAGGACATTTCTGCTTGTACTAACCTTGCCTTCAAATACTATAGCAGTGCAATCGTCATTGGAAGAATTGTAAACTGAACAAAGAGGTTGATGATGAGATGTTGTATACAGCCGTGTCTATGCTTTCGGGCTATGGGACCACAAAATCTTGATTTAAAGGTCTACGTAAATACAGTATTGCATGCAATATGCCCATAATCACAGGATAAAGCATGTAATCTAGAACTGAAAAATAATGCCCAAAGCCATAACATGACTTAATGCAACTCCATAGGAAGTCTTTTTTTTCCATTCTTTATTGTTCACATATAATAAAATAAAATTAAAAATCTCTGGGATTGACATGCAGTGCTCCCCTCTCCAAATAAAATCTAAAAATCTCTGGGAATGACATGCAGTGATTGCCTCTCTAAATTAGTGTACAACAGTATTCTCTAAAAACTTGTGGAAATTTGGCAACTGTCGCCAAACGTGAAATAACGCATTGACATAACACTCTGATACAAATGGCACGCAACATTTTTCACTGCGACAGTTGAAGCATGCAACACTCTGTATACTTTTGCATACTATTAGGACATTTCAGGAAATGAGGCGTTGCCTGGTGTCACATAAATCCAAGTAATTCAAAGGCACAATGGTAATGGTGTTGCTACTATCACATATGCAGGCACTCTCCTTCACTTAGTCTGCACGCTTGTATTATTTATGGTTTGCTGTATACATTCCAGTAAATGTGAACTTGCAACTAAATTCTACCCACCCCATTTGTTCATGCAGGTTTGCTTTTAAGCTAATGCTTGTTCTTCATGTAAGCTGCCTGGCGTCGTACTGACGAGGGATGACTTTACCAACTAAACTACTCTGTTTCTTAAGCTTAAATTCCTCACAGAGGAGGCATCTAGATGTGCACATTATTCGTCTACCACAATGTTTGCTTCCATACGTGCCTTTTTGGTCTAGCGCACATCAACATTACACAGTTTAATGATACACTGTCAAAATGTAAAAAAAATGAAAAGAAAAAAATTATTGAACACTGGCAACATCATTAACAGACATGCTGAAAGTGCACCTCATGAAATCTGCTACGATTGCTTAGCTTCTTTACGGCACATTATCGTAGTACAAGACACGGTTCTAACCCCACTTACAGCATGTCTTAATTGTGGCATTTTGCTCTTGGTATAGAAAGTACCACCGTTACTTCCGCGGAAAGCAGTCTTGAAGTGCCATGGGTATGGATCGCCCGTTTTGAAGAAGAATCAAGTACAGCATCTAAACATAGTAAGTAATAAGTAAATGTTCTGTAAAATGCAATGGCTGCTTGAAAGTCAGTGTCAACAAGGTAATGCTCTAATTTAAAAGAAAGAGCTTTCCTGCTTACGCGCCACCCTTATTAGCACAGCATTTTGTACATAGGAACCTACTGCGACATGAAGTCGCTTAACCTTGTTGTTCTTTGTGCTCTTCTAGCTGAATCCTCGCAACAGGTTAAAGAGAGTTGTAGTGCAAATCTTTCTTCCGTTTCCCAAGAAGTGCCGTTGTCTCCCCAAGTGGTTCAGAGACGACGCTGCTGCTGTCTTCACTACTGCTGTTTGATGAAGCCTGGCCCTTGTGCCAGAAGGACTCGGGCTCAGTTCGAGATGCGCAACACCAGTAAAGGGTTGCCACAAACGCCTGTGAAAAAGGGATTCACTCCGTGACAAGGTTACCATCACCACCAGCTCAGCCACACTGCAATAACTGTGGCTCCATCGAAACTGTAGAACACATTTTGTTTGAGTGCTAAGCGTACACCGATGAGCGTGCACTCTATAAATGTTACATGTATTTGCTAACCTGAAGAACTTTATCAACAGACCGTGTCTAGAGGCATGCAGTGAATCTTTTATTCACGCTATTTGGACACTATCGGTCAGCTCAACAAACTGTAGTGGCTCTGTAAAAAACTCGTAATAAGTCATTCTGTGAGCATACCTTTCCACCCAAGAGACAAAAAAATGTCTGTAAACTTAATTGTTTTCTTTTGGTTTTAACTTTTAATATTTTTTTCTCTCTTTCTGTCTTCAATCCCTTCCCACTTTTCCTACAACTTATACTGCAAAATGTATATATAATACATATTTTGCATGCAACATGTATACGCTTAATCTTGTTGCACTTATGTTAAAAGCAATACTAGTAGTGTGAATGTTAAGATGAGTGAATGGGCCAGTACTAGTGCTTTGGAGGAGCACAAAAAAAAAAAAAAGAGAAAACTGCATACAAAGGACTACACTCCCAATGATGCAGTACTGTGTGCTGCTTCCAAAGCACTTAGTCCCTTTTCCTCTGTTTCGTCAGTTCGAAACACAAGTTACGAAGTAATAGCACAGGACAGGTTGCCATGCAAGTATGATAGCTGCTTGTTGGAAGTAAAGAGGCCCCTAGAGAGGTAGTGTATGGTATTTAGTACATGCATTCTCGCAGCAGCACAAGTAAACTTACAGTCAGCAAAGATCCTCCTGCCATGACCGTGCTGGCCCAAGGGAAGCCAATCAAGTCCAACAGGACACCTCCTACTGATGGCCCGATCACTTCACTGCAACAACAACACGTCACCAGGAAGTGAAAGGAACACCTAGGCAGTGCTTGTAAGTCAAAAAAGTGTGTGCTTTTTGTCAGTATGGTTGATTGGGCGAGTTGGTAATACATGATTGTTTTGAAATGAGAGCACACTACTTAGACGCAAACAGAAAGACAGGAACAAGCGCTTGTCCCTGTCTTTCTGTCCGCATCTAAGTAGTGCGCTCTTATTTCAAAACAATCATGTCCTTTTTAGATGCGAGTGTAAGGGAACACCGGTACATGTAAAAAACAGCTAAAAACTTAGCCAATTACACGCAGATCAACTTTCCTCATATTATATGGTGCCAAACTTTTAGATTAGAGCTTTTCTTTGGCCATTATTATTATTTCATTGCTTCTTGCTCTGTAGTTTTTACATAAGGCATACGACTGTAGGCTAGCATGGTATTTAGTTTTATTTAATGTTCCCGTGGCAGATGGACACTGGTGAAGCTGCCATATTTCTTGAAATATTTAACTGAGGCACGGGGATAGTTAAGGTGAGTGTGCTTTATCAGTGGCTTGTTGTTGCCTGCTTTATCATACCATGAACTTTTCTGCTACTTGCTGAAAGTTCTGGAGTGCTTAGCAGTCGTCTACTGTCATTTTGTGCTAGGCTGTCAATGAACACTGAACCGAGTTTCTCGTTTTTGTTTTTACTTCATATTCATTTGGGCAAGTACGATATGACAAGTATAGTCAGATGGGTGAATCACTCTCTGTGATATCTGTTGTCATGTTGCTAGACTACTCCAAATTAAGAACACAACTTTTTTTTGTTGTTGTAAAGCACTTGCCTAAGTAGCCAGGTGTGGGAGAGAATTAAACTTTAGAAAAAACAGTTCCCAAGTGTCCCAAACGTACCCTAAGGAATACATTGAGTTCCACCAGCCAGACACGAGGGCATATGTTCCAATGTCCTCTTCCATGCCACCAGTGCTGCGATAGAATAAACCATGTACAAGACTTTAATTGGTTGCAAAAAGTTTGGTTATTCACAGAGTTGGAGATACGGTGCTTAGAGTGCTGGTGTTGGCACAAGGGGATGAAAAAAAAAAGAGGAAATACAGGAGTGATATGTTCAACTGAAATAAACCAGTGTGTAGACAAATTAATGTGCAAGCAACCCTCGAGTCTTCAGCTTTCACATTTGCAAGAAATCTAAAGCGTGTTCAGAAGTTGGTGGTTTACAACCACATCCCTGTGGTTGTAAATCGTTTTGGCCTCTTGGTGTTTAATTTTGATCTAGAGTGACCATTTGAAAACCAGAAAACGTAAATACTCTGAAAGTGCATTGACATGACACACAGACAAATTAGTGAAGTAATTAATTTTCAGGATACTGTCAATTCACCATGAAGTTTATTACAGGAGTAAGGAAAATACAAATATATAATTAAGGTAATGCAATGCCAATATAAAGAAGAGTATATAAAAATAAAAAGCACACTATGACATCATCGTAAGCAAGTGTCAGAAACATGGGGATTACTAATGCATACAATTACAAGCATAGCAATACATTGCCTACAGAACCGAAAGATTGAAGATGGAAAAACAAAAGTACTTTGGATCAGCAACTTGAAGAAAGCACAGTCGTAGTGCAAGCATGTGTTGACCAATTTATGCTCTGACCTTGCAGAACATAATCGCGATGCAAAGGGTTTTAATTTGAGTAACTCATTGTCACTGGGGCTGGACCATACGTGTTGTACTTACATTGCCGCCCGAATCATGCTCTCCATTGTGGGTACATAGGCAAAGGCAAAAGAGGCCCCAAGGACTGCGACTGTAGCCAGAGTGGCCCAGAGGTTGCTGAAACAAAAATGTGCAGCACATTGCTGAAGTGAGGTACAAAACATGCTTTTGTTCTCACTGTTAGATTACTTCACCAAGATGTTAGCCAAACTACAGGCAGCATGTATGGTAAGACTCGTTATTGCTGCCAGTATCAAAATGCTTAAAGAGGCTTTACTGCTGTCAAACACCATCATTACGCTGTCAAACATGTATGCACGCACGTAGAGACATGCACACCTATGCACAATATTCTGCAAAACTGTGGCAATACATCCTATGCATGTAGCAAATGCATTCATCGCCACTCTCGATACAGTGAGCACTGCATCCCGGCAAGCATGTTTTTAACACAATAGTGATATTAAGCTGGGGTCCACCTCAGTTCCACTGACAGATTTTTGTCACGGTTATAACGTTGTAAAATATACACTTATACACTAACAGATGGCAAAGAAAAGAGAGAGAGATAATATGAATAAAGGCAGGGAGGTTAACCAGAAAGCAAGTATCTGGTTTGCTACCCTGCACTGGGGTAGCATCAGGGTTTCCAAAAGGAGCCCTAATGGGATACAAAACAGTGGTGTTGCTCATGGGTGGGGTCATTTGTTGAACGGCGCTAACGCGGGTGCTGCGGTAAGCACTGGAAAATTCATGAGCGGCGGTCGTGGTAGCAGCAGTTGTTGCAGGCGAACAGACAAGGCAGCAGCTGCAGGTGCTGTGGCAAGCGTGTGGCAGGCGAGAGAGAGAGTAATGTCAATGCGCACTGCGAGGGGAGCGTGACGTCAACGTGCAGCTGTGGCGTGACCTACTTGGCACTGCTCCAACACCTGCGGCGAGGGGAGCGCATTGCGGCGCATTCTACGGAGGCACAATGTTACACAGGCTAGTCAAAAAGCTGTGTCACATCTAAAGAAAAAAAAAAACTAGAGGAAAAATTTCTGTCTTTGAGAGTCGAACCTATAACCCCTTGCTCTGAGCACGGGGTGTGAATCGACTCGGCCAAAGAGTGTATGTTCTTTAGTTTACTGACGCCGAACGATTTATATACACCATTAAGTGTTAGCGGTACTCTCAGTGTGTTTTTTCTAATAGTGCCACAATCATTATCACAACATTGGAAATATTATATGAAATGGCACAGTTTTGGAATTTAATGAATCTGAGTAGAATCAGAGAATGGAAGGATGAAATACGAGCAAGGCATACAACTCAAAATATAGATGGCTCTTTCAGTCAGGGTACCACATCAGCTAAACTTCAATGCTTGACAGCTGTGTAATGTGATTTCGCTATCCCCTCTACGACTGTTAAATTGAGGTTTGGCTGTATGAATGCATACTTTCCACACTCCGATATCTGAAAGAAACATCTCTGCTTTACATTGGTATAATTTGATAATTCATTATATTCATGCTTGATCAAGCTTTACACTTTATCTTGCCTGTTGTGACTTAAACATTGGAACATCATGTTAACCTGCCTTTGCAGGTGAGCTAGCTTGCCACTATGTTCAGTTCTCTTTTGCAGTCAAGAATTTTTATTAAATTTCTTTCTGAGGATTCTTTGGCTCCTAAATAATGATGACAATGTGTCATAAAAACATGTGGGCATACACAGTGAAAACAGACACATGTGGGAGCCTGTAAGTATATCCACTCTCTAAATACGCTGGTTTTAAATGTGGAGCATTTCTTAGCGAACCAATGGCACTTTGACTGTAAGTGGACGGACAGATAGAAGGAAACAATAAAGGTGCATTTTGTTTGCTAAGAAATGCTTGTCATTTAAAAGCGGTGTATTTAGAGAGTAAAATAGGTTCGCATGCTCACACTTGCGTCTGTTTTACCCTTTGTATGGCAATATTTTTCTTTTGCGGATGAATGGACGGAAGGTTCCATCCGCCCATCTGTCCGGCCGACCTTCAATTTACGCAATGACCTAAAAACCCACCTTGTAAGACTGGGTTCAAAGTGTCGCATATGCAGCTTCTCAAAAACAGCTTCACATGAAATTAATTCTCGCAGTTTATGATGGCTTCCATTTGTAAATGCATCTGGATATGATTTATCCAGATCTTAAAAACACAGCCACCTATATCTTGGTGCTTTGGGTGACAGTCAAACAGTTTCCCAAAAGGTGCTGGCTTTGCAGGCAGCCTGGGAAAACAACTGGAGCATGCCATCCTACAGTAGACGCTGTCGAAAGGCATCAAAAGAAAAAGTTGACACCACTCTTTAAGAAGAAGAGTTTTATGGCTTTACCTGGGGATGCCTAAAAATGGTGCAGGCCCCATGAACATTTGTGCTCCTGCCATTATGATCAAACCAATAATCATGATTGGTATCCGTTGTTCCTGCACACAAGTTAGAAAGAAATATGGAGATTTGTTCTGATTTAATTATTTTTCCAGATTTCATGAAACATCGAAATGCAGCCAGAAAAGTATTTTATATTTCTTCCCGCAAAATGAAGTCTTGATTTTCTTCTTGATTTTCTTGACCGTGGCTGCTGATTTCCCTCTAACTATGCAAGCATCATTGGGTGTCCTTAGAGCCACGCATGCAAAAATGAGGCAGCTGACTTCAGTGATTCCCTTGGCTCTGACTTTATTCAATGCAACAACAGCAAGATTCCCTCCCCACAGTGAAGTCCACACATTTACTTTTTTTACCTGCTTTTTTTTTTTCTCAGACATATTCACCCATTAGATTACCTCTCGTATTCTGTCGAAATAATTATTTAGATTCCACGTGTGGAGGTTATTGTTCAAGTCTTCTTCCTTTTTTTCACACTTCACTTACTCGTTTCAATGTGGAAATAATGATTACAGAGCCTAAAAAAACACAACTGATGCCACAAATACATGAAAATACAAACTGGCACCAGCAAGGTTCGAGCGATATGTTTCTCCTCTACACTTTCAGTGCTGCAACTCGCGGCGTGTGGTTGCTGTGCATCTACTGGGCTGCTGTGTAAATAAACCATGTGGCATTGTCGCTGCAATGCTTACTTACTCCGACCAGCATTCTCTCGGTGCATCCTCCATTGTGGCTGGATGCCAATGTTTGAACAAAGACGTGCGCGATTGACAAATATAGCACCAAGAGGTTTCAGAGCTACTGTGATGTCAACATTGAATATTTCCTCTATTTGCTATCCTACCTTTGTACTACTGTTTTCTCAATCAACAATAAAGCTATTGTGCAGAGTGTGAGTGTTTGTGCTGGCTGTGACCTTGTGCTTTCCCTTGTTGGCTGTCTGTTGTTGATTTTGGACAGAAAAGGTCCAACGGGCTGCCCACGACCCTGGCATTGTCAAGTAAATTGATTTGGTGTTTTGTCTTGCGACAACTCTGTGATAACTTTCGGTAGGCTCAATCACAGCAGTCTGAGCAAATGCTCACAATCCAATGCACATGCATGGAGTCATTCCAGATAACCATGAAGTTCCTTGAGAGTAGTTAGACAAGATTTTCCTTCATATTTGTTTTTACTGTTACAGCGCAAAAACCTCTTGCATTTTGCTTTTGTTTATGGTTTCAAGTTTCAAGGTTGGGCATACAACTGTGTTGCCGACAGAGTTTGTTAAACCCGCCGCTCTCCTTTGTGTTTGTTGTGGATATTTCCAGTTCTTCCAATCTGTACCTCAGTTTCTTCTTGTATATATATTTTGTATGCACAATTAAATCCCAAGTAACAACTTAGTGTGTTCTTCTGTCTTTCTCTTTCTACACCATCTTTTTCTGCTCTGTTTTTATCATTAATAGCAAAGACCGAATAACTCAGCAGTGGGTTCTTGAAGTTTGTTATCGTCACTGTCATGCATATCCTTTTCACAAATTCTCACGAATATCTTATTACACTATGATTAAATGGTAGACAAACACACGCTGACCATTTTGTCAAGAACAATTTCTATGAAGTGCTCAAATTTATGTGATGTTTGTCAATTACATTGATATTTCTTGTTTTAAAAAATTAACTACAAAATGAGGCCATGGCATCCCATTCCCGTAAATGATGTATAACCACTGTGTTCTTGTCCAGTTTCACATAGTGAAAGCAAAATAAAACAGCAAATTTATACCACTCCAGCAATGCAAATATTATGATTTGTGTTCACTATAGAATTGCTTGTTCAGGCTTCCAAAATATTTGTATACTAACAGTTATTTCTCCTTTAAGAAAATGAGGTTTTACACTTACAAACCTAAACATAGATAGATATGTGGGGTTTAACGTCTCAAAACCACCATATGCTTATGAGAGATGCCGTAGTGGAGGGCTCCGGAAATTTCGACCACCTGGGGTTTTCTAACGTGCACCCAAATGTGAGCACATAAGCCTACAGCATTTTTGCCTCCTTCGAAAATGCAGCCGAAATTTGATCCCGCGACCTGCGGGTCAGCAGCCAAGTACCTTAGCAGCTGCTAGACCACCGCGGCGGGGCACTTTCAACCTAAGCATAGTAGCAAAATGTCTCATATAGTGAACAATCATTAGATCTTTTTAGCATAAACCAATAGCTCAAAGATCTCGGGCACCCTTGCTTTTGGATTCAAATCGAGTTAATGTAAAACTACTGCACACATATACATAAACACACAGAATATATATATATAGTTATGATGATACATGAAAATGGAAAGTTAATGAATGCGTCAAGCGTAGTAACTGGCCCACCAGATATATATATATATATATATATATATATATATATATATATATATATATATATATATATATATATATATAAGTAGATCCCCCGTGAGCAGTCACAACGTGGTTTATTTCGACGTTTCCGCCTAGAGTCTGGCCTTCATCAGGATTGAAGGTACAGTTTGTTGGTGCTCAGTTTTATACAATCTCAAATCAGAGGGAAAGAGGAAAAAAGACAGAAAAAAAGAAAAAAGAAGGAAAAAAAGGAAAAGAAAAGAAAAAGAAAAGAAAAAAAAGAGAAAAAAAAATATAAGGTGGACTCCCCCATGGCGCCCCCTTCCACTTCCCCCTTCATCTCTCTCCCCTTTCTCCCCTTCACCTTTCTGATGTCAGCGGTCTGTGTATGCTTTCTTTCACTAACGCATTATTCCCGACCAGACGGCGACTCCTGGCTCTGGCGGTACAGTGTGGGGCAAAAAAGAGCTTCTTTAGGAAGTTTAGGCCTTTAACTACTTGGCGCCCCGTCAACATTTCGTCATAAAAAAAGGGGTGCCCCTATATATATATATATATATATATATATATATATATATATATATATATATATATATATATATATATATCTGGTGGGCCAGCTGCTACGCTTGATGCATTAACTTTCCATTTTCATGTATCATCATAACTGACAACAGGAAATGGCCACCTGTGTTCATGCCTTATTGCAATTGAATGCAGCAGAATACTTTGCAGGAAGAGTGAGTGCCCCCGCTGCTTTAACACACAGCTAAATGAATAAACAGTTCACATGTTGTCGAAGCTGTACGCTCATACAAGCAATAATAAACGCAAGATTGAACAGTGTATAAACAAACGGTTAGGTTTTTAAATAAAGTGTAACTTACTGTCTTCATACAGATGAAACCGACTAGAGGAGAGCATATGGAGAAAATGGCTGACATCACTAGAAAAAAGCTGCCAACAATGCTGGTGTCCACATCAAATTCCTGAAAAACAAATAAAGAAATAAATGAAGAGAAAATGTAGCTATCGGTACAACACCTGAAGTGAGCCAAGTCATGCAACTCAGACCACTTCCAGAGTTTACTTGTTTGCATCTTGCCACAATTATTAGTGCCATAATTTATTAAGCGTCTTCCACCTAAATTTTTAAGGACTTTATGCAAGTTCAATTAATCAGGCTGAAAGTTGCTGCCTTAATGTTTCCTATCCTTCTCAGCTGCAGCTCTCTCTCTACCTTGTTGGCTTACTCTAGCAAATAAAAAAAACAATTTTATGTTTTTTAGAATTGGTATTTTGTGGTAACCTCTACTTTTCTTTTTTTCTTTATGAAGTCACTATTTTTCAAATTTTATTTCTTTACAATCATGACAGGCTGTACATTGGCCTTATCCAGCATATACCAGGCAGAGAGTTCTTAAAAATAATGAAAGAAATGGTATGATGAGAGAAAGAAAAACAGGTGTGTTGGTGACAGGAGCCTCATTTTCTGTTTAAACTTGTAAAGTTTAAGTTATAATGTTAATCACTGGTTTTTTCAGGCTGAAACTGTTCAAGGATGGGCTATTGCAGTCGAACAAGCCACTATTGCTTTAATGGCTATGTGTTCAGCCACTTTGTGCAAGCACCGATCAAGCATCCTAATTTGAGAGTCGCAACAAACAGATGGCGCTCGTTCGTTAGTCCAGGTTGATTTCTTTACGCAGTCAGTCGTCCAAAAGTTGTCTCACCTTCCGCATGTGGGGCTCCAACGTTGGCTCAACGAAACCCTGCGACTGAGACCCGACGACCAATATTAATGAAACGATGATTACTTGTGGTATTTTGAGGAGAGTAAAATAGGACTCCTTTCTTGTTTCTAATGCCTGCACTGTAAGCACAAGAAAAATAATGAGAAATTTAAAGCATGGCATGATCACTATGTAACTTTATTCATGACAGTAAACAAGTTGGAATACAAGATTGCAATTGGGGAGAGTAAGTTATGCAATGACCATTCTACCACCACCATATCTGTGAAGCTACGACAGTCATCTATGACATCATTCTAGAAAAACAGTGTTACTTTTACTGTTTTTGTAATTACTCTATCTGGTACTATAGGCGCATACATCCAATCTGTCAAGACTATTTGATTACCCTTCGAAAAGAAAAAGATTTGACTATACAAAATTATGCATAAATTTAATTGCAAAACTCTACCTCTATTCGAACTGTCTCCATTCAATGAGGTTCTTTATGTAGAAAACCTACTCTGCATTGGTGATCTCAAATATTATGCTCTGGTCAGTGTTACCACTAGCTTTGAATAACAGGTGCTTCTACACATACCCAATTATTTGGACAGGAAACTGAAAAGATGAGCTACAAAGAGTGTGGATGCATGCACGCACGTGCATGGAAACATAGAATCATCCGCTGAAATGCCTCATTAGAAAAGCTTCATGAAATCTGTATAACTTTTACAAGTGTAAATCATTTGCAAGTTTATACCTTGGATGTCCTTCATGATAAACCAGCATATCGGGAATGTTGACAGGACACAGCTACCCAATATGTAAAATGGAAGTCCAAATCCACCAACCTAAGAATGAAAACGGACAAACTTTCAACACTGCACACCGCAAATGTCATCCCTATGCTTCCCCCGAATGCCTGAGGTAGCCACACAACGAATGATTAGTTGACTGTTTTAAAAATGAGCCACATGAATATGTGGTGCATGGCTTTTATGAATGATTCACTCAGGCTTTTAGTACAGGTAATGCAGATATGAATCGCTCTAGCTTTAGTAAGACCCCACCATGGTGATCTAGTGGCTAACGTACTCAGCCGCTAACCTGCAGGTCACGTAATCGAATTACGGCTGCGGCGGCTGCATTTTCAATGGAGGCGAAGTACCTGAGGCCCATGTGCCTAGATTTAGATACCCAGGTGGTAAAAATTTCCAGAGCCCTTCACTACGGCATCTCTCATAACCTTATGGTGGTTTTAGGACATCAAACCCCAATAATTATTATTAGTTTTAGTAAAGGTCCACTGGCTAACTGAAAATTTCGAGCTGTTCAGCCATTATTTGCAATTGTCAGTTGATGTTAGCTGACTGGAATGCCTCAACAGCTCTGTGCAACACCGTTCCATTGCTCGTTGCTGAAATGCTACAGATTTCGAGGCCCCATCTTTAAAAGCATGCTGACAGATTTTCCTAATCTGTAGAAAAAGAATACATTGAAAGTTTGCTGAACTGACACAGCAATGTTGTAGCATGTTATCGTAAGCAGAACAAAACATGAGATGTTCAAATGAAATTTCATCCCGTTTATTTGTGTTAGTCTTACGACGAGCTTAGTCTTATGAGGATCTTGTGAAGAATGCAGCAATCTTTTGCTGCATCTGGTCTTTTGAGGCTGCACTGGTCAGAAATTGAGTGTCCAGAAGACATACGCATTTGTTTGGCAGTCATAATAACTAGTACGCAGTTGTAAGGCAGCTGTCATTGTTGCTGTGAGTCTGGATGACTTTGAAGATATCTAGACCACCAATAAATCTCAAGACCGATTGCAGCCTAGTTTTCGTCACATGATAGTACTAAAGTGGCATTGTCAACACAAAATGAGGCCTCCAAAGTTAGCTCCAGTGATGCGCTGTTGGCGGAGCTAATCGCGAAAGGCAACAGTAAAATTATGCTGCAAAATGTGTGGCTGTACATGTTGAAGTGATCACCACGACTTGAAAGTTATGGGTGGAGTTTTTGAATGCGTTCATACGACCTAAATGCACCATGCACTGAATTTCATCAAAATAAAGAAATTTATCATTTGGTTCTATAAACCTTCCGTGGGAGACTTAAAAAAACGTTTGTACAACCTAATAGCTTTTACTTATATACTGAAGCTTATACTTACACTGTAGAGAGCACCACCTAGGGCAGGGCCAATACTCATTCCAACACCAACTGATGTTTCGATAATACCCTGTAATGGCAGATAATAAAGATAATAACAGTCTTTACACATCTAAATGGTTTAGGCTGACTATGGCACTAAAGAACTTGCGTAGCATGACAGCACAATTTTGCGTAGCAGCATTCAAGCAAACTGGTAGTACCACTAGAGAAGCAAAAGCTGAGTACATGATGAACTTCATTATGATAGATAACATTTAAAAAAAAATGTGAGCATCATTTAGATAATGCTCTGTACTTACAAAGACGGTACTTATGTGGTCAGGGTACACATGAAGAACTATAGCGTACGATGCCGTGGAGAAAGCTGCTGCACCGATTGCTTCTAGGATCCGGATAAGAAATGACAGCGCAGTGAAGACAAGTGTGTCATCAGCCAAGTCAAGCACACTGTAAAAATAGTGTGTACCCACAACAAGACAGCCTGTTAGTTTTATAGCTCCAGTAGCATCTGTATAGTGTAAGGACGGCAAGCTAATTAAAAAGAAGCTAAAAAACTATAGTAGTAAAATTTTTTTGTCTACCGTGTATTGCATCCAGCATTGGCAGTAATAGCATGAGCAGTGGTTTAACATAAAAGCACTTTCCACATATCTATCCTTGAGATATGTTTTAATAAATTTAACATTTGCAAACATTATTCATCAGATAATTTTGACTAATGATTACTTATATTTAAATCATAGGGCAACTGTGTGACCTGCCTTGTAGAGAGGTCAACGACATCCTTTTGGCTGCACCATCTCGTATCATCGAGGCAAATTTTCGAAAAAAAAACTTTGAGGAAAGTTGTGTACGTGTGCACACATGTAATAGTTGTAATATTTTACTTGTAGCTCTTTCAAAAGGCGCACTTTTTTCTGGGATGTAAGTAATTTCTTGTACATTTCTAAATTTTCTTACATAATAAAAATTCTTACCCAAACATGATATTTGCTCCTCCAGCACATAAGATGCCAGTGAAGAATATTAATTTTGCACCTAAGATGGGAACCTGTAAAATTAACAAGAAGTTTCGGTGTGATGAAAGCCCTCAAAACAGAGGTGCACACATCAGAATGCTTTAAATCAGCTAGCTTGTAAGGTTAAAATTGGGAGGTTTAAATATATAGCTATACAAGTGGCACTTTTTCTTTCATCATGTAATTAAGCTTCAGTACTTGGAAATGCCGGCTGTGAGCATCAAATTCAGTAAACATCTCCCCAATTTTGAAGGCCAAAAAAGAATAAAAAGATAAAAAATAAAACAAATTGGTATGCATTAGTTTATTACAGTTTGCAAGGTCACAGTGATGAGAATTATAAAACATATTTAACTACCCTTTGGTTACATATACATTGAGAGTTTGCCAAATTATATGCTAAAGCTTGGCGGAATTCCATCAAAAGTTTTATTGTCAGACGAAGGTGGTGTACCGCAAAAATACCGTCTGCTGCCTGGAATTTTCACTGCGCCATTGTTTGCTGGCAGAATTTTATCTCCAGGGTGCTGCAACTTGCAAGAGTAATGTCACAATATTAACGTAATTGTAGAAGTGAATCTTAAATATTTGCACAACGGTACAAGATATGATTTACAAAGCTTTATGGTTAAGAAAGAAATACTAAAACTGTGATGCTAAGTGTTCGTCAACTTACGAGTGGCAACTTTTCGTGCATTTTCTGGCTATGCTAACATGATAAAGTTTAGCAAAAAGCTTACCAGTTTTCCAAAAATAGGGGCAAATATCATCATTGTCAATGCGTAAACGCTGAAGACAAATCCAGACACTGCTTCTCGCATTCCCTTGAAAGCGGCCTGAAAGAACCATTGTGGATATATAATACTGTTAACTTATGTGATATCTAAAGCATATTAGGGAATAATGCTGTATGTGCATTACTTTAGATGTATCATCAAAAAAAAAAAAAAGATTGCATACCAAGCTGGCATGAACTTAATTAATTGCCCCTGTAGGTTTACAGGTTATGTATATGTGTTGATATGCGGTACTTCTAGACTACACCCTGGGAGCCAAATGCTCAAAATGAAGTAACTGTAAATGTAAAGACACACGGGCATGCGTGAGTTATAGTTACATTAACTTGATGCATTTGGCAGAAGCAGTAAGCACTATGGCTATCATTAATCTATCATCATCATGAAGTTTCCCGTTGAGTGTGTTTTTTTATACTTATGCATGCTTTTTAGTCTACGCACATGTTTGTTGGTACAATTGTCCAGACATTTTTGAACTACTACTCGTGACTTGTGCAACCAAATGGTTTCCAGCTAAACACAGAATAAAGAAAAAAAACTAACAAACAATTGATTGATTGATTTGTGGGGTTTAACGCCTCAAAACCACCATATGATTATGAGAGACGCCGCAGTGGAGGGCTCCGGAAATTTTGACCACCTGGGGTTCTTTAACGTGCACCCAAATCTGAGCACACGGGCCTACGACATTTCCGCCTCCATCGAAACTAACAAACAAAGCAAGCCACTTGCCTCTTGTGGGTAGAATGGCGCAATCACAGAATAACTGATGTAGCTTGTAAAGTTGACTAAACAAAGACAGAACAGGGTGAGTTTTTGGGATCTCGAGAGGCGAAACTTTGCCGTTCTGCGACTGGACAGCAGAGACACGACCGACAGTGTTCGAGACCGCATCATGGCTCCACGATGATGATGAGGCCGTTTGGAAATGTCATTATCTATAGCACCTTCTGCGGCAGGCAAGGCAACGCATTCAAGCGACTTTGAAAAAATGGCGTCAAGATCGATGCCCTTCACCGCATTCGAAGAACTGCAGATTTCGGGGTCGGATGCACTACGCTCCATAGTTCCCGAGCGATTCGGGCTAGTATGTTGATCCTCAGTTTCAACAATGAGATGGATGTCATCTGTTGAACGCTGGGCTTTTACTAGCAAAGATTTGTCTGTGCCAACATCTCCAGGGCTTCCAGGTTGCACATCCATAGGCCCTTGTGGCTGCAAAGCTGCCTGCATAACATTTGAGTCAGATGCCTGCCCTGGACACATTTCATTTGTGCTTGGTTCACCTTCTGGTGTATTCACTGAAGCTTGCTCTGCTTTGTTAGCCTCAGCCTGTGCTTGATCTTTGGGCTGAAGTGGAGACGACGTTGCCTCCTCTTGGCCGTCATTTGACGATGCCAGAGGCTTTCTCTCGGCTGTGGTTGAAGCGTCCAGGGCATTTGGTAGCGGTTTGGTGTTTTCTTTTGATGTACCAGGAACACCAGCTGAGTCACCGGTTGTGTGTAGTTGTTGTGTTTCTGTGTTATGTGCAGCATCCGATGGCACAGAGGCACCAGTGGCACTTTGTGGCTCCTGCATATTTTCACCAGTGTGTCCCGTCGCTCTGTCCTCAGGCAAAGGAGAACCATTGGCAGCTCTTCAGATAGTCACTGAAAACAGATTAGAAAAAATGTGATGTCAATATTACCTTAACTAAAAACTCTTAGAATTCACAGGTACTTCTTTGAATTGGAAAGTTCAAATTTGAAGCCCAGGAAAATTATTAATTGGTTCATTACATAATTATGTGTATGTATTATAGAACAATAACATGAGGAGATAACTGCAAACACCAGTTACCTCGTGTGATGATGAATGAGTGGCGACATTATATTATGGCACTTTACGTAAACAGCAGCCGTGATACACAAAATCTTTTTGTTTTAGTGCTATTATACCCTAAGAAGGCTTTATATAACCTATTCTTGGTTGCCACTTGTGTGTTTCAGAGAGCTAGAAAAATTGTAAATAACTGAAACATGCAAATTTCTTTGGGGATCTTTGAACAGTCAGAAACCAGGCCATAATTTTAGCATTAGCTTATTCAAACGTAAAGTGTTTCGAATCTAGTGTATACGGTCATCGATGCTATAGCATCGATGCTCATAGCACATCATCAGGAATGGAATTTTATGTATGTTTAGAAAAAAAAAAAAACAATTGGGGCAGCTTTGCGCTTGTGGTGCCAAGCCTGCAAAAAGTGCAGAGCTGGGCACCTTCCGACCTTATATTTAGTTCCCTCTTTCCTTATTTTTATCCCTTTCTTTCATTTTCTATCCCTTTTCTTTATCTTTTTACCTCTTTATTTCTGTTTATTTCTCTCTGTCTGTATTTATTTCGTTCTCTTTTTTGTTTTTTCTATTTTTGCTCTTATTTCTCACCTCTTTCTCTATTTCTTGCTTGTTTCTCTTTCTTTAATTCTATTCCTCACTCTTTGCTTCTTTCTCTTTTTTGCTTTGATTCTATCTCTTTGTACACTTGTTTTTCACTATATCTCTAGCGCTCGTTCTTTCTAGGCTATGCTTCACTCTTTTCTCCTGTTCCTCCTGCTCATACACACTTTCCTTTCTCATGCTCGTCTTTGTTTGTTGTCATCAATTTTTCTCTCCCTCTATTTGCTCTCTTCCCCTCTTTCTCTACTTCACTTTCTTGCTTGCTTCTTATTTATTTTGATCTTTTTCTCCCTCTTTGCTTGATTTATTCTCTTTCTCATTCTTTCTGTGCCATGCTTTACTTTCTTCGCCCACTTCGGTATTGCATCTCTTTGCTGTTCTAAACTCTACAAGGCTATGCTATGATCTGCTGGCATGCCTGGATATCTGAGTGGTTGAGATGATCGCCTTGGTATCGTGGGATTGCAGGCTGGCATCTCACCTAGCCAAGAAATTTTTCATCTTGGAATTTTTCAATTTTTTTTGCTGTCTCTTTCTCTAGCTCTCTATCTTTTCCCTCTCTCTGTATTTGCTCTCGCCCTTTGGGTTATTGTATCCCATACCCAAGAAGTTGCTGCACGTGTCCTGGGAGCAAGGCAGAAGATGAAGAAGATGATGACAAAGAAGAGGACAACAGGTGTCCTGGGAGCAAGGCAAAAGATGAAGAAGATGATGACAAAGAAGAGGACAAAGGGATGATAATGATAGTTTCCGTTTTGCAGCATTACGCCAAGCATCAACAGCTCCGCGGTTAAAAAGAGCTTCATAAGACAGATGCTCGGGCTAGTTAGTGATTGGGAATCAGCATATTTGCACAGCGCATATATCCAGATGAAAAAAAAGAAGGCGAGAAATATGGAAAAGTAGTGACGAATCCAATCAGTACCCGACCCTGTTACACTCGCACCTTTCTTCATTGTTTTTTTTTTTTTCATTTTGTTTGTTGATGTACAAATACATGCCACAGTGAATTTAAGTTACTACCAAATAGCTCTTTTTAACATATTTGTTACTCGTAGTCTTGCGCTGTGCAAATATGTTAAAACGAGCTGTTTGGTAGTAACTTAAATTCACGGTGGCATGTGTTTGCACATCAACAAACAAACAAAAATAAAAAAACAATGAAGGAAGGCGCAAGTGTAACAGGGTCGGGTACTAATTGAATTCATCACTACTTTTTTCATATTTCTCACCTTTTTTTTTTTTCATCTGGGTATATGTCTACTGCTTGAATCATGCATTACTTGCACATTGTTTAAAAGTGTATTAAAAAACATTCACAATTTATTTAAATGCAAACTTCACCTAACGCCATTCTCACCAGGACACGGATGCACTTAGAGTTATGCAGAAAAGTGTGCAGTGGTAATGCATAAAAATCGCTACTTAATTATACTTTATTAATGAAAGTTTATGTAACTTTATTGTTTGCACAATAGTAAGATGCAAGATGCACATGACACTATGAGTAAAAGGAACTACAACTTGTGTAAGTTTCAAATGGCAATGACGTGTTTGTCCCCATGTATGTGATAATACTGCTGGTATAAAAATGAATGCAATCATGCCTCGTACACACAAAAAAATAATCAAGTAATTGTTTGCCTATAACAAGCTAGCCAGTGCAACTACCTCGGTACCCATAAAGAATTTTGCTCACAACAAAACTAATCTGCCTTTAAGAATGACAATCTTATGAAATGATTGTTTGTGCCCATAATGAGTTAGAGCTTCACAAGCTATAGGTACTTGTGGTGTAATCAATGAATCGCTTGGAAAACTAAATACTAACTATGTTATGCCGCAGGTAAGCCTCTGTTTACCCTGACAGTAACTGTACGCAGGGCCAACATACGAAACAAAAAGATTTTGCCCGTGCCTTAAGAACATGACTAATGCATGACTTATTTTTTTTTTGCTTGGTTCCAGACCTATTTTGCGAAACGAGCACAGCTTTGGCTTTAAAATTAATGCTACATATTCTAGCACTGACGTATAAATTTTTTCATGCAGTCAAAATATATGCAATGGAGCTGAAAAAAGTTTACATGCACACCATAAAGCTGTGTAATTTGTAGCACGTGCTAAATAATCGATGACTTGTTGCTGACATATACTGAGATCGCCATTTAGTGACAATTGGTTTACAGTGTTTATCATGACAACAAACTAAAGGTTACGGCATGTTTCATTGAACTGCATCCACAAACTTTGAGAGTTTTGGCAAACCTAGCAGCTTAAGCTGAACTATGTTAATTGAAAAACAAGAAGAAAAAAAATCAGATAGTGGCTTTGATTATTTACAACTACAATTCATCATAAATCAAAGAGAGAAAGTATGCACGTGACACCTCTTCCTGAGGAGATTGGTTTACTTCATTTTTAAAGCAACAACAGCAAGAAAAAAAAAGAGTGACCCTGTCCATGTCACAAGATCCGCTATTTGAATGAAAAGAAAACAATACTTTATCTCGGGGTGAAAAGAAACAAACAAAAAAGCATACTAAACTGGAACACCTGGCAGGGGTATTTCTGTCAACCTTGAATAGACCGTTCGTGTGCAATGACCATTGCAATCCCTCCAGTTTCACGATAACTTTGATATGAAGAACTCTGTCATGTACGACCAGCTGTGCCCGAATCAATGCAAGCTTTATGATGTACTTCTGACTGTATTTTTTTTTCGCTCGCATGTCATTGCTGACTGCGTGCCTCCTGTCCGTGCCTTACAACAGGAAACAAGCTTTGATTGAAGTTCCTAAGAACTATGCATTTGAGCTTTAGTTATAGTCAGAGCTCTGAATATAATGAAATATAATCAAATATGGAAACGTGATTCAATACATTAACTGTAAGAGGATCATTTCCTATGCAAGTGCTAGGCATTCCTTTTAAAAGTGCCTCTTGATGTTTTTCAGTGACTACAGTACATAATATTATCTGTATAACTACAGTTGTGCCATCAAAAAAAAATTATTTTTTCTGTAATCTCGGACAGCTGTTTTTTTTTAATGTAACATTGTACCCTAGACAGCTTATACACAATAAATATAATGATGAAGCCATGACAGGTAGGCCACACACGCTTCCTTCTTTACTTTCCTAAACACCTACATATCACTCTACTGTGCACTCAACTGTGGTGAACATTGCACATGCTTAATTCACATGAATCAAGTACAAACTACAGTTCAAATGCTCCAGCCCAGCAACTCACTTTGCCTCGATCCATGCAGCATTCAGAGGCTGCCCCCGCAAGCATTATTCCATACACTTCCTTATCAGGGCTGCACTTAGCCACTCAAGTCTTATCACTGGCTTACCAGAAATATCAGCTGCCAGTCATTGGGCAGCCTGCAGCCCTGTGTATGTGCGTACATAGCGCAGTCAAGATAAGTGCCCAAGCCCCTGAGCATCACATTGAGCTGATGCAAAAAGCAAAACTGTGACAGAAAAGTTTCGTTCGTGGATGGAGGCAAATAACTATGCCTTTTTTGCTTCTTTCGCTGGGCATCTAGTCCTAAAGCCATGCATAAAACTCTGCATAAATGTACCATCGCAATGTCAATGGCCATAAAAACACAGGTCTGGAACACTGTGACATAAAAAGCCTAACTGGTGCTCTTGTATACAATTCACTTGCATGCACAATCACTTTCTGCCTTCTTGTACTCTTCAACTATAATTGAACTATGGATATTTTATTTTCGTCCTTGTGCTATTATAACTGAGTAATGCTGAGAACTTATAGTGCCACAGTATAAATGTGCTCACATATGGCTTTCGAATAAATACTAAAGTGTTATCCTTATTACAAAGGCAGTATGAATTCACAGTCCGTAGTGCAAAAACATTACTACAAAGAACTAGTGAACAGGCAGGACACCCTGTTCCTAAATTGCCTTTTCAGTTAAAAAGAAAATATTAGCTGTGAGAACAGTATGTGTTCTGTTCATTCCCTGAATTATACACAAATTAGCATGCTTATTCAAGAGCAATTGCTCTGTACTGATTTCATAGACAGGAATTTTGATTATGATTGAGTGCAGTTGGCTGACACAATGTGCGATTATTTGTGGGAGCAGAATGATAGTGGTCGAGCTCGAGCAGGTGTTTCAACAGGAGTCAAATGACAGTTTAAGGCAGGTATCAATGAAATTTTGTGATAGTGGCCTCGAGTGGTCATGAGCGTCAACTTGAATGACTGTCGGCAACTGTATGTGAAGGCGAGCTTGAGCTCAACATTTGCAGCTGCAGGTAAGCGTGATTAAAAGTGCGCTTCAATGTATGTGTAGGTGAGCATGACTGAATGTACTGGGCTACCTTGCTCAGGTATACTAGCCCACATAAACTGGCCTTTGTGTTACAACTCCACTAAAACCCCAGTACTAATTCCATTTATATCTGCCAACCTGCATCAAATGGCATCATCTGATGGGTAGGTTAAGGCAATGAGGACACTCGATTCGGAGAAATATTCACAAGCAAGAAATCAAGTGGTTTGGAGGTGTAATGAGAAAAGAGAACCACATCAGCGAATGATGACAAGATGATACTTTTGAATATGCCATCATCTAACAAGTTGCTGAAAGCGATGAGTATGCCAGTCAGGCAAAGCAAGGGTTATTCATTAGCGGTAGTACCAAGTAGCAAAAATAGACAGTTGACCAATGAAACAAATGAGGAGAATGGTAGAAACGTGATGTAACATTTGAAAAATTGAGTGTAAGTGTGTGTGCATGTATATATATATATATATATATATATATATATATATATTAATGAGATTCCCTGCATTATTGTCTATTAGATCTAATTAATATTGTGTCAAAACAAGAAAAAACGAGCCCTTGGGTAGACACTTTTTTCCCTTATATATATATATATATATATATGTGTGTGTGTGTGTGTGTGTGTGTGTGTGTGTGTGTGTGTGTGTGTGTGTGTGTGTGTGTTTGTGTGTGTGTGTGTGTGTGTGTGTGTGTGTGTGTGTGTGTATGTGTGTGTGTGTGTGTGTGTGTGTGTGTGTGTGTGTGTGTGTGTGTGTGTGTGTGTGTGTGTGTGTGTGTGTGTGTGTGTGTGTGTGTGTGTGTGTGTGTGTGTGTGTGTGTGTGATGTTTCAATAAGAGACCAATCTTTCAGTCTGATGAAGATCGATCTCTAACCGAAACGCCATAAATAAACAGTTTTTTAGAAGCGTATATTTATTTTTTCCTATTTCTACGGCAACCGAAGCCAAATTCTTCATAATATACGTGTGTATATATATATATATATAAGGGAAAGAAGTGTATATGTAAGTATTATTTGTCTTCAAAATAATTCAGAAGACACTACGAATAATCGATGATTGGTTTGAAAGCAAGAAAGGAAATTTAAAGGCTCACGTTTCTTAGACACAATTATGAGAGCTAATAGACAATGAAGCCTAAGAATGCATAGGATCAGTTACTTGTAGTAATTACGTTATCATCGTGAAAAAGCTAAAGTGGATGTAAAGATAACTTGCCACTGGCAGGGACTAAACCTGTGACCTTTGAATAACGCATTCGATGCTCTACCAACTGAGCTACCACGGCGGCCATACCCTGCACCTGTCCACTTGATGGAGTATATATATGCATTTGAATGTGGGAGTGTCAGTCAGTGCCATTATTAGCTACGATGGTTAGTATGGAACACTTCTTTTCTGCCTGTTCGCATCAATTAGCATGTCCTTTTTCATCGTAATAGCATTAAAGAGCTCATTTCGCAGAAATTCCGGCGTTGTTGGTTGTGAGCGAAAAATCATCATCTTGTGCATGACCGAAAAATCAAGAAAGATGCGAATCAAAATGAATAATGATAAAAATTCTGTATGTGAGCAGGGATCGAACCAGGGTCGTTTGCGTGGCAAGCGGGTGTTCCAGCACACAGCGATGCGTGTGGTATTGAGTACAGTGATAAGAACTTCCTTTGCTTGGAAGTGCAGCGAAAGCAACATTCACGCTTTACAAACACACACGTCCTGTATGCATACTTCACAATACAACATGAAATGTTGCAATAATAATGCGTGGCACAAGGGTACATTGCCATCGGATGTCAGAACATGTGATTATCATAATGACTTCATGGTTTAAAGCCGGTCACCGACAGCGATAGGCACACACGTTACTTGCACCTATTTCCTTAAGACCACGTAGTGGTTGCATAGCAAGTTTGAAAATATTTCATGCACTAAGTGTTTGAACTATATATGTAGTAGGGACAAAATATTGCTATTGCATTAAACTCCTTAAGCCGAAGCTTAAGGGTCCCCCAATTTTTTGTATAAGCTGGCAGCTGACCAATGACGCCTCGCATACTACGTGAAGGCATCAAGTCTGACAGAACGAAACCCTCGCTATGAAAGAAGAAAATGAAAGAAGAAAAAAAAAGGGGGAATTTTAAAGGCTATTTCAATGCTAAAGGCTATATATCAATGATCAAATCAATGATATATCAATGATGTATCAATGATATATCAAAGGCTATATATCAATGAGAACTAACAGGTGATAAAGAAAAAAAAAGTATAGGGGCGTTTGTCTATCACTTCAGGTAAGAGAACAAGTTCCACATTATATATGAGTTGGATAACACTTGGCAAGGACTATGTCATGTCTGAAGTTTTTCCACTGTAATTTAAGTGGGTCAGCAGAAACACATTAGAAAGTGTTGTTGTCCTTCCTGCGGAAGTACATACTATGGTGAACGAAACAGACTAATGAACTTCAAAAAAATCATGGTATGTCCTCTATTTTTTTACAGGATGCACTGAAGAGCTAGAGTGAAGCAACCTCTCATATTGTGACAAGCCGCAATAATTGAAAATAATGAGGGATAAAGGTGATCTTAATACTGCAGTGCAAATGATCGACATGCACATCCGTTTTTTTTTTGTTTCTAACATGCGCGCACTACCACCGGTCTAGTGCAATACGGAGCAGAGTGTACATCACACAGTGGTGGTCATGTCATGGCAGTCAGAGTATACTGTCCTTTTGTATTATTATTACTATTTTGACAAACAGCAAACAATTGACCCATGAAAGCAAACATGCGTGGAAGGGATGAAGTTAAAGAAGAGAATCGACGCCAAGCTACAGCAAATATAAGTACGATAAAGGCAAGAATGCTGCTTGCACAAACCTGCACTCTCAGCTGCCGTTTGAACCTCAGAAGCTCCTCATACAAGAAAGCACTCGCGAGGCTCGTGTGTCACACAGGCTGTCGACGTAGAACACTTATCTGTGGTTGGCACCGACACTTTATCTAGCTATCACAAGATACACTCACCAAATATCCAATAAATAACAGGAAGACCATGCAAGCACCCACATCTTGCCGCTGATAGCCAATCGGCTTTCCCGCAATGCCAAAAAAAAAAAAAAAAAGACTACATGACGTGCAAACAACCATATATATGTTTCATATTATAGATTATTGGCTGTCATGAACTTGATGACTGCACGACAGATCGAACGTCTACCTGTACAGTCTAGACATACACACGAATTGCAATATCATTTGTAGCAGTGCAAAACAGCACGATCGGGCCCTATTAGGATAGAATTTATCGAGCTGTGATTCGCCCATAAACAAAAGCTGCAGAAAGTAGCCAATCACCGTTGAGAAAGTTTATCATATCGGACTTGATCGCAATCAGCAGCACACCGTAGTGTATTACGCCGGTATGAGTTGGTTGGTTGTTCCTCGGAGTCCTGCCACAACCCACCACGGGTGATTGTATTTTCACAGTTGCAAACCAGCACGAAGTGTGCACCGATAATTTTCAGCCTCGTCACGTCTGTGATGTAATGGTGTTTTAACGTCAAAAAAATCACTCCACGATTATCCGTGGGCTCGATCCGGAAATTTCGACCACCTGAGGTTCTTAAACGCGCACCCAGATGCTGTCAAATCAGAGCCGCCGTAATTTAGACAAACCACTTGATGCGAAGCGGATAATACAATGGAAGCCACGGGGAGTGGAATTGACTCGTATAGATTAAATGAAGTTTTTCCGTTAACATAAAAAGTATCGAAAGTACGCACTACAGGTATGTTTCCTCGCTTTAGCCATCACTCAACGGAGCGGAAATCTTGTTTTAATATATCCACGTCGGTTATATTTACGCACGCCCCTTCGGAATTGACGCCCGGCCTATCGTGAGCTCGAGATATATTTGCACTCACCGGGACGGCGTAGTTTTGGGCGGCGCTCCAGAACCGAAATCGGTCAGGTGCACGGTGACAACACCGGGTGGTGCGAGGTGCGATTCATCCAACGCGAAAGGTTTTCTTTAAACAGACGTTCAACTTCACAGCGGCGCTGCGATTGACATGCTCCGATTTCCCGCGTGCAGTTGGAGATTTTTCCAGCGTTGGAACATAGCAACCGCGATACGCGCACGAGATAAACTGATGGCCCGTAGGTGTTCGGGCAGTTCCGCGCCCTGCCGATGCTTTCCCAAGCGCATGCTTTCGCTTTCGCTCTTTCAGCAGCCTTCAGTACGCGCGCGGTTGCACAACAAACGAAACTACGCGTTTCATTGGACCACAGCGACCGCAACCTCTAGATAATGCTTTCGATTTTTCACCGACAGAGCGCGCTTGTTGTAATTTAACTTCAAAGTAGTTGTGTAGCTTGTTACTCTACTGAAAGACTGGTGTTACCACCATTTGTCCATGCTGTGTTCAGTTATGGTTCTCGCTTTCTTGCGTAGAGGATAGTTAAAGCTAGGGATAATTTGAATTGCTAGTCTGAAGCGTTTGCGAGGAGGAATTATAGCATAGGTGTTCCGAGCTAAAGGGCTTTGCTTGGCTTCTTTGCAAGGTGAGTGAAAGCTTGCATGTTTCTGAGGTAACGCGCAGTCGTTCGTTGAAAATTTCGGCGTGTGTTCGTCGTTACGGTGATGGGAACGGTGCGCATGTAGTAGTAGACCACTTGTTTACTGCGTTACATTAGTGCTACGGCTACTTGAACGTGTTTTTCTCTTTACCCAGGAAGATGGTGAAGAAGAAGGACAGGACTGCCCGCAGGCAGATATTGCAGTTAAAGGAGGAGAGAAGCCGAACATATTCCCGTAAGTACGAACTCTCTCTCGCACTAAAACACGGCCGTCCTTACCTCGCTTTTTATTCGATGAGCATCTTGCACGAAAAGCTGCTTTCGCTGCGCGAATTTATCGTTCAGACAGGATCGTTGTTTTTCTGACCTGTGCGTATTGTGTTGTGCAGCGCCGGCCAAGAATTCGTCGATTGGTACTGCGGAGCCATCAAGTCAAGGAGATGACGAAGGAGACGGACATGACGGTAATTTAGGCCAGCACTGCACTTATAAGTTACACGTAACACCTTGCTTCAGCAAAATAACTTTAGTCTGATGCTAGACCCTTTAGTGAATGCAACTTTTAATGATTTACCATTGCAGAAGCTAGCCAAAATGAGCCAGCCTCGAATAACGGCGTTCGGAGAGATGCCATAGACGATCAGCTTGAAGACTTCATGAAGGTAATGGTGGTGCATGGTTTTCGAGTGTTGGTGTGATGCTGGGGGGATGTTCCCACGCATGTATACACTTTATACATTATATGCGTGCACGTATTGTTCAACAGATTGTTAAAAAGGGGGAGCGGGGAGGCAAAGCTCCCATTAAACATTGATGAAACATGCCCATTCCTGAATAAAGAGTCGCACACTACTACCACTCCTGCTTCGCATTTGGTAGCGCACTAAATTTTATATCTATGCACATGTATAAGAACATCAGGAGGTCAAAATTTATCTGGAGTCCTCCACTATGGTGTGCCACATAATCAAATGGTGGTTTTCGCATGTTACAATCGGCGATTGTTGGTAATTATTATTAATAACAGCACTTCTCCTATAGTTGTAATAGAACTTGAGTATATGCATAGTATGGCAACATTTGTGGAGCTCACTCGTACTCACTCATGAAATAGATTTTGCGCTTAGGGCTCACTTTGGACTCTTGACTTCCCAACATTTTTCTAAGCCGGGATCAATTGGACTTACACTCACGAAAACTTTTTTCACTACGACTCGTGACTCATTCTGAGCCTGAGTGAGTCCGAGTAAGTCGACTCATAACTCTGTTAGCCTAGAATTAGCTTTTTTGAATATGGTGCCTATGTTCTTTAACCGCAATACATCACCTAATCGACGCTCTTCTAGCCCTTTTTTGATAGAGTACCACCAAGAGTTGCAAGTGGCTTCAGACCAGTAAGGACATTTTCATTGAAAGAGATGACAACATAAAGTTTATTTATCATGAACTTCCCTGGAAAAGTTGGTGGCGTGGAGGTCAAGGCACCCCCTACGTAATTCACTCCTCGTATCATTAAATATTGAAATGTTGTTGGAATGGATACTGCTTCGGAATGCGCGTGAGTAAATGTGAGTAAAAGGTGATACAGGTAAGGCTAATATTAACGGTGAATATCAGTAGATGGATCCAGTATGTCCTGCAAGGTCAGCAGAAAAAAGTGGAACTCACTCAGACTTGCTTAAGAAATATATCTGTTACTTAGGATTCACTCAGACTCGCCAAAATTTTCCTGAGCCGGACTCACTTGGATTCACACTCGCGAAAAATTTCTTCATGGGACTTGCTCAGACTCAAACTTGCCAAAATATTATTTACGAGGACTCCCTCACACTCATTCTCGTGAAGTGTGAGAGAGGAGTGAGTTTTCCGCCCCGCCGCGGTGGTCTAGTGGCTAAGGTACTCGGCTGCTGACCCGCAGGCCGCGGGTTCAAATCCCGGCTGCGGTGGCTGCATTTTCGATGGAGGCGGAAATGTTGTAGGCCCGTGTACTCAGATTTGGGTGCACAATAAAGAACCCCAGGTGGTCGAAATTTCCGGAGCCTTCCACTACGGCGTCTCTCATAACCATATGGTGGTTTTAGGACTTTAAACCCCACAAATCTAGGAGTGAGTTTGCCGACCTACTAAGGAGTGAGTTTGCCGATCTTATGAATATATGCCATCATTTGTAGAAAGCACAGAGATTCCTAGCCGATTTTGAGAAATTATTGTAAATTACGCTATGGTATTTGGCTCATGTGTTCTTGGGAGCGCCGACTACCGGTTGGCTTCATTCTCTGACCATGCCCAAGAATATACAGGAACCCCCACATAATCGTTACACAATCGGGCACCAGTGTTCTTGCAAGATGTAACAAGCTACTGAGCGAGAAACTGCACAATGCATTACCTTGACACACTCAGTAGATTGCATAATTATGCTCGTTTTGTGAGAATCAGGGCTTGAGGTGTGAAATTATTGTTGCATGTGATCAACCCCATCCATTCGAGGTGGGAGAACCATCCCATTCCTAAGGAAAATGTTTCGTTCATTCATAATTCTTGCAGTAATGGGGCATTATCTGCGTGCTAATATAAACATTCCGCAGTTAATTGAAAATGCTATGACAGGAAAAAAGAAACACTGAGAAATGAACCCCACAAAAGCCATCATTAAAATGCTAATTGCATTTTCATGAAGTGCATGCCACAATGCGACTTTATTGGGTTTATGTGTGCGGGCTTCTTTAAAATCTCACACCCTTTTTTATGGTTGCATTACACAGTGGAGTGGCATACAAAACATCTCCAGATATCATTAACATTTTCTCTCTATTATAAACAGCAGTTTGACTTGTTCTTTGGTTTCACATATTGTGCAGGAAATTGATGCTATCTCATCGTCTGTTCCTGAGACTGATGCGCAAGGTGAGGAGGATAAAAAGGAATCTGTTGACCAGCAGGCTGTGACGGCATCATTGGGCGCTCCGCTAACTTCAGGGACACCTGAAGTAGAAGTTGCCACCCAGGAGCCAAAGTCAGAAGGTAACGGTGGTGATTGAAGGGGCCCTGAAGCACATTTTCAAGTAACCATAGAATGAGTTCGCAGGAAGAGCTTATTGCCTCACGAATTCAACGTCGCAAAAATCTTAAGAATCTGTCCAGTGGAAGTGGAGTTACAAAGGTTTGTCACATGCTGCCATGGACTTTTCCAGAAATTGACGCCGTGCTTTGCTACTGGCAGCTGCAAAGCATTATGGGAACCCGGAGGGCCGACAAATCTGCGTCTGCTTGCAGAAGCGCTGGCTCACCCCGTTTCCCACACCGTGCAGGGCGTATGAACGCACCGTTGCGGGAATGTCCCGCGTCATAACCCTGCTTCAATCTGCACTCACAGAAGAGGCACCACCCAGAGCAACATGCAGTCAGGAAACACTAGGATCGTTGACTTATTAATGACTTGAGAAATTGCTCACGTACCCACGAAAAGGCCCATTGAATTAAAAATTTTTCGCGGCGAGTCGCCTGTGCTTCGTTGATCGTGTTTCCGCGCAGCTGGAACCTTTTGTCATTCGTTTTATTGTCAGTGTGACAGTACAGCTTCATTATTAGTACTTTATGTCGGGGACTGTCACTCGTGGTATGCTTCCGCGCGATACGCAGTGTAAGACTATGCACTTTGCGAATGATAATGTAAAAATTCCGCCCTTATAAATGAGTTTGAGCCCCACTATGCTGTGTATATTTGAATACTAATTGCCTGTTTCAAATGCTGCGTGTGAGAAAGTTTGCACTTGGGACGCCGAGAATAGTAAAAACCAGCTAACAGCACGTATATAGAGCGGATACTTCGCATGCAGTATTTGCTTTCAAACAGTGTAAAACCTGCTGTCTCTGCGTAGTTCCTGTTTTTACGACTGTGAGTTGGAAATTAACCTAAGAATTTTAAGCCAGGAAACGCTGCTGTGGAAGGCTGTTAATGGTCAAATGACTTTAAAAGCAATGGTGAAAGACTCATTCAGCGGGGAAAAGGTATAGACGGCCACAGCAGCGCTTACATAAGCTGACAATGTGAAAAGAACTGATGGCGAGTGTAGCTTTTGTATTGATAATCATGAAACTACAACTAGCGCTCTTTGCCTTGACACAGGGAAAAAAAAAAGAGAGAGATGCACGAAGCAAAAATAGGTAAGGCCTCTAGGTTTATGGTCAATAAAAAGCAGATGCTTTCTATTGAACGTAACCATGCAGTAAACAGTAAAATGAACACTACGTAACACCGCAAAAAAAAAAAAAAAACCTCACAGGATTTTTTATGCATTCACTCAAGGCGACCTGAAAGCGACGGTAGTCTGTTTCTTTTTGGTCAGTCAATTTATTGGTCTGCCCCCTGCCCCCTGTGAATGTTTTCTGCACCTAAAGTGACTTTGCACAGATTTATGACTGGAGGCATTCCAAACTTTCAACCCCTCACCTAGTTCTGCTCGGCCTCCTTGATTGGTGGGCCGATCACACGATAACAAAGCAGTGCAAAGCGATGATGTCGTTTCATGACGTCATCATGGTTCACTTCTTCACTTCACTTTATTACCTTAAAGACTGTCATGGGACCATGGGACCGTCATGATGGGACCATGGGACCGTTACCATGGGACCGTCATGATGACCTTACACATTCTGGTGATCCGTGATGTCACGATGACGTTGTGTGGTAATGCCATCACGCGATGGTTTTTGCATCACTCCTGTTGACACCGACGGTATGGGACGCCAAAGCCACCAACGGTCAATTTTTGTTTTTAGGCAAAAACTTTGGATGCCTCATCAAACGTGAAACTCGACCGTTTGCGCCCCGCGTTGGCAAGGTCGAGTGATCGAAAAAAAACCACAGCGTCATGACAACATATATAACGACAGACATCGCCAAAAATTGTGGCGTCATCAAAACATCACGTGATCACTTCATCGCATGACACCCGAGCTTGGTGCAATGTGGTCTCATCATGGAGGCAATGCAAAATCAGTTTCGCACTGCCTGCGTTTTTGGAGGCAGCGCAAACCTCGTTCGGTCACGTTTTTAAAGGGTGGTGTGAATGGTGGCGTGCTGGGGCGTCGGCCGGGGGTTCAAAAGGGACACTAGCCCCCTTCAAGGCACACCGGCACCTGCCCACGCCCAAGCTACACCAGTGCTCTCCCCAAACTGCGACGCAACACCGGTTCACACCCACGGTAAAACTCTGCTGACAGTCATAGACTGGCGACGTAGGATTAGTACATCGACTGAGAAGAAAAAGAAGATGGCCTTCTCTATCAAATCATCTTAGACGAATGAATAGGAGGCCCTGTGAGTTTATAACGACTTATCTAAGCCTCTCGCCTTAATAAATTCGCGTAGCTAAGTACAGGGTAAGCTGCAAGTGTAAAATCCTAGCCCCGTAATCACCTTGAGGACACAGATAACAAAGGTCCAACTTAGCTGCAGCACCACAAACATTGAAGCAATGAAGTAGCACTAAGCAATTAACGAATAATATGAGTGTTGGGCTTAACATCCCAAAACCACCATGCAATTATGAAGACGCCGTAGTGGAGGGCTCCAGAAATTTAAGCACACGGGCCCAAAGCATTTTCTCCGCCATCAAAAATGCGGCGGATGTACCGGGATACAATCCCACGACTTGCGGGCTAGCAGCAGAGTGCCTTAGTTACTAGACCAGCGTGGCGGGTAGGCAATGAATGAAACGTCCAGTGACTTTCACGTATGATCACATCCCACAACTGAGCAAGTGTGTGCGCCACTTTCCTTATTCAGCATGTTCAGTGGTCATTACGGTTATTTGCGACGAACAACATGGTTTAGTATGCACTAATGAAAGTCGGAGCGATCAGAAGAAGCGTTTCTTCACAATAGCAGCTCTTTACACCAGCCAACACCACTCGCGGCACGCGATAAAAGCAGGTGAAAGCAGGAAAGCGTCGTCTGCTCTGACCACCGGCGCTCCGCTCTCCCATAATGCCCCAGGGCCGATCCACCAGGGGAAGGCGTGGCGCTGCGATTTCTGGAACAGTCCATTGCATTTTCTTGTCCCAACGAAAGCGCTGAAAGCTAAGCAGGAAGGGATGGCAGGGCCACAGAAAAACGTAACGCGGGCCTCGTGATCTTGAGCACTTCTTTTATTTTCTTCAACTGCGCGGCTTTTTCAGTGTGATTGCACGCGCACGCGTGGACAAGTAGGGGCCTCCTGCGGCGATCTCTGTAACGAGCGAGCGCGCCATGTTCAAATCAGCCAATGGCTGGTAGATAGGCTCGCTACGTGTGATTTCTGGGCATATGCCATGATTTGTCAGGAGAAGAGAAAGCAATTTTCAGCTTACTCTGATAATTCATTGTGATTTCCAGGCTGTGTGCTGTGCTATAATATTTGGCTCGCATGTTGTCAGGAGCCTCTACTACCGATGCTCCATGCTCAAAAAGTGTTACAGGGCCCCTTTAAATAAAGAAGAGAAAAAAAAAATCTGGAAAAGCTGTAGCACCTTGACTTATTTTCATTTGGGAGGTACTTATCTTCAGAACAAATGTAATGCTTCTCCTAGCTCTTTTAGTCCCCTAAGCTTTTTTTTTTTTTTGCTCACCGAAGCTACTGCACAAAACTACATTAAGTCGAGGGGAAAAAAAATGCAAGAATTTGAACGGAAAAAATACGTACTTAGAAATAAGTTTGTTACGTCACGAAATTTATTTTGTCAAAGTTTATTAAATGGAGGTGTCAGCAGATAAGTGATATAACAAAGCAGCTTTATGCAACAAACAGAACAATCGTAATATATACACAAAATATACTTAGTAAAAAAACTGAATGTATTGCAAGAATTAGTTTTATACTCCCTCAGTGAAACAGGTGCTTGTTCTTTCTCTTTTTATATAAAAGGAAGCACTGCGGAAACACCTTCGGCTACTAAGGGCGAAATTCCACCTTGTCCCTGGGTGGAGTGCATGGATGTGGCGACTGGGTACACCTACTTCTGGCACCAGTTGACCAACGAGACAACGTGGGACTGTCCACCTGAGTTCGAAGCTTACTGGGCACAGTATGGTGAACCTGCTGATGCTGAGGGTGGCGCGCCCGGAGCTGGTGCTGATGCTGCTTCTGCAACAATTCTTCGCACGAGTGGCGACACACAGATGCTTCCCGAAACCAGTGCGTCAGCATCTCCTACTGGTGCGGCTGCACCAAACAGCAGCGACTCAACGAATGTTCAAGCTGCGGATTCCTGCAGCGCGGAAGGTGGAGCGCAGAAACTTGCTGATTCGTCTTCAGCCACTGCATCGATAGCTAGTGCGGCCCAAAGCAGTGCGAATATGGAAGCACCCGAAGTAAATAAGAGGGTGACGACGTCTGGCAAGAAGAAGCGGAAGCAAGAAGCGGTCATTGGGTATGCGGATATTCCATATTTTGGTGCTGCATCTATGAGAGTAACTTATGTGAACGGGTGTTTACTGAGAAAGCTTTTTGTGAAAAAATTGTCTGGGATATTACGAGTCTGAATTCACACTATAGGCACAACCCACTCCCCTCTTCTTCTCTCAATGTTGCAATTAAACAAAGTACACTATCGGACAATCCTTGCGGTAAATCTTGTAGGTTTAACAACGTCTGTGTACTTGGTGCACCTGCCGTGGGCAGCTTTTCATTTTTCATTTCTTCGTATGCCTCCAGGAAACATCACTTTAGGAATGCCTGTCCGAAATTGTAGAAATTCGGGCCCCACTGCAGCACAGTTCCAAAACATCACTTGTACTTCAACTTTGGGGACGCTGAAACTGCACTTTCTAAATCCTTACTCAATTGTGCAAGTAAAGTTAGTGCAACCTTGACGGATGAATTTTTATGCTGTGTGCTTCTGTGTAAGGTATTAGCTTGTAGTGTGCATTGTTATCTGGCTTTTAGCACGAAGCTACGGTGTGAATTCATGTGGACTTGGCTTTGCACCTTCTTGATCATCATCATTGTTAGCAATTTTAGAAGCAGCAATAGCAGTAAGATGGTGTAGGTGCATGTTATTCCGTGCACAAAGCAGTGTCCATTGATTGCTAACATAAATCATAACTGTGCTATCTGATAGCGTGCCAGTTTACTGGGAAATCGCATAATGTGTTTCATTCAGGTTTGCAAATTTTTCCTTTTTATCCATTGTGCAGAGCAATCATTCCAATAACCTCGTACGGCGGCTCTGACAGCAGCTCGTCCGAGGGGAGTGACTACGAGACTTATTCAGTCTGTAGGACACGGCTGAAGAGGCATCCTTCCAAGCGCGTGAAGGTAGCAGCTAAGAAGACTCGTGCGAAATCACCACCACCTGTTACCTATGGACCACAGCTGCCAGACTCGGTACTTGCTCAAAGTGAAGTGCCCGTGTATGGACCGCAGCTTCCTGATTCTTCTGAATCCATGGAAGTAACAGTCTATGGTCCACACCTGCCAGAAGTGAAGACAGTTGAATATGGCCCTCACTTGCCTGAGGAGGATAGAGTCGTGTATGGACCACACTTGCCGGAGCCAGAGAAAAAAATTGCATACGGGCCACACTTGCCAGATACCAGCAACCTAGAATCTCATCAGCCCCCGGTCTTAATTGGTCCACAGCTGCCGGAGTTACACGAGCTCATGACCGAAAAGTCCAGTGCATTTATTGGCCCAGTTCTTCCGGATGAATTTATTGACAAACAAGCAGAGCATTGTGAAGAAGATAATCCCAAAGTTCAAGAACAGTCTCCTAAATCGGAGGACCCATCCTCTGAAGGCACAGGATCCCCCAAATCTGTCGCTTGTAAAGAAGATAATCCCAAAGTTGAAGAACAGTCTCCTAGGTCGGAGGACCCATCCTCTGGAGATACGGGATCGCCCAAATCTGTTGCTGTATCTGAAGCATCCTGTGCTAAAGGTTTGCAAGCCAGTGAAAGTGTGCAGGAAAGCAATCACTCTTCTGCAGTTACTGGAGAACGTGCTAGTGCTTCTGTTGAAACTGCAGTTGCGGTTCCAGCATTGTCTGGCCTGGTGGATTACCCTGGCTCTCCTGTTGTTGACAGCGAAACAGATGATGAGGGGAGTGATGGGGACGATAAAGTAGAGTCTGTGCCAGTGCAGGACACTGAGAAGGAGCCTGCGGCTGTGAACTATCCTGTCATGACTGATGGAAAGCTCCAGTTTGAGACTGTTGAGAATAATGTGCATGAGAAAGTTTCCCAAGATGCCAGTCAAGGCTCTTCTAATGTTCGTGCCAGCTCCCTGTCTGCAACAAAGCAGTTGAAGTCAAAAGAAAATTCTGAGGCAAAGGTGATTTTCGCTTCTCTCTTTCTTTTGCTAATTTTCTTTCCACGTTACATGATTTGCCCTGGCTATGCACATCCATCATTTACTAAAAAAAAAAAGATTGCTCACATATTTTAATTTTTTCATAACTTGTAGCACATCTGTCAAATTCAATATGGATCACCACCTTTGATCTAGCTGTGCATCATGTAATGTAAACATTCTTCTTTCTGTACTGTTTGAAATCCTTTGTCTTACATAATTAACCTGTAGTTGTAAATGCGATTTCTAGAGACCTAGGAATCTGAAAGCACCTAAGAAATCGAATAGCTATTGTTCTCATAGTTTTATCATGGCAAAGGCATGTTGTCGTTTGAGAGCGTTAGCAAGAGTTCAGGAAAAGATAAAAACTTAATAAGAAAAGTACCTGAAGACGAGTTGTCTATAGAGCCAACACTTCTATAAGCAGTCTCGTCTTCCTGAACACAGTGTGTTATTGAAGCCAATGTTTCGACAAGCTGCCTTGTTTTCTTGAACATGGGTTGTCACTCGAGCCAGCATTTCAACAAGTGGTCTTGTCTGAAGAAGACAAGGCCATTTGTTGAAACATTTGTTCCAGTCACATCCCGTGTTCCAAGAATTTTTCAAGTAAAAACTTAGGCTTTTTGGTTCATTTTATTTCTTAAAGCACTCTTAAGTCATGGTGACGGAACAGAAAAGAAAAAAAAGGTCACGGAAATACAGATAGCGAAAGAAGAAGCACAACTGAGGTGAACAACCATTCAACCATCTGCATTCAACTGTCTGAACATTTAACAACGAGCATTTAATAGTCTGTACGACACGTTTCTAGGTTGACCACTGTACTGGCTTAATGACTATGGCTCGTCGACTATTTTGTGGTATTTTGGGAGCTCATGTACACACCATTTGTTTGCAGAACGGATCGCAGCACCTGGTTTGTTATGGTGACTCGGAGGGCAGTGACGATGACAGCATGGACGTGGACATAACTGCTGCGGAGCCCTGTCTTTCTTCAACAATGCGATCACCCGCCTCTTCAGTAGCTGGCGAGGATGACAGGGAAGATAGACACAGGGGCTTCGGGTGCTCAAACAGCGATGCTCTGGACGCTGAAGCTACTGATGTCAAGAAGGCTCCTTCAGCAAGGCCATTCGTGGGAGTCAGCTTTGTTCGATCGTCAGAGTTGCTTGTGTTGAGTGAGTGTGTAAATCAGGGTGAGGGAGACGCTGAAGAGAAGACTGCTAAAGAGAAGACTGAAGAGGCTGCGGAAGAACAGTCATCCAGTTCCGAGGGCACGGCTGCCACCGAAAGGTTGGCTTCCCCGCAAGAACAGGTGGCACCGGAAGATTCTGATGTAGATGATTTTGATGATGTAGTCCGGGCCCTCGACATTGCTTTGTTAGAGTCGGTGAGTGGGAAGTTTCGTTCTGTCTGTTGCATCTCTAAGGCTTGAATTGGAGAAGCATGCGTGTTGGGTCAAGCATATAGTGACACGTGTTTATATGAAAAAGAACGATGAAAGGAATGTTTTGTAGATTCCAGCTAGTGGGTCAGGCAGTTTTCAAGACGACAACGAAGCAAGTGTGTTGCTGTACAGCTGATCCTGAACACGCTCTTTTCGCTGCCGTAAGCTGCTGTCATCTTTTGTTCGCGTTGCACTGCGACAATATTGTCATGTTGAAAGCAAACTGAAAAGCTTTTCATCTAAAAATGCAGCTGTTTTTTTTTTTTTTGCAGTTTTCTGCTGCAGGCAGTTGAATGACATTTTTTTTTTTCTTTTTGTGAGCTTTCATCTGCATTGTTGGCATACCTGCCAAGTTTCCCGGATTACCCGGGAGACTCCCGGATCTTGAATGTTTCTCCCGCCGGTTGTACGGGTCATACGAAAATGTCCCGGAAATCCAGTTTTGCCCTGCGCGTCCAGTGCTTTGTCTGGCCACTTGTGCAAAGTTGTCTGGCCACGTAGTAAAAAGGATCCTTTTTTTGTTAATGGTGGTAGCAAGGTTCAACTCAGTTCAATGTTCGTTTTCGAGAGGCGAAAATAGCGCCAGAACATGGCCTGCCGAGTAGGAGCAGCGAAATCGTGCATGGCTGTGCAGTTTTTGAAGGTCATGCACATTAACGAAAAAAACCCCAGAAAACTTCATTGTAGTTGAGGGAGGGTAGTAACCCCATGGTACGGTTTATGCTTTTGCTGGCTGTTGAATGTGCCGGTATTCCAGGAAGTGATGGTGGCGTATTTTGAATTGCTGGCACCGCAGCGCATGCGAGAAAGCAAAAAAAAAAAAAAAAGATGATGATGATGATGATGTGGTGCCGTTCCCTTTGTAATGGGTCGCCGCGTGTGTGGCGGCTTGGCATTAAAAAAAAATACAGGAGTATAAAAAACCCCAGCTAAGGGAAAAAGAAAAAAAAAACGATTAAGGAGGGAATACTAAAATAGTAAGGGGGGATCCAGTGCCTCCGACAGGAGCGCTTGCTTGATGGGACGTCGCTGGGCGACCGCGTGTTTGCAAACGGACGCATGCACAAAGGAATGCGCAGCTCGCTGGCTGTTCCATCGTACAGACGCACCCACGCCCTTAGGCATGCGTACGGTGGGGGTGCGGCTGTTAACCTTTGGGGTTGGGAGGGGGGAGCGCATAGTCAGCCCTTTACATTGACATAATGGGTAGTGTCGCGGTGACTCGGGCAGACATTAAGGGGGGGAGGGCGACAGACCTTTACTCTACCCCACCTTTAGCCGGAACTGCGCATCGGAACTGTAGCGGAACTGTAGCCGGAATCGCGACACACTTTCTGTACCTTTGCTTTATGCGTCCCCTTACCCCTCTCCTTCAAACAGCTAAGCTGAACCGTCCTTCTGCACGGGCTCATCGAGCCTAATGGCAGGGCTTTCTTGAGCCTCTCGCCACGATTAACTAGCGCTTTTCCCTTTCGCAAGTCAGAACTTTTTTTTTTACTTTTTGCTGTTTTTTTAATCCGACCGTTTTCTTCTCTCATAGCCTTTTATCCCCATCTCCCTTATTGAGCGCTCCTCCCCTATATCCTTACCTTCTTCCTCTAAGATTCTTGTTTTTTTTTTTGTTTTTTTCTTCTTTTTACTCATTCGCAAGGGTTGCCGAAAAGAGTGTTTGTTTTCTCTTATGCATCCGGGCTATGAGCGGAGAAAGCTGAGCTGGGAGAAGGCGAGTGGTCGGTAGGGCTGTACTAAGCAACAACAGGCCTCGCACGCGGAGCGATGTTGTCGCATGTGCCCTTCGCTTGACGGTGACCACTGGGTCATTTCATCTCTGCTTCAGCCGCGTTCATCCCTATCAATTTGGACTCCATACAAATCAGCAGCGACCGCGAAATTCAACTGACAGTGTTTATATAATTGTCATCTCCGAAACGCATTTTGTGAACAAGGAGAGAACTAGCGTGCCTGCTGTTACGAGTGTACTGGCGTCCCTTGCAGAGACACTGTGTGCGTCCGTAAAGGACTCTGAGTGCTTTCGAAAAGACACTAGACGCGTCGCTCAGAGATGCTGCGTGCGTCCAACAGCGGGGCTGTCTCGTGCTCCTTCAGCATCTTGGCGCCTATAAAAGGCCAGCGCATCGAGCGTTGGGCAGCTTCCTCGTCCACATTCTGTACATACGTTGTAAATATAAACACTTTGTTTCCTTCTTACTGCCTTTTGCCTTGCCACTGCCACGACGCTGTTGCAGCTGGCCAGGGCGACTGTCAGCGCGTTTGTTGTGCTGGCGCTTGGTGTGGCACGTGTGTATGAGAGCAGACGAAACTCAACACAATGTGTGTCACAGCCTTGTGTGCTCACGTGACCAAGCCACCTATGCATCGACGTCACTTCCCAATTCGGCACCGGAAAACCTAAACCGAAAATGGTCCACATAAGTAGAGCAATATTAAATTATTTAGCGAAAATACACAAATCTTGGTGTGTGTATCATGCTGCCTGGAGCTGAAGGAAATGCCTACAGCAAAGAACACGCATGCCACAAATTTGGTGGCACCATCCCTTTAAATCAATGTTTCCGATATCAAGGTTTAAACATAGCACAGCATATTGTTGGCTAGTGAGCTGCCCAAACCACTTCTTAATATGCCGCATTCAATCAACTTGGGCAGTTGTGTTCTACCGGGCCAATGTTGTGACTCTGGCTTCTAGCTGTTTGTTGGCAAATTCATTTATAAGTGTTGCGTTGTTCATCATTTTAATTGTTTCGTCTGTTCTATATCCATCACTTCGTAGCAAAAGAAGAAGGCGCAGGAAATTGGTACAAAGCACCAAGACTTACCTAGTGCTGACAAAGAATCGCCCGGTGATACAAGCGAGGAGGAGGGAGAAATCAAGTCTTCCGATTCGTCCAGTGAGGAAGGAATGACACCAATGCCGCAGGGGAGCTCAGGTCAGTGTGAGATTTGTTGAGGACGCCCCGCCGTGGTGGTCTAGTGGCTAAGGTACTGGGTTGCTGACCCGCAGGTTGCGGGATCAAATCCCGGCTGCGGCATCTGCATTTCCGATGGAAGCGGAAATGTTGTAGGCCCGTGTGCTCAGATTTGGGTGCACATTAAAGAACGCTAGGCAGTCTAAATTTCCGGAGCCCTCCACTATGGCGTCTCTCATAATCATAAGGTAGTTTTGGGACATTAAACCCCAGATATCAATCAAATAAGACTTGTTGAGGATATTCATGTTGAAAATGTCAGTCCTACTTTAAGAGGTACTCAAGTGTGCGTGAATCTACTGCCCACCAGGAAAATGAGGAAGTGGGACTCAAAGGAACAGCTTGAAAACCTTACTTAGTCCAACTTCTTGAGTGTCTGCTTGTGGCAAAAACGTTCAAAAGTCAAGTTAAACCTAAAAAAAAAATGGAAATATTTGCTCAACTGGTGTTAATTTTACTTCTGAATGTTTTGATAATAGAGCACATGTTATGTTTCACTAGCGTTTCAAACAACCAATAGCAGTTGAAAATCATGGTTTATTTGGTAGCATAGAATTGAGTTATTGATGGCATAGTAATTCAGTTAGAGACATGTAATGATGATGGCACCACTTCAATTTAAAGCTCCTTCAAAAGTGTAGTGTAGACCTGCTTCTTTTAATACGGGAACAAACAGTGCTAGATGGGGCAGTGATGGAATGACAGACAATGTGTATCATTCTATTAACGTCTCATGTCTAGTGCTCTTCGTTCCCACTGTAATGATGTACCAACTGGACCACTTCAGTACACTCCTGTAATACTGATTTTGCTTGCATCTGGCTATGCAAGCATTAAGGCAGCGTCTGTGTAACACTCTTATAAGCATTTACTTGTGACTACTCTAGGTTGTCAATTATTGTTTATAGAGGCATCTTCGACAGAAATGAAACGCAGTATCTTAAAGTGGTGCACTGCACTTGGAAGCAGTTTTCCTCTGGTGCGTCGCAACTCTCAGTCTTTGGAATTACTTGTTTTGCAGAGCTCACAGATCATTGTCACCAAGTAATGTGAATGTGAAATATGAAAGTCTTACATGGTCTCTCTACGCATAAATTCACCTTTGGTGTTGCTGAGCAACACACAGTTAAGCCCCTTTATAAGAGGCATGCACTGGGTAGCTGTTCTTGTCTTGAGGTGTCTCTTATAAGGGGGTTAACAAGTTTGCTTTTTTCCTATTAATTCATATCTTTATCTGCGCTCACAGATCATTATCTGCTCACAGATCATTGTCACCAAGTAATGTGAATGTGAAATATGAAAGTCTTACATGGTCTCTCTACGCATAAATTCACCTTTGGTGTTGCTGAGCAACACACAGTTAAGCCCCTTTATAAGAGGCATGCACTGGGTAGCTGTTCTTGTCTTGAGGTGTCTCTTATAAGGGGGTTAACAAGTTTGCTTTTTTCCTATTAATTCATATCTTTATCTGCGCACACAGGTGTCTATCATACCCAATGGCCTGTTTCATCAGTGTCTCTTATAAAAGGGTTAAGCTGTACAGCATTTCATGCTTTGCCGCAACGCCATGCTATAATTGCTTGTCATTGCTTAAAACATTTCAGACTCTGAGGATGAATCGGAGACGGAAGGGGATGCCAGACTAAAAAAAGGCAATGAATTCACTGAACGAAAAACATCTCCCAAGCCTGAGAGTAAGGATAGGCTTAAGGTAGGCACTGCTTATTTTTCAATTGAATCCACATTAGATATCGTTTTGTGAAAAATTGTGTTCTACTGTTTTTAGTTATGTGCAGTGTTGTAACAATTGTAACATTTCATTTACCAAGCAATATATTTTATGTATGAAGCTGATACTCTCTTTTCTCTATTTGTGCTTTATTACTGAATGAAGAAGTTAAAAAAAGTACCTATTGATGCACCCATTAGCCAAGCAAAACATGGTATTACCAGTTAATAATAAATGTGCTGGTACATTTAATGGCATTATAACTTGCTATAAGAGATACTGAAAGAAAACTTTTTATATGGGCAGATAAGTTTCCCTGGTGATATGAAAATTTGCTTAGGGGTTTTCTCTTTATGATGTATATTTACCCCAATATGCAGAGATGTTACTTGGCTCGTGCTTTCGACTTGACTAGAGTAAGTCGGCGTGAAGCAAGCAGCGGACTTCAAAACGCCCAAGTCAGCCTTTGCGTTTCATAGATGCTTAGGCTGTCTTGGTTGATCAAGTCAAGAACGAGCTTCAAAGCAGAAACACTTTGCTCGTTTGGTAAAGAGGTTAATAATGAAGTTGTTAGCGTAAGGCCCGTGTTACAACAAAGAAAGATCGCACATTTCAAAATAACTGTAAAAACAAAGTGCCACAAGCATATTTTTGCCATTTTATGGCTATCGTGTGGCATGTTGTGCCCGCCACTGCAGCGATGCGCAGTGTTGCTTTTGTAAAGTGTCTGTTGGCTGCTGGTTTTAGTCGCCACCCAAGTGCAGCGCGTTTCTCCACGCTTGCTTGTTTGGAGGCAAAACATGCATCGCATAGGGTTCTTTCGTCGTTTTTTTTTAATCGAAAGCCACGGCGTGTATTTGTGCTGACCTGGCTCGTGAGGTAAATGATTTTCAAGGTATTTGCCTTTCTATTCCCGTGTGGACATGCTTGTAGCGAACTAGGTCACAGCTATGTATGAAAAAAAAAAAAGTTCTGGGAACAAAAGTTATTCATATCCTTTTGTTGAGCTTGGTAAACAAGATAAAAAGGCGGGGGTCAGAGCATTGTCCTCAACGGAATTTTGTCTTGTGGGATGCAGCAATGTCTCGCTGCATGATGGTGAAGAGGGAGGCACATGGTCAGAAAACACATCATAGGGGCACCTTTTTTTTTTGTGGAATTTTGCGTAGCGTTGTGTTCCAAACGATGCCTGTCTGAGCGAGAAACAGCGCCCTAGACTGGACGAAAGGATAGACGAGGCACACAGACACGGCGCTGAGTTAATTTGTATAGAAAGAGATGGAAACGACGGCAAATGTCGTGTTTTAGAAAAACAGAAATAGCTTTTGCGGTTACGGAACACTTCGGCGTCGTCACCACCGGGGCTATTAATAAGCATGTCTGTGCAGTCGACACATCCTATAACGCCAGGAAACTCGGCCACTTCACAAAAGTCCCGCATAACTATAGGAAGTGCCGCCAGCTGCAGAAAGCACACCAGCGTTGCATACAGGTGCTTTGCGATGAGTAGCATAACTTTTCAGACTGCATGGCACACTGTCGACTACGGAATGCGGACGAGATTCCCTGCGACTGTTTGGAATGTGCTAGCGCCGTAAAACATGAGTGCCATCAGTAGCTGTAACACTGGAGGCATAGGCCGTCTACAGTTGTCCCCACTTTCACGGAGCGGAAACATTGTCAGCAGCTGCCGCACGGCGTTCTTCGTGAATTTGTATCGAGCGTGGAACTGTTCCTCGTCGTACAACTCCATCTGATTTCCTCGGTCACGTAAAGCGGGTCGAGGAATCTTCTACCGGTAGTGCGCCTCACAAAATGCTACGCTTATGGCGAGGCAAGCAAACTCAAAAGCGGCCACCCTCCGCGCAACGTCCATTTAAGTGCTGGCCATGTTAGAATAATGCATGAAGTCGCTTTCAAGCTAGCCCTGCAGCTGACTTGAAACTTGTACCGACTTCGACCGAGCCAAGTCGCCTTCAAGTCGTCCGCAAGTTCAAGAACGATTTATGGCGAGCGGCAAGACTGTCTTGAGTCAAGAACGAGTCAAGTACAAGTCAAGTAATATCTCTGCATTCGGGGGTTAGATACCAAAATCTTTAGGAACTCAAGTCTTTCTTGCTCTGATATGAGCATGTTAAATAGAGTGGACTCTAATTTCTCTGGCTAGCTGTTACAAAGCCTTAAATTTGCCCTTTGCATTATGTTCAGATTTCTATTAGAAGCACAGTTTTGTGGCTTTAAAAATTAGTTACTAATGCTGCTGTACATTGGGGAATCTTCTATATAATGTCTAATTAACTGTGATGCCTTTTGTATCTAGTCCAATTATGTGTTATAAAGGACTGCGGCTGAGCCCATGAAAAAACATATACAGTAGTAGCATATTTACTCGTTCCACAACATGTGTAGATTGCCAATTACGCTTACGTCTCTGCTCAGCTTAGGCATTTAATTTGCCTATTGCATAGAATAGCAACATGGCATGTTGGTTATTTATTGTACCATACTTTACAAATATATTGAATTTTTGTTGTTTCTTTGGGATAGCTTGATATTGAAGAAGCTTACAAGCAGCTGACAGACCTGTTGAATCCTCTGCGGGACGTGATCGCCTGTAGGAACAGCTACTTCGAACTTGTTGTGAAGACTATGGTAAGAGACGTTTTTTTTTTTTTTTTTTTTTTTGCACAGCTGTCCTTTCTATAGTGCTATAATCTGGGGCATCAAAAGCTTGTTATACTGTTGCAGGAATACGTTGAACTTCAACAAAGACATGCATGTCTCTGAAAACTTCGTTAAATTGAGTGTTTCATTAGCATTTCAAGATTAAGCTGGTTTGCCACTGCCAGCATGTTGAGTGTTACAGAATAAGTTTGTTGTACGAGATGAAAATGTGTCATAATAATAAACACAAAATCCGATTGGCTGAGTGTGTCCATATTAATATAGCATATTGAACAGAGCTTCAATATGAAAATCAATGTAGGTTTGGTAATTTAAATTGGTGAGCCTGATGGCTTCAAAGTAGTGAAGTCATCAAAGTGCTGCACTACGTGAACTTCATTTTGCGACAAAGTGGCGACAGGCCACAGAGAGCTAAAACAATGAAGCTCAGGCACAACTTGGACTGTGCCCATCATTCCCATGTGAGCTGATGTGCCCTGCGTTGCTGCTCGCATAGACGCTAGTGCCAGATCTTTCTCTAGCATACTAATATTAGGAAGCTTTGTACTTGTTTACAAGTGTAAAATGCTTTGTACGTATATAAACACGACTTCACAATCACTGCGGCTTGTTGTTTGCACGGGCTCATCCTTTCTTTTTGTTTGTTTGTTTTGGAAAGACACGTATGGAGGATTGGCGTGCTGGAGCTCTGGACCCTGGCTACTTTCTTCAGAGGTTACACGAAGCGCGTGCCACGGCTGACGAGCTTCAGCAACTGGTCCTGGCTCCTGAGCCAACAGAGAGCGACAAATCTTGCCAAGAACCCTTGCCGCCCGGCTGGCAGAGGCACTGGGACAGGTACGGTGTCCCTCGCCTCTTTCGTCCTTGCTTACTGCAATCGGCAACAGGGATTACGATGTTGTTTATGCTGCTACAAGCGAAACGAAAGCTGCCATGTGAGGGTGCGGTAAATGAACAGGAGAAGAAATGGGGTCGGTGGGAGAGGGTAGTCTCAGTCTCGTCAGCAGAGAGTGTGTCTAAAGTGTCTTCACAACTGTATTACACTTGTTTATTTTTTTTTCTCCTCCCTTTCTTGTGGTGCTGCTCTTTGCACCCTGAGCAGGAGCCTTTACGAAGTCTGGTCTTGGCTTGGGGCGGGAAGGATGGCTTGGTGGGAGGCGGTCGCCGCTGTGTTTCGTTTCTTTTTCTTCTTTTCCTCTCAAGCCCAAGAAGCCCTTTCTTTCCTCGTTTTTCTCGTGGAGGACCCACGTCCCTCATGGCACCCCAGCCCCCACCCACCCCGTCGGTCCTTTCCTTGCCATGCCCTACCTCTTTTTATCTGACGTATCGATCGTCGTTGCGCCATATTGCAACCAGTGGACAAGTTGCTGGACTTTATGGGGCCGCTTCTGGAGCTGCCACGGCCAAATCGGGATGATGTAGGTAAGATACTCTTCAAATTTTGACTTAAGGCTGCTTTCGGTGTGAGTAAGTGATTTACACTCTGTGGGAATCCTCAGGAATACCAGACTATTTGAAATACTTGGTTGTAATATTCCAGGTCGCAGCTTGCACAAACATAGGTTTTTAGATGAGTTGCTAGTCATTTGATATTTGCAAGCTTTTGTAGAATTGGGGCAGTTATGATTGAGCAGAAGCAGCAATATAGAGTGTAAAGTTGAGTGTTCATGCTGTAGCTTGGTAACAATTAAGAGTCTAAGCATGCTTTATTGTTATTTTTTTTGTAAGGGCCTTTATGCATGTCTTGCATTTAACATCAGTGCATCGCTAGTGATCTCAACAATGCAGCGTGTTCTGAACAGGCTGACATGCCTTGGCTGATCCGATGGTGCTCTTGTGTCACCTGTCCAGCCTGCAAGAGAGTAAGTGGCAGGCATGTTTTTTGAAAATAATTTTTATACAGGTTGTTTACTTCTTGTTTTTTATTTTTTTGTTTATACAGTCAATCATTGTCTCACTCAGTTGCATGGCAAAATCTTGCTTGCCTGTTGTATATTATTAAGTTTCAACAGTGCATTGCGTGTTGATGTTTTCAGATTTTGTTGCAATAATATGTCATACTGTAAATACCATGCTAGTTGACTGAGTATTTCTTCTGTTATTGTGCCTATGTGTTCTGCATGGATATGTTATGTTGTAGATAGCATTGCCAATCAGCGCTATGCAGTGCAACATTTAAGCAAGCTTAAAGGGGCCCTGCAACATCTTTCTAGTCATCATGACCTAAATATTGGGTGCTGCTGCTTCTCAAGTTCTCTGTCGTCAAAATTTAAGTCTTACCTGCCATGGTCGTTTAGTGGCTGTGGTGCTCGCCTGCGGACCTGAGGGTTGCGGGATCGAATCTCGGCCACAGCGGCCGCATTTTCAATGGAGGTGAAAATGCTAGAGGTCTGTGTTCGTGTGTGTTACAGAACCCCAGGTGGTTGAAATTTGGAATCCTTCACTGCGCCGTCCTCATTATCGTATGCAGCTTTTGGAATGCAACACCTGAATAGTTCATAATATTATTTAAATTCATATTCTCATGTGTGGAGTTGATATGCGATATGCACACTTTGCTTTTTTGTTGCTTCAATCGCGATGGAAGTTGCAAAGTGTGAGGGGGGGGGGGAGTAAGCAAAATGGTGGTGTGTGGCAGGTTGGTGCTGCTATATAACCTTCAACATTTTCTCTCTATTTAAAAAAAAAATTTTTTACCCCATTGCTGTTCACGTCTGGTTCAGACGTGGACAGCATGCACAATGCCCTTTGGGCAGCACGCCATTCTAGGCTTGTGGGAATATTCAAATGCTTCAAATATTTGAACGAATAGTAGGATAGTCGAATTTGCTTTGATTCGAATTTGAGTAATTGAAAATTTCGAAGTATTCGCAAGGAACAAATTTATGCACATTAATCCAAATGTATTGCTTGTAAAGGTGGCTTTGCTGGAGGATAGGAGTGTTAAACCGTGAAAACATATATCCAGGAGAAATTTGCTCTGCCGCGAAGCCTCTCTTCTAACTTAAAGGGGCCCCGCAACACTTTTTCAGCATTGTCAGAAAACGCTGCCAATCGGTAGTCCAGGTTACCGAGGACACGCGAGTCAAATATTATAGCACAGAACTCGCCCTGCGATTCACAATAAAATCTCAAAGTCGGCTAAAAATTTCTGTCTTTCGGCAAGTCACTGCACAAGCTCAAAAAGCATGCGCGACGTATTTTCTTTTCCCGTGCCATTCCTCCCTGCTTAGCTTCCAGTGTTTTCGTTGTGACGAGAAGAATACGCTTGTAGCCTGCAACAAATCTTTGCAACTCCGCTTGTTCAGGACGGACTCTAAAGATTTGGGGGGGGGGGGGAGTGAATTCATGAGGCAATAAGCTTCTTTAGTGAATCCATTTCATGGCTACTTGAAAAAGGGTAGTAAGGCACCTTTAAATTCAAATATTACCCTGAAATAAATTATTTTATTAAGCTTAAAAGCTTGTCTTGACGGCTTTTATGCTCTAAGTATAATAAATCTTATAATATTAGGTTTTACTGGTTATGACTCGTATCCTGCCGAAAGTCAAATCCTGCAATTCTGCTACTACTCGAAGTTGTTTCGATTTCCTTGGAGTGAAAAAAAAAAGTTATTTGCATAAAGGCCCTATAAAAAATATTGTGCAGGCTAGCTACGTCATAATAAATATGCCCATTTTTCTTTGTATGTCATATATACTATTCGAATTCGATTCGAAATTATTCAAGCAAAATCACTATTCGCTTCGAATTTGTTTCGAACCTAAGATTCACTGTGCCCCCAAGCCTACGCCATTCACAAATGGTGCACCTAAGCTGGAGTCTGTGGGTTTGATTGCCGATCTTGGGGGTCGCATATTCAGTGGGGGAAAATGCAAACATGTTTAGATTTAGGTGCACGTTTAAGAACCTTAAATGGTCAAAGTCAATTTGGAGTCCTCTGCTATGGTTTGCCTCATAATTATATTGTGGTTCTAGTGTGTAATATACGAGCAGTCATTATTATTACTATTATTATGTCATTTATGACGCTAGCCGGCATCTGTCTCAACTACATGTACCAACCTTCTGCATTGCCTGGCAAGAAGAGAGCAAGCGGTGTTTAGCTGTCCTTGACAAAACAATTGTAATATCCCTGCCACATGCAGTGCAATAAAATTTGGCTCACGTGTTAACAGGGCCTTTACTACTGATAAGCTACGTTTTCTGGCTTTGTTTGAAGCCAGAAAACGTAGGGCCTATAAAAGCTAACATGCTTTTGTAGTTAACTTCACTTGAGCAGCACCAACACTGAAACATCAATGTGTTCAAGGGGGCTTTGTGAGCATCGTTTGTGGCTTCCTTGTTCCGGCTCTTCTTTGTACACTCAAACCTCATTATAACAAAGTTGCATCTTTCACGAAATTAAGTTTGTTATATCTGAAAATGTATTATAAAAATTATATTCTCAGTACTATACCAGTTGCAAGACTATTCTTCATTTACTTCGTTGTAACTAATACTTTGTTTTATCTGGGTTTGTTATATTGAGCTCAAAGTGTAATTATAATATAGTCATTGGAACTACCTATGGTATCATAGAGCTAATTGTTGAAGCCATATTTGAAAGCATGTTCTGCTGGGCTGTCCAGACAGACCTGCCGATAGTTGCATTTAAAATGCAGTGCCAGTATAAGTTCTCCTCCTGACACTATAGGAAAATGCACGCATTGCCATTGCAGTGATTGTGATAGACCAACTAGTGAGATTACAAATAGAGCTGTTGCAGAGCTCCTTTGGGGTGCAAGACAAGCTGCACAATTTGTTTTTATGCTGGAAGGCTCTTTTTGCTCCCATTTAAGCCTCTAATACGACGAGGAGTTGGGCATCACCCTTGCAACTGCCAGCGAGAGTTTTGCAGAAAGTTTTTTTTCGTACAGATTGGCCTCTACTTTGACTACAGTGCGTCTATAGTTAGGGCACTCTAAATACTGTTGCACATTTACTATATGCGCATTGCCGTGTAGGTGCGTACCAGAAAACTTTAACTTATCAAGATAACTAAAAGTAATTTCCAATCAACTAATCAGCTTGTACTTTGCAATTGTACATGCATTGCATATTTTCCTCTGCTAGGCTCCAATAGATGCTTGTCTTGCCACTTCACAACCAGCGCATACATAAAAAAAAATTTGATGCTAACATTCCTCTTTAAATGTTACTGAAATGAATATGCTCTTCAAGTGTCAGTGAACAAAGACTTGTCATGGGCAAGTCTGTTCTTTAGTGGAGTTATTTTAGGTCTTTTCTATAGACCGGTGCCTTAATTTACTTGATGAGCATTTATGACCTTGAAAGGAATGGTGTTAGCAGTAATCTCTTGTACTGCTGGCGCAAGTTTGACTCAATAGCTACCTTTTAATATTCGCTTAAGAAAGCATACATAAGCTACATTTCAAAAGAAGACTAATGATCTCTAAGTTGGCACATGAGCATTATGAAAGTGCACTGAGCTTTATCAAGCTCAGTGCACTCCATTGTGGCTTGAGCTATACAGAGTCAGTGACTAGTAGAGAGGGGGGGCGGGGCATGCCTGATTGTTTAGACAACTTGGAAATGGCACTACTGACCCTGTAGATTTAGTGTGTATGAAGGGCTGAGTTTTGGATACGTTGGTTGGGGAGGGTCTTTTTTTTTTAATTTTTAATTTATGTGCACACATATAAACGCACGCTTGAACGTTCGAAAAGTAATTTCCTCGCCTCCCCCTTTACCCCCCAGAAAAAATTTATAGCTCTGCTACAGCTGGCAGTACGTATTAAGGGAGGCGTGCAGAGCATGGTTCAGTATAATTATGCACACGGGGCGGGCGAGCTGTAATATCTTTGTGAATCAAGTCACAGGATGATGAATATAGCAGCTTCTACGTGGCTCTTATGCAATGTTAGTACAGGATTGACGTATTCATTGAGAAAATAAAAGCATATTAATTTAGCAGGCAATTGTGAATACTTTTCTTGTTTCTTTCAGTAATTCAGGATTTGGTTAATTCGGATATGTTTTTCCGGTCTTGTGAAGTCAAAGTTAACTAGCTTTTACTGTACCACCTCGGGTCTCGGACAAGTGCTTGTGCACACAGCAAAATGCTGGACAGCTTTATTTTTTGACGACATGTGAATAAAAAAAGTTTAAATATTTTCTGGCGGTATCGGTATTTCACACTACGAAATATTTGCATTTTAATGGTATCTATTAAGTGTGACTTAACGGTTACTGACTGTACTTCAACTTTCATCCGACTGTTGGTTCCTGACAGTGTTTCCGAGCCAGCCCCTCTCCTTAGATTGAGGAGGACTTGCGAATAAAAACGATTTAGTGGCAGCCGCACGAAACATTTCTAGAATGAACGACCACATAAAATAAACATTGATCACTTGGTAATGTAGCTGCTTTTAACGTAGATGTTCCTCCCACGCATTCATCTTCCCGATGTTCACATCATGTACATGCATTGCACACAGCCACTTCTAAGAGAAATAGTGAAAATGTAGTTGCCGAAAGCCTTTGTGTGAAAACCAGGCTTCAGTTCACTATTCCTGTTTAGTGTAGTAAAAGCTCTCAAATTGGCTTAGCTGACCAGCAGTGATGCCCATTGGGATAGTTCATCCATTGTCAGCAGTTATTTCTACTCGCGATGCCAGCTAACCAGAAGGATCGCAATTAGATTGATGGCATACATTTCCATGTGAAATGTGTTTCCCAATGACGACTTCGCAATGCTGGCCAAATTGTATTCTGTAAGAGCTTACTGATTGGAGAGGATGACCAATTGTGTTTTGTTCAGTCTCCGTTAGAGTTGTTATTGTTAGGCATGAGATTGGCGCTGCAGAGCCTAGGGATGGAAATCTAAAGATATGGTTGGTCGCATGTTTCATGCGGTTGCTACAAAGTACTACAAAGTAATGTAATGTGATGCGTGTGGTGTGTCATCTGTATGTGTCGACAGTCATTTAGCTGTGAGACAAGCCTTTAGGATCTAGTACCTAGTTTCTGGAGCTTTGCATATGCATGTTCAAGTTGTCACTCACAGTAACCAGTCCTTTTTCAGCCCTCTACAAGACAGGAGCAACATCAAGCCTGTAGACAGCACTCAGTCCTTTGGAGCTGAGTGGCTATGGTTTGCCAGCGGATTGCTTTGAAAAGCACGCCCATTAAGTTGTGACTGCCGTGTGCACCGGTTGTGGGAGTAACATTGGTATCACAGATGAAGATCGCTTTGAGAATTCCGTGCGGCACAGGGGTGTGTGTCATCAGGCGGTGGATGCTACGCCATTGTTTCCTGCTGCCACATAACTTAGAAATGACACCATACCACTGCATCGTAGGACTGGGTCATGTCCAGCATACACCTTCCATCTCTTTCTAGAAGTGCTTGGATGTCATCGTTGTATGCTTTAGGTATAAACACCATTGCATCTTGGGTAGAAAGGATAAGCTGTCGGATCCTAAGGTATCATTGCGCATCTAGTGTGCTACTGTGTGTTTTGCTTGGCAGGTAAACTACTAGGAGCTGTCCACGGAGCCTCGTTTATGTTGGGAAATTTTGGGGACATTGCTCATGGCCTTTGTGCCTGGTATTTTGTGGTTAAATTTATTTCCAGGCTTAGAAGGTAAAACCCGTGTGTAACGCTTGCTAGTTTTGTCACCTTGTTCATTTATGCATATACATATTAAAACCTGTGGTATTGGAGTGATGTCAGAAGGACTACGTATCAGGCAGTTGTTATTATTCCAAATTTTCTAGGACATCAATTTTAACACTTAAGGTTGTACTTCAACACTTTCTTTTTTTTTCATAAGGGGCTTAGGGCTCCTGTATTTAGCTTTGGCAGGCCTAGCCATATTTACTGCTTCTTTAAAAAAATAAAAGGTATTATTATTATTATTATTATTATTATTATTATTATTATTATTATTATTATTATTATTATTATTATTATTATTATTATTTTATTATTTTTATTATATGCATACACAAAGCACAATTTTTGGGCTTTATATGCATAAAATTCAACTGTCTCACAGTTTCAGTTCATTGAAAGTGCTCCTGAGAGTCGAGCATTGCCCCGAACAAGAAGAATATTGTCACGGGGGTGAGAGCTTTATGTCGTGTAATATGTCGTGTAACAATATTGCTCAGCCATGTAGTCACTCTGATCTTGCTACTGAGTGCAATTATTGAAGACTTCCTCTTCCTAATGTGACAGCTGAAAGTATACTTATACATGGCATTGAATGACATACGATGTATTTTTATTAACCCTCCAAGAAAATGGTGCTTAATCTCGTACGTTTATTTATACAGGTGACACATTATTGTGTTTAAACTTAATTGTATACACACCGTTAATGCCCTGTTATATGAAAGCCTGGCAAACCAGATATCTGTTGGTGCTTTTATTTAATGTTAACTGTCTTAATATTTTATTGCCATACCGTTTCATATTACAGTATGGACTTCTATATTGGGCCCATATTCTGATTTCCAACTTTGAAAGGCCTTTCCGCTGTCAGCATGCCTTGAAGGCTTAATAAGTAAATTTAGACAGAGAGCCATAGTTAGCAGTAATTCTTCACTTTTTTAATTGCATTTATATTGATTTGTTGTGCTGGGCAGCCAATCTGAGAGATAAGAATGACAAGGTGTCAAGGGAACCAACTGCAAGTGCTCAAAAAAGAAATGGAAAAATAAGAAATGGCATGAATTCTAACGTGCTTCACTTAAGGTGATCTCTCCCAAAGAAACACTGATGTAAATTACTGCCACTGATGTGGTTGAGAAACGCACTGCCGCTGCCTAACAGTGCTCAGTTTAGCAGAATACACAGAACTGCAGTTAACTGGCAAACCCTCAAAATTTATAGGTTTTGCTTCATTGCATTACTTTCACAGTTAGCTCCAATGTGCACTTCACGTGAATGCTTGTAGACCCTTAACCACCCAGAGGTTGACGTTATGTTGTGCTGTAATTGTGTTCGAGCCTACAAGGAACACGTTGATGCAAAGAATGTTTTCGAAATGGCGTCATAACTGTGGTGTGCATGCATTCGAAGATCGGAATGAGGCCTTCGCCCGTCTCGAACTTTTCTTTCCTATGCTCCATTTTTCAGTTTGTGCCTCCTGCTTGCATGGTTAGGAGAAGGTGATGGGAGCGCATGTATATCTGCTTCAGAGAAACAGGCTCTTTTGGGGGCTGACATGATGAGATATGAATGCGGTCCTCCTGACCAAAGCTGGAGAAACCAAATGGCCTAAAGAGGAGCAGGGGATTTTTTATTTGGTGGTGTGCCTACGGCTTGGAGCACTTTTGTGTTTGCCATTGTTAGTCATGACAGCGTCCTAAACTCGTTGCACTTTTGCTTGAAATGTTAAAACACTGGGGGTGATTCAGGGACCCTTTGAGCATTTATTGTGGTCCACTGTATCTCAAAATGGCTTAAAATTTTCTCTCTGTTATCCTCTAGAGTGACCACATTGCATAGTTCTTCACACTTTTTAAAGTGTAGCTAGAGAAAATTGAAGGTGCACTCTTTTCGTATACTGCACAGAAGTACAAATTAGTGCAGGCACGCCACGCCGTGATAGTCTCTCCACGTGTCCGTCAGTCTTGATCAAACTTTCACTGGGGTTATTTTGAATGTTTTGCATCCTTCCATTCAATGTAATAGCCATCATCTGCAGTTTCAACGATAGGAGATACCTTGGGTTGGTTCAAAATCAGAATATGCTACTCAACAAATTGACAAAGATTTTCCTTGCAAGGACATAAAGCTACAGGATTGATTTATCCTAATTATTTGTTATGTTTCTTTTTCTAGTGGAAGTAAGCTTACTTGGTAAATTAAAATTGGGAGGCTGCCGGGTAATTGAGCATTGCCACCAATATTTATGTTGTTGCACTTACTAGCTTTTAATGGTTATTACTTGGGACGAGTAATGGTCACAGTGTCGGTTTGCAAATGTGTTTCATGCAGGAACGACCAAAACATATCGATTTAAAGTGTAAAAAAAAACTTGATTAGCAAGGGAAGAGCAATTTATTGTATAGCTGTTCTGTTTACTCTGGTGTGCCACTTAAATGTCACATTTTACATAAGCGATGGTAGACAATTCTGAAAGTGAACCACATGCTTTGAAAATCACGGGTCACGTGCAGTACCTACAATTCCATTTCATTTCACTTTGTTCAGCACGCACGCTGCAAGTGTTCTCAGCTACACTTCAGCAATGTCAGCTGAAGTGGTTATTTAGTTGGGTACGTGAAGAGAGGGACCACTGTTTTCATTTCTACTGCATAATTTGATTCGTTACGTTACTTCGCAATTTGTTAGGACTTTTACTTTTTCACGTGCAACTACACTGCACGTCTTTCTATGCAGGTCATAGCTTAGTGTAGCTTAATGTGAAAATTGGCCTCTCGTCTTTACCGAATGTTTAGTCTCCAGATGCAGGTGGTCAGAATTTGCGGAGCCCTCCACTACGGCGTCTCTCATACTCATATCGTGGTTTTGGGACGTTAAACCCCACAAATCAATCAATTAGTCTCCAGATGCAATCACAAATAATTCGTCGGCATTCGTTGCCTGCCGCAAATAAGAAGGGGTACACCTCATATGATTAGACCGCAGGTTTTACTAGCAAAACCTTCAATGCCAGTCTATTCCCTACATCTTGTAAGCACAGAGAACAGGTTTTACATCCGCAATCATTAGTCAGTATATTCTCTAACCTTCTGAGTAATTAATGTAATGACATAAATAACTTCATAATGAAGTCTCTATTAAGCCAGATCTGCTGAGAAAAAAGCAGATAAATAGAGCAGAAGTAACCAAGCCGCTCAGCAGGGCAGATAGAGTTACCTGTTGGTTTCTTTCTTTTTGTTTCTCACTGTTTCTAGTGGGCACGCAAGATATTTTTATGTGCACGAGGAAACCGGCCATTCCCAGTGGCAGTTCCCCGATGTGCCTGATTCCACCTCTCCCATGACTGAGGTGATATTGCTTTCTGACCAGACAACTGCTGCCTTGTTGCTGCAGCCAGCGCCACCTCCGCCCCCAGAGACAGGTAGGACAGCAGTCGAGGTTCAACGCGTAATCCATTATTGGATTAAGTGTTGAAAGGTATCTTTTATGGCCAGAATCTGTGCTACTTGCACATAAAATGCTGTGTGTAGTAACAACACTGATCGAAAAAAAAAAAAGGCTGCGCTTAACAGGGTCAATGCAGCACATTCGCTTGGCACTGTGCTGCAGTTTCTTGATTGTGATGTCAGATCGCGTTGCTTCGTGAAGGCGGAAAGGTGCTGGCTGCTGACCACCTCATTGTCATAAAAAATTTCACTGCCGAAACAGCGAAAATAATTGCACTCTTCGTGAAAACATTGAGCCTCGTCAGCGAGCTGCATCAGATATACTTCAAGTTGAATAAGCTGTCTTGCGAGCCCGAGGTTGAAAAAAAGTGCTCATGTGTAGCGGGCCTCTTCGAAAGGTGCTAGTACTTTTGCGCTGCATTGTTACGCTGCTACAGGCAAGGCTTTAACAGTTTTCGAGGTAACTATGCGAGGACTCGTGCTGCAGATTGCATGTATTCTATTGAATTCCCTTGTCCCATCAAAAGCTGAATATGCATTCCGTTCATTTGATTAAAAAACGGAGCTATGCCTGGGCCAGTGTATCTTGAGACAAGGCAAATTGTAGTTTCGATTGTAACAGGAGTGCCCCTTTCTTTTCTTTCGCCGATTCATGTTATTAGTTTTTTATTGGATAAGGTTATCTGCTTCTGAAAATTCGCTTGTTTTTGTTGGAAGTAGTTAATAATCAAAGTAGATATGCACACACATTACGCATGCTATGAATGCATGGACATGAATAAATATTGCCACGTTCCATTTCTCAAGTTTTGTTATCGTCCCAAAACACTACATAATTCTCAGCGCAAACTGCGCCTGCAGTTTTCGAGAAGCTTCCGGACTGTAGTAGACGATTTCGATAAGATCACGCCTACTCTGCGAACTGTACAGATTATTCTGGAACCTACGCCACCGCCAGCGATAACGCTAGAACATTCGACGGCAAGAGTATAAATGCCGACGCGCTTCGCCGCTTGTCAGTTGATGATCGAAGGCCGACGCTCCGTTCGCCGCTATCAGTCCAAGACTGCTACTGTAATCAGACTTTCCGTTTACCGGGCACAGGCTCGCCCAAATAAACAGTTAAATTCTAACGTAAAGTCTCCTGTCTTCGGCCACGTCACGACCCCGTGACATCTGGTGGAGGTGCTGCTGTTTTGATCTTCCGGACGCCCCCTTCAAGCCACGACCCCAGCCCAAGCGGCAAACAAGACACGGACGCTAACCCTGAACAGCGAACAAGTCGCAGGCAGAGGGGACTACAACCAGAGTACGGGCCTTTTCCTGAAGCAGCCAGGCAGACCCGGATCCCGACATCATCTACTGCAACCATGACCGCCCTCGTGCAGCCTGGACCACTCCTACTCCGGCAACCCAAAGAGCCGCCAACTTTCCGCGATTCGCCACTGGAAGACCCGGAAAGCTGGATCGAAAGGTTCGACCGCGTCGCCGCCTTCAATGACTGGACAGACGATGACAAGCTCTGGCATGTGTATTTCGCCTTAGAAGATGCTGCTTGGACCTGGTTCGAGAATCAAGAGCGAAGCCTTACAACGTGGGACATCTTTCTCGCCAGGTTCCTCACTACTTTTGCAAGTGTGGTGCGCAAGGAGAAGGCCGCAGCTCTTCTCGAAACCCACATGCAGATGCCAAACGAAAACGTAGCGCTATTCACGGAAGTTATAATTAAACTTTTTCGCCACGTTGACTCCGACATGTCCGAGAAGAAGAAGGTCCGTCTACTCATGCGAGGAGTAAAGCAGGAACTCTTCGCCGGGCTGATCAGAAACCCGCCAAAGACGGTCGCCGAATTCATTTCAGAAGCATTTACAATAGAGAAGACGCTCGAGATGCGCACACGGCAATATAACCGTAGCTTCTCGTCTACAAGCTACGCCGGCATTCAAGTGCTCGGAACCACTGACTTGCGTGAGACGGTCCGAGTGATCGTGCAAGAAGAGCTGCGAAAATTACTTCCTTCAGCGCAGCCTTACGTGGAATCCATCGCGGACGTCGTACGCCAGGAGACCCAGCAATCGCTGGGCATTTCTCAACCTCAAGAGCCTTAGCTGCAAGCCATGACCTATGCTGCTGCAGCCCGCCGCCACGCCCCTCCTCCACGTGCACGCCAAAACACTGCCCCATCGCACTTCCGTCGCCATCACCCCCACCGACCTCCTACCGTTCGCCAGGGGCCCAGCGCAGTGCGCCGAGGAAGACTGACGTTTGGCGTGCACCTGACAACCGCCCGCTCTGCTACCACTGCGGCGAGGCCGGACACACATACCGCCGTTGCCAGTACCAACAGATGGGACTGCGTGGCTTCGCCGTCAATGCACCGCGTTCACAGCCAGGAGAACGGCCACGTGACATCGCCGACTACCTGACAGAAACTCAGTGGACACCACGAAGCCCTTCCCGTTCGCCGTCACCTAGCCGCCGCACGTCACCGCACCACCGGCAGTACTCTGGCCCAACGCGGGGCCGGTCTCTTAGCCCGTATCCGGGAAACTAAGGGCAGCAACCGATGGATGTGCGGTTGCTGTGCGACGAACTACTGAAGATCCTCCTCAGACGACGACGCGACAGAGCTTTCCGAACACAACGCCAACCAGGCAAAGCCCTGACGGCGAAACCTCACTTACCGAAGGTGACCTGACGACGCAACATGAAAGCAGCGGAACAAGCCGACGCAGCCGTGACCTGACGCCACGCCCTAACTGTACTAGCGACCTCGACGTTCTTATTGACGGCCACAGTGTGACCGCTCTTGTTGGTACTGGAGTCGACTACTCCGTCATCACTGGGTCGTTCGCCGCTAAGTTAAAGAAAGTTAGGACAGCTTGGGAAGGCCCTGAAATCCGCACAGCCGGAGGTCATCTCGTAACGCTTGCAGGGATCTGCACAGCGAGAGTCACAATTAATGGCCGTATTTATCCTACAGACTTCGTAGTCCTACAGCGTTGCTCGAGAGATGTCATCCTTGGCATGGACTTCTTATGCCTCCATGGTGCTATCATCAACCTAAAAACAAAGTCGATAACGTTATCCACAAAAGAAGCACTACCTCCGCGCACACCGTCGGGAAACCATGCCTTGAATGTGCTGGAAGAACAAGTCACTATTCTGCCTCGCTCAAGCGTCATTATTTCAGTTGGCGCTCCTAAATCACCTGACTTGGAAGGCGTCGTTGAAGGCAGTCAGCATCTGTTGGTCACCCGAAATATTTGCGTCGCAAGAGGAATCGCAGAGCTGCGGGGAGGCAAAGCAACGGTTATGCTCACGAATTTCAGCAATGAGTACAAACATGTGAACAAAGGAACAACGGTCGCATACACCGAAGAAATTGTCGAAGCCACCAATGCTTTCGCCCTCGCCGATTCTGTGGAACCTGCTCAGAGGAACCAAGCCCCTTTCATAGCTTTCGATGTCAATCCCAGACTTCCGAACTATAAGCAAGAATAGCTCAAGGCCCTACTCCTGCAATACGAAGATTGCTTTTCGTCGTCACCAAAAATTCGGCAGAACCCAATCACGAAACATCGCATCATAACCGAAGAAAATGCCAGACCACTCCATCAGAGTCCGTACAGGGTTTCGACGCGAGAACGTGAGGCCATAAAAGGACAAGTTGATGAAATGCTGCGGGATGACATTATCCAGCCGTCCAAGAGTCCATGGGCATCCCCCGTGGTGTTAGTGAAGAAAAAGGATGGGACCCTACGTTTCTGCGTCGATTATCGCTACCTGAACAAAATCACAAGAAAGGACGTGTATCCTCTCCCACGAATAGACAACGCACTTGATCGGCTCCATAACGCCAAGTACTTTTCGTCAATGGACCTCAAGACTGGCTATTGGCAAATCGAAGTCGACAAAAGAGACCGAGAGAAGACGGCGTTTATAACACCGGACGGCCTCTTCGAGTTTAAGGTGATGCCCTTCGGTCTTTGCTCAGCCCCTGCAACTTTTCAACGCGTTACGGATACAGTACTGGCAGGATTGAAGTGGCAGACTTGCCTCGTGTACTTGGACGACGTGGTCGTGTTTTCCACGAGTTTCGACGAGCATCTTTGGCGCCTTGAAGCTGTACTTCAAGCCATCAAGACGTCCAGGCTCACACTGAAGCCATAAAAATGCAGATTTGCGTACGAGGAGCTCTTGTTTCTGGGGCACGTTATTAGCAAGTCTGGAGTTCGTCCCGATCCACGGAAAACAGCCGCCATCGCCGACTTCCCGCCGCCCACTGACAAAAAGGCGGTGCGCCGATTTCTGGGCCTGTGCGCCTATTATAGGCGGTTCGTGAAAAACTTCGCCCGTATCGCCGATCCTCTCACTAACCTTACCAAGGCCGACGTGGAGCTCAAGTGGGAAACGCCGCAGGAACACGCTTTCCAGGAGCTTAAACATCGCCTCCAGACGCCTCCGTTACTTGCCCATTTCGACGAATTCGCCGAGACAGAAATACACACTGACGCAAGCAGCGTAGGTCTTGGCGCCGTTCTTGTGCAGAGGACTGACGAACTTGAAAGGGTTGTTAGTTACGCCAGCCGATCGCTATCCAAAGCAGAAGCCAATTATTCCACAACAAAAAAGGAGTGCCTCGCCATCATCTGGGCTACGTCGAAATTTCGCCTCTACCTTTACGGCAGGCCCTTCAAAGTTGTGAGCGACCACCACGCCTTGTGTTGGCTAGCCACCTTGAAGGACCCTTCAGTTCGCCTCGCACGATGGAGCCTGAGACTTCAAGAATATGACATTACTGTCATTTACAAGTCCGGCAAGAAACACTTCGATGCCGACTGTCTCTCTTGTGCGCCTGTCGACCAACCACCACCCGACGACCCGGATGA